GCCAAGCCAAGCCAAGCCAAGCCAAGCCAAGCCAAGCCAAGCCAAGCCAAGCCAAGCCAAGCCAAGCCAAGCCAAGCCAAGCCAAGCCAGGCAGGAGCAAGGCAAGCCAAGCCAAGCCAAGCCAGGCAGGAGCAAGGCAAGCCAAGCCAAGCCAGGCAGGAGCAAGGCAAGGCAAGCCAGGCAGGAGCAAGGCAAGGCAAGCCAGACAGGAGCAAGGCAAGCCAGGAGCAAGGCAGGCCAGGAGCAACCCAAGACGCACGGCATGGCGCAGCGAGACGCGCCGCCCGCGGAGACGACAGTGGCGCTACGAGAGCACCAAAAAGACGAGTGCAACAATTTTCATACCGTCGCGATTCGCAAAAAAGCGCGCAAAAACGCAACGCAAAATGGTCCGCCCCGCGTGCGCCGTAGCACCGGGCGAAACGAAAAAGCAGCAGCCGCCCCAGGCAAGACAAGCCGCATCGCTTGAATTGCCAGAGGCAACGCCAACCACGAGCGGAGTGCCTCCATTCCGAAAACAGGAAGCGCGACGCTTCCGCTGTTGTCACGTAGCGCCCAAGTCGCAGCGTGCCACCGTGATTCACTTTTTACCTCCCAGCACTCAACGGTCTCAAAAACAAATACGACTACTTCGCTCACATTACAATAGTAATTTCCACCGCCCCAGCTGCCCCCACACAAACGAAGTGAAAAAAATTATACCGGTCTTTTGATGAAATCAACTACATGTTGTGCATTCTTGTGCTTTTTTTTCAAAGTGAACAGGAAACGGAAGAGCTGCAGCACGTTCTTGATCAAGTTGCAACATTCAAAAAAGCAGGACCATACGATTGCACGAATACGAAAATCGTCATCACCCACAACTTGTCCTGAGCTTCTGATTCGAGGAAAATCAACGACATCCACATTGCGAAAAATGCCAACCGACGGTGCAGCTGCAACCTCCCACGATGCACGATTGGAAATTTAATATAGTTTAGTTAAGGTACTAGTTATGGAAAACGATAGAATCCTGCATCAAATCTTCACGACGGTGCCTCATGGGCCCCCTCCAACGAAAGGGCAACCTCTGTGTGCATCAACCCGCCACACCCAGCATAGTAGGGCATCGTCATGTCGTGCTTGTTTACCACAAAATGCACGAAAAATGTGTCGCAACGGGTAGACACGAAGAAGAAGAACAGACACTGTCTACAAATTTCAAAGACTCTCGAGCCCGAGGTGGACAAGAGAGTAACGACTCCCTGACTGGTTCTAGTACTAGTAGAGAGCTCATGCGTTTCTATTTCGTAGAATGGAATTCGAATTGGCTGCGCATTTGTTCATTTTCGAGTTTTCACGCCAGTGGCTGCAAGGGAAAATTTAGATCATCTGGGATACAGATGCTGTTGCGTAGCAAAAGCGTAAAGGCACTATAAATGGAAGGGCTTCTCGTCTGTAGTCGATGCCCTACGATAGAAGGCAAGTGACGGCTTCTGTGCGTGCTTTCGTTCCTATTCCAGATGCTGCAAAGTAGGCGACGTGAGAAAGCATACCATCGTGCAGAAAAACGACGACGAGAGATGTTGTATAGTCTCAATCTGGCTGTCCTTGTAGACCTTATGCTGTCGGGGAACGAATAGTGAATTTGATTTCGCGTCCGGGTCTACATGCGCATGCCGAAAAGGGTAAGGGTAGTCAACGTACTAGTGTACTCGCGATCTTCATCTTCGTGCCAATCTTGGTCTAGACATACATTGAGAACTCCACGGAACAGATATAGAAGAAGGTTGCATTTTTTAAGAGCAAGAATCAAAATGATATAGTTACAACCATAACGGGGGGTCTATATTAAAACTTCAGAACTTGTAGAAAACTTGTCGAAAACTTTGAAAAGCAGAGAAAATAGACGACGCGAAGCCACCAAGGGCCGGCGCTCCTTTCTTGGCGCCGTGCCGCCGTGTTTCGTGGTCGTATATGATGGCCGACACAAGGCGAGCGCGCTGGCGCCGGTCACACGTGAATCGCGGGCGGAATCCTCTTAAAAAACTGCTAACCTCTTACGCGCTTGGGCCGCGTGGCATGCTGCTTCGTGATAGGTTTCGACCCCGGGGCCGAAGCTGACGGCTGTACTTTTTACATGCGGCGCCCACCGTCGTGGGCAACCTTGTGCACCAAGGCACGGCGCAGGGTCAAAGACGCGAACATCTAAAGCATTGCTGAGGGTATTGCTTTCGCAGGATCTGCGTGGCGATTTGCGCACGTTCTTTTTTGCACTTTTACGCTGCTCCTGAAAAATGGAAGCCGAGGCCCCCACGCCACTTTCCCGACCACCCGTTTTTTTGTCAAGGGCTAAACAAGCTAAAAAGGAAACTTGGCCAGGACTTTTAAAAAACTTCGAAAAGGGGCACCGAAACAGTTCCGGGCCCTAGCAGAATCCGCCGCGGAGGGCTTCAAGAAGAGCCGCCAGGCTAGAATCTCGGCAGAGGTTTTGCCCGGCTCTTTTCCGGCGCATCAAAAGAGGACAGCGAAAGCCTTCCGCTTTTTGGCCCCCGCCATGCCCTCGAGCCAAAATCAGAATAGCCTCATCGCCAGGCTCTACCTCATCCCCCGCGGGCGTCCTCGAGCCGGCCGGCTGTCAATCCAACAGCCCCCCCCTCTTCTACCTCGCGCCGCTGTCCCCCTCTTCTACCTGCCTCGCGTTGCGCCACAGACTCCAACTCTTCCAGGCGGGCCCAAGAAGGTAGTGGCTTCCGAGTAGAAATAAATCCCATCTCCGGGCTGTGCTGCGTCTTCCACTTCCTCGAGTCGGCCGGCTCTAAATCCCACAACCCCCCCCTCTTCTGCGTCGCGTCGCAGTCCTCTTCTTCTACCTCGCGGGGCGTGACGCACTCCAACTCATCCCGAATTTGCATTGCTGCCTGAGTGGCTTCCGAGAGTAGTCTCTCAAGTCGGGAAATAAGTATAGTGATACCCAATCCAGTACCAATCCCCAACTCCAACCCATCCCGGAACTAAGACCCAAGCCCACGCATATCCCTCCCTTCGCCATCCGATCTAATATCCAAAAACCCAAAAGCTTGACTAAGCGAACCCCATTCATCGCAAAAGTGCCGGCATTGACAAAACATAACAAAAAAACACCACCAGCATACCATCGGCGCTGGAGCAATGCTGACTTTGGCACGGTGGTACGGCGGAGGCCAAAAAATGCGACTTTTTTGCATGCTGTGCTGTTTCGGCGAGCCCGAAATGAGCCCGAAAAGAGTTCGAAAAAACTTTTTTTCTGGCCTCCCTTCTCGAAGCTCCCCGCGGCGGATTCTGCTTGAAACCGGCACTGTTTTGGTGCCCCAAGTGAAAGCTTTTAAAAAGTTTTTCAAAAGTTTTTTTTTCGGGAATTAGCTCGGGATTCATTTTTTTGTTCATCCCATGGCCGCCCTGGCTCTTTTTGGCCATAAAAATCCAGAATTTGGAAAAAAAAAACCTAAAAAATTCTTCTGGGGGTCTGGGGCCGCAAACAGGAGGGGGCCCGGCGACACGTCGGCCGAGACAGGCTCCCTGGTGTGCTTGCAATATCACGCGACGGCCTTGCCATGTCGGGGGCGAAATCCTCGCGCGGCACGCCCACAATGGTTCTGCCCGTGCTTCCCAAGCCCGGAAGGCTTCCAAAAATGCAACCAGGCCGCCGCCCCGGGCCTGGTGAAATAACACAGAAAAACCCACGCGACTGGCACGCAAACCACTTCGCGCGGGCAGTCGGAATATGACGCGGAGGGCCTATGACGACCGGGCCATGAAGAAACGAGGCCCGAAAACGGAAACGCGGCGTGGAGGTTTCCTACGAATCTGCCCAAAAAAAATTTCAGAAAAATTTCAAAATTGACGCCCGGACGATGGATGGGGCGTCAAAACACCTCAAAACAAATTTCAGAATTTGCCCGAGGGCGCAAAATCCCACACGTTTGCAATGAAGTCCAAACTTCTGAAATTTTATCTGAAATTTTTTTTGCGCGTTTGAAATTTTGTCTGACATTTGTTTTGGTTGTCCGGGCGGATTTTCTTCGGAAGAAGAAATTGCCCGGCAACAATTTCATTTTTCGGAGAAACCCACCCAGACAACCCAGGAAACCCGGAACACCACTGCGCCAACACCCTCCAACACTGCGCCCCCCACAATACTCCCCACCCTACCCTTCCACACAGAGCTGCCACAGAAAACTCAACAAAAGGAAAACGAGGGCGAGACCGCCTACAAACGACCACGCCACTCGGGGCCAGGCCATTGCAGGCCAAAACATGCGCCGGGCGCAAGCTTGCTGCAGACGGCCCACGCCGGAGATTACCCACGCAAGAGAATAAAAAAGACGGGCACAACGCCGAAAAGTTTTTCTTTGGATTTTTTTCGCTTTTTTTTTGGATTTTGTTTGCGAGGCGCTTGGATTTTCTTTGCGTTTTCGGCTAAGGGGCAAAATGTTGCGAATTTTTGAGGGCCAGAAAAGCGGCGTCGTGCCATCGGTTTTGGTTTTTCACATATAGCGCAAAAATGCAAAAAAAAAACTTTTCAAAATGGACGCACAGGTCGCGTTTTGCCTCAGGATTCGGGCAAAAGTTGAAAAAGCGCGCTTTTTTGCCTACGCGGTGCCGCCGTGGATAACGTTACCCCCCACGCTATTCGTCGCATGTAAAATATGCAACCTTTCGCCCCGGCTCCGGGGTCCAAACCTATCACGAAACAGGGCTGCACGCTGTTCAGACGCGTAATAAATGACAAATCTGCTGAGAAGATTCCGCCCGCGATTCACGTGTGACCGACGGCAGCGCGCGCGCCTTTTATCGGTCAACATATATGACCACGAAACACGACGGCACGGCACCACAAAGACGACAAAACCTGAGCCGCGAGCTTTGCCGATTTCGCAGGCAATGCCACCCTGCTTCGTGTCTGGGTAGCGCTTCTTTTGTACTTTTTGAAGACTCAACAGCCCAACTCCTTTCTGGCAGCGTGCCGCCGTGCCTGGGGTCAGAACAGGCGCCAAAAAGATAGCGGAGGTCAGAGTTTGCTTCTTCGACTGCGCCGCTTTTTCTTGTAGTAATTACAAACGCAACGCGGCGCAGGGGCGCGCCCCCTGGATCTCTCCAGACACACCTCTCGCGGCCGGCGCGCTGCGCCTGAGAACCGAGGCCCTAGGCCCTAAGCCCTAAACCCCAAACCCTAAGCCCGTGCCAGGTGAAAAGGAGGAGGGCCAAACCCTAGACCCTAGACCCTGCTAGCCACAAAGGAGGAGGGCTGGCCCCGGATGGGGGGATGGCCACCCCAGTGCGTTGGCCCCTCGGTCAAATAAACAACATGGCCACCCAAGTGCGTGCCTGGGGCAACTCTGCACTGTTCCGAACCCGCTGCCAAGCTGTTGGCGTTATTTTCTTATTTTCGCCAATGCCTTTGCTTTTGCGGCGCAAGGGGATTCCTGAGCCAGGCTAGGCTTTTGGGCTTTGTTTTTAGTGCTAGGGGTCTCTCTTTGATACTACGAACAGCGAGCAGATCGCTTTGGTCCTTGGCCTTGACCGCGAAGCACGCCGATGCTGCACGTTGTGCCACCAGGCTCGGCGCGGCCCCAACCTTCTCTGATGCGGGCGCTTTTCACTCAGGTGAAGTGCGCAAGCTGGGGACCCACGAAAAACGCAGGGCCCCATCGGTCACACAGGAACCACGATGGCAAGCTGCGGCCCATTCTCGTGCTGGCCGTGTGGTCGCTGGCTACGAAGTTTGGAGAAAGCCTCGCGGACGAGCAGGCCTTCAGGAAATTCAAAGTTTTCAAAAAGTTTTCCAAAAGTTCTGGAGCCGATGACTAGACCCCCCGTTATGGTTGTAATATAGCAATGAAATCTATGAAGATGACGTCGACTAACGATATTCGTATTGCGTTTGTATGTTGCATTTTTTTGAAATTCGAATTCGAAACTGTACTACGTCTTGCTGGAACTGAGAAAAGAATATATAATATCCTACATGAAGCTGCTGTATTTATTTGGAGTGTTGTATAGAACGGCGAAGATGAGAGTAAAAATGTTTTCAACGTTGACGTCGTGGAAGAACGTCAACATGGATAAAGTCGTCTTGACTGGCTCGCTGCAGATGTGAGGCAGTGCAGCATGCACGCTTAAAAAAGCCGTGGTGTGCTACATCTACAACACGTCGAAAAGATCCAGCTGCACGTCCGTCAATGCGGCATGAGAATGAAAATTACCATGCATTACTTAGAGTGGCAAAACATCAAAAACAGACAGTGCAAGTATATTAGTCAAATGCTGGACGACGTCATCTCGTGGATGTACTGAAAATGCAAATATATTGTAGAAATTGGGGGGGGCGGCGGCCGGGCGGTTGTGGATGCGGTGGGTTTTAATTACGGTTGCTTTATTGTTCGACTACGTAGAGTATCTATTGATGTTCTTGCGCTTTCTGTGGTTTAGGTGTCTTCTTGCTAACAGTGTCTACTTCCTCCTGGTGACGTTGTGGCAGTACGTAGCAGCGGAGCAGCACTCGTTGTTCAGTGTAAAAAGGATTCAAAGTCGTTTTTGATCATCGTTCTTCGGTCAAGTAGACGACGACCCTAGGCGGCGGAGCAGTAGGCCAGCTCGTCGTCATCGAGCAGCTCGAATTCCTCAGCTTCGTCGTCTTCCGGGGCTTCCTCGCAGAAGATAAAGTCGTCGTCTGTTGTAACGGAAAGGCTTCTTGTTTTTCATTTTCTTTTCGTTTCGCATTTTTCCCCTCGACATATGGGTATGGCCAAAGGCTGTGTATCTATTATCTAAAAGAGTTATTTCAATATCAATTAAATTCATCGGAAAAAAAAGAATACGAGTAGTACCTTCATCAGCATTTTTGTCTTCGAAAAATTTCCAGCCAGCGGCTTCCCATTCGTCATAGAATTTCCACCCCACGCACTCCCAATCCGCGCGCTCGGTGTCGGATTTCGGGGGCTCGCCGTAGGTGGCTTCCGCAACGTCCTTGTACCATTGCGCGCCGGTTTGCTCCCAATCCGCAATCTCCTCCTCGGTGGGCTCGTGGAAGGTCTGGCTTTCCGCATCGCAAAAGTACGTGTGAGATTTCTTGTAGTCGCTGCTGGCGCTGCTGTTCCACCAGTCGAAGTGCGCGCTGTCCGGTTCAGCCGACCAGGACCAGGAGCTGTGGTAGTAGTCGTCCTCGCGCTGCTCGTTCTTGTAGTGGTACTCATCTTCGTCGGTCGTCCACGCGGCATCCTTCTCCTCCTCCGGCTGCTGCTCATCGTCTTCCTTCATCTTCTTGCTGTAGAACTTCCAGCCATTGCTGAGCCACTCCGCGACGTCCGAGGCCTCCGCGGGCTCGTAGTCTTCCTCGTTTTTGTAAAACTTCCAGCCAGCAGCAAGCCAGTCGGCCAGTTCCTGAGACGTCGCCACGCGGGTTGTGCTGTCAGCATTTTTTCCGTCAAACGATTCACTCTCGTCACAGCTGCGGTCTTCACTGTGGAATTTCCAGCCGGCGGACAGCCAGTCTGCGAGTTGCTCGATCGTCATGACGTTTTGCTAATGCATGGCAAAAGTACCGCACTACTAGAGCAGAGCTGGAAAGGAACTGAACACGAACAAAGAATTTTCATGACAAGTTAGCTTTAAATCGAGGAGCGCTTGCGCGCGCTTTGCCAAAGCGCGATGATCTGGTAACCAAAGCGGCTTTGGTTACCAGATCATCAAAGCTTTCAACTGGAAAAGAAGATGAAGATGGATTTCTCATACTCATGCACTATTTCTATCTGTATTAGTATTGAATTCCAAACCAATAAGCACAACAAGGGTGAGCGCGATATTTTTGCACTGGATATTCTTGGTCGTCCGAGGATTTATTTTCATCGTCAGTGATGTCGATGCACTGCTCGACGTTGTCGGTCTGGGTCGAGGATTCGACGTTGTACTTGTAGCTGTGTCCGCCCCACTTTGTGTTCTCCTGCTGCTCGTTTTCGTCGTCGTCCTGTTCCCAGAAGAACTTGTTTGCGGACATGAAGCCGGACCAGTCATCACTGTCATCTTCCGCGTCGAGCTGGTCCTCGTCATCTTGCTCGACCGGTGCTTGTTCTTGATGCGCGTCGCACTCGGCGTCCTTCTGCATGGTCCACCGCCAGCCGTTCAGGTGCCAGGTGTTCGGATTTTCCGGATCGTAGTGCTCTTCACTGGCCGCGGAAGCGTTGGCGCTGCTCTCGTCGTCCTCATTCCACCAGTTGTACTGGTTGTCCTTGTTGTGGTGCTCTTCGTCCCAGTTCCAAAAGTCATAGCCGTACTTGTTGTTATTCCACGAGTACTGGTAGAGGTCGTCGTAATCCTGGGGCGCGTAGAAGTCGTTGTAAGAGCCGTAAAAGCAGTCGAAGTTGCTGTCGTACTTCTTTTTCTCCTCTTTCTCCTGCTCTAAGGCCAACAACGTGGACGCCAGGGCGGCCTCGACATCCGTGGTGGCGGAAGCGAAAGTGCAGCACAGGGAATCCGGTTCCGGTTCTTGTTCGGCAGATTTTACCTTACCATGCTCCGTTTCATCGTCCTCCTCTTTGCGCTCGTAGGTCTTCCAGCCGGCCAAGTGCCAGGTGGAGGGGTCCTCAGCGTTGTATCCGTCCACATGCTTCCAACCACGCGCCGCCCAATCCGCAGCCTCTTCTTCGCAAGATGTGCGAGACTGGGTCACCAACTCCATCGCTGTCATTGTCAAGTCTGGCTTGCTTTGATGCTGACGACTGTCGCTGTGTTGAGACTAGCCTAGATTTTTATGACGTTTTTCTTTTTTCCAACAACGCAGGACGGAAAAAACCTAGAACTTTTTCCAACTCGTTGGTCTGGAAGTTCGTTGTAAATGGTTGGAAACAACGTCGAAATTAACGAATGTAGATTTATTTTTGAAACGGGCAAATAGAAGATGAGTGGCTGTTTCCACATTTTCGATGCGTGCGTTTTTCATATTCATATTCGTTTTCAGTACAATGGACGGTGGTGGAATCAGTAATTTGCGATGGCAAAAAACCATTGCACGAATGCCCGGAGATATTAGGGACGACTTTGTAATGTACGACGAGAGTGAAAATAGTCATGTACGAAGTCTACGTCGAGTGGCAAGTTGCATCATTTGCCACGATGTGGACGGTGCTTTTGTTTTTCTACCATACTAGGGAAATATTTGATCTACCACAAATAACAAGACCCGGACGATGAATCAACGATGTTCCCTATCGATTCGACTACGACTTCTTCTTGTTTGTTTCATATTTCTACAAATCGGACGGCATCTTAAGATCCATGCTCATGCGGTATTGCTTGCCGCTTGACCGACTGGACTTGTGTCTGGCGCTATCAACAGATTCTGATTCAATGAGTGCGCGTCTAGGCGATACTTGTAATTCCGAAAAGCCTGCTGCTCCTGACCGCATTTTTAAAGCGGTCACGACCGAATTCGAAAGTTCTGAGTCCTGTGCTTTAGATACGTCCACTTCTAGTACTCGATTACCACAACCACCTAGTGATTTTTTATGTCAAGACGCTTTATTACGGCAACATCGATGCACGCCGTCTGTCAGTCGCAGATTTCCTGTTTCATGCGCGATTGAAGTACGCACACAGAAAGTAAGAACAAGCTGTCATCCTCGAAATCGTGTTTGCACGGACACGTTTTCAAAGCACAATGCCCGTAGTTTTTGTCTTAGCTGCGGAGCCTGTGCCCGTGCCAGGCCGAGGCACTGACTTGTTGTGGATTCATTCTTGCGTTGGTCATGGTCGCTTCGTCATTTTACAAGAACATCACTTTATCTTCGCTTGAACTTGATGCGGTTTGCTGTGTCTGTATCTATTGATGTCGGTCCTAGTATACCGGCATGCACACTTCTCGCAGTGGTCGTCGTCCTTGTATCCTACAGGCGGAACGTGAGATCGTTCCCGAAAGTGACCTTCAGACTGCTGCGGCCGCCGTTTTGCTGGATTAGGCGGTCGCGAAGCCGCGCGCCGCCGCCCACGCTGGTGTATTTTTGACTGGAGAACTTCCGCACAAACAAGTCCAACGCGCTCGCCCCGGCGCGCTTCACCAGGGCTTCGTCATTGTTTTTGTACAGGTGGCACTTGTTACACTTGTTGCACTTCGTCCAACTTGGGTCCCACACGTGCTGACAAAAGTGATCGTACCCCGTGACCTTGCTGTTGCACACGTAGCACATGGCCACATGGCAGTCGGGGCACCGGATCTTGTTGCAGCCGTCGCCCAGCGTGATGGGGAGCCCGCAATCCACGCACCGCCGCATCTTCTGCCTCGACATCTCTTCCTGCATGTAGTGCAGCAGTGCCTCGAGGTTCGGCACCTTAATCCGGTCCAGAAAGGGAAGCACGCAGTCCAGTCGCGAGGACGGCGTAGTTGCACTCGATGAACTAGAGGACGAAGCAGTTCCAGAACCCGTCGCGGTGGACCCAATTTCGTGAAAAACGGGGAAATAGTGCGCTTCTTGGTTGCACAGGTTGCAGATCAGCATGCCGCAGTTAGGGTTCGTGCAACGTAAGTTCACTGGGTAAACACGAGCGGTATCCTCTGCCGCGCCACCCTCAGTTTGTGGTCCTCCCGCTGCCGTATTTTGCGAAGATTGCTGACCGCTGACGGCGGTTAGATTCATGTTCCAGCCAGTATTCGACAGCAGCGCGTTGTTTTCGAAATCCCCCAGCACCGGCAAGTTAGACCGCAGGTCGTGGGACAGTCGGGCCGTGAAATAGTGGACTTTCGCGCGTTTCTCGGGCGGGAGGAAGTACTTGGCTAGCGTGTGCCACAACTGAGGAATGTAGATGTAGAACAGGTAGATGAAGGCGGCAATGCTGTAGAAGACGAACACTAGCCAGACGCAGAAGCCGAAAAAGTACACCACTTCCAAGACGAAGCTGCAGAACAGGTCGTACGGCAGGGCCACGAAATCTCGGATCTTGGCCCAAGTTGCGGACACACGAGTGTGGTGGGCGGTCAGAAGAGCATTCAGCGTGGAAAACAGATCGAAAATCTGGTAGTTTCCGCCGTCCGAGTGCGGTTCTTGATGGTCGTCCAAGCTCAGCTTGACAGACTGGTTCCCTGGCATGGTTTCCTTTGTCAGCCGGTACGCATTTTCATTCAGGTCCTCGAGCAATTGTGCGTGGTACGCTCCCGCTCGGACCTTGCTCGCGGAGAGCAATTGTATGTCGTCCGGTCCTCGAGTAGTTCCAGTTGTGTCTTGATCGTACAACATCGCTCCTTGTTGTATTCTTTCACCAACATACGACCACCCGGGGCTGCTGGAGGATTCCTCCGTCGCGATCCAGGAGGTCCACAGGACGAAGCGCATGAGTCTGAACACGGTGGAAAAAATCGGGTAAACGAAGCCGCTCCAAAGTCTGCCGGGCAGCGCGAGGAAGTACCCGCAGAGGAGGTAACACACCAAGATGTCGTAGAACAGGTACCAAGTGCGGTGGGCAAGGAAGGAGAACGGGGGAATGTACACCAGTAGGTAGACGGTGAGGTAGACGGCGAGAAGGAAAGGCACTGTGTACTTGAAGAAATCCCAATTCGTCAGGACGTCCTGGTACACCAGATTCGCGACGGGCGCCGGTGGTACGGCCTGGTGGCCGCAAAACGGGCAGGAATGCACGTTGGACAGCTCCGGCGGGGGCAGCACTTCTTCGCAAAACAGACTCAGCGCATCTATCGAAGAAGATGCGCTGCCAGGAGCTGTGGGTGTAGTTTCTGGAGGAGGTGCAGCTGCTGGCGCTCCTGCTTGCGCGACGTCGGGTTGACCCCCTTCTCTGTGGCGCAGCGCGTTGTTCATCTCCCGCCTCGCAGCGCGCCGGGCTCGAGCGTTAGCTAGGGCGTCGCCAATCTCGATTAGGAGGGGGAACCGCGCATGCAAGCGTTCCTCGAGGTTGTTGCACAGCTGCAAGAGGCGAGCGCGCAGGTGGCGCAGCTGCCGAAGAAGGTACTTCAAGCCTCGCTGTACCACAGCCCATGAGGCTCCCAGCCGGCACGTGCGAACGAACAGGTTGCAGGCGAAGGAAAACGTGGACCAGAAAAACCGCATCTCCTCGGCGTCAATGTTTAAGTGATCTTTTCGGACGACGTCTTTCACTTGCTTCATGATCTTTTGAAAGTACTGCCGTCGGTGCACCGACTGCTGCTTCCGGCTCTTGTTTGCCTGCAGCAAATGCAAACGCTGCCACCAATTTTGCAGCTGTCTGATGGAATTGTTGGTCTTCAGGGAATGAGACGCAGATGACAGCACTGTGAATTTCAATTTTTCCGATTTTTTGGTGGTCGTCCTTGTGTCTGGTCGGCGGGTGCTCACGTCTACCGCTGTTGGCGGCGTAGCTGCGTCTGGCGGAAACAGAAACGCCACGGGATCCTCGTTTGCATGGTCTGCTTCTCCTTGAGCAGGTCGAGCATGCCTATCCGGCGACCTCGGCGACGAGGGCCCTCTGGTTGGCGAAGTATCATCGCCAGCAGCGTCCAACTCTTCCAGGCTTTGCAGCGAATCCAAGGTGAAACACCCGGGGCAATCGCTAAATTCCTCGCCCGCCTGGGGACACAGCAAGCGCTGCGCGGCCGCGTTCCGCTGGATGATTTTCGTGCCATATTCGCCGCTGACGAGCTGTTGAATGTACTTCTTCACACACGGCTTGCAATACACATGCGTGCCCTCGGTGCAGGTGATGCAGTCGGATGCCGTCAACTCGTCGTCGAAGCAGAACCCGCAGGTCCAGAAATTTTCGTCCGAGCTCTTCCGGTGCCGTGCTTCGCCTTCAAAGTTCAGCTTGCGATCGAGCTCCAAGGCGGCGCTTTTGTCCTCCTCCAGTTGCTTCGCTCTCCATTTCCGCTGCAGTTCCGGCGGCGCGTTTCGCAGCCGCTCGTTCGCTTGCCGCTGGGCGTTGGTCAGATTGTCGCTTTTCGACGGTGAAGTGGAATAAGAGGGCTTGATGGTACTACTATTGTTGTAGTTGCGCGAGGACGAGGCAGCTGCGGACGCGCTGCCGGGGAGACACGACGAGGAGGTGCTGCTTTTGCTTCTACCTCCAGAAGCGCTTACCACAGCATTCGTGCGCCGCCTTACCGTCATTTCTGTTTCTCCGCCGGGACTATTTCTAGACTGATCCTCGCGAGCGAAAGACGGCGACGCGGATGAGCTGCTGGTCGTGGCGCTGTCCATTCTAGCAGTGGTTGAAGCTGGTGCTGCATCTGGCGCTGCGTCGTCCTGCCCGTCGACGAGCTCGCTTTCGGGGTCTCCGCCGAACAGCATGCGGCCCATGATTGTGAAGAAGTTGTTGTTCGCCGCTTCTCTTTCCTCCAGCACCTCGGTTTTCCGCTTTCGCAGGAACGACAGGTTTTCCGCCTCGAAAATGGGCTCTAGATCCCAGTCCTTGCAAACCAGGCAGTAGTTGAACTCCTTCAGGATCTGCCGAAGCCGTTTCACCGGAATGTGGCTGTACTCCTGCTGACACCAGCGCAAAACTTTCTTCTCCTCACTGCCGCTCTTGAAGCCGTGCTGATTCAAGTCTAGGGGGAGTCGGTTTCTGGTGCTCGTCTCCTTCGCGAAGTTCAACTGGTCGATTTTTCCCTGCAAAAATTCCACCTGCTCATCCCGGTCCACGCTGTTCAGCCGCCCGCGAAACAGAAACTGGCGCAGGTTCGAGTCCGCGCGGTTCTTGGCGCGGAACTCGTTTTGCTCGGCCGCGGTCTGGAAATAGAGGCTGGCGTGGTCCACCTCTTCTTGCAGAAGCAAGGACGTGACGACCGGCATCGTCGAACTGGCGCTGATGGCTTCTTTCAGGTGCTGGATCTTCACCAACGGGAAGAGTCGTGCCAGATATCCGAGTTTATCGTTGTTCGAAGACAAATTTTCCGCGAGCATGCTGTCCAGTTTCACGATGATGTGGCGGTGGCAGTAGCGCGAAAACATGGAGAAGGTGGTCAGCAGAGAAACATCATTGCGGGTTTGAATAAAGTCCCGCAGCGGGTCGGCAGCGTCCCTCAGCGTTTCGACGAGGTCTTCCACAGCGTGCTGAGATTGGCTCGGGGTCCTCGCGCTAACACGAGTGTTTACTTTAGCAGGTGAGGTGGCTGCTATTGCATCTTCTTGTGGAGCAGCGCGTTTACTATTCGGTGAAGCGATCCCACCTTCCTTTTTGCCCACCGATGGCAGCAACGCTCTCTGTATTCGTGCCGGGTCGTCTACGTGCTTGCAGAAATGTAGGCCAAGGTAATGTTGACTATGAGCTCCTTGTCCACCGTCGACATTTATGACCGCAAACGAATACACGCAGGCCATGACGGAAATGCCGTCATCGAAGTCGACGCGCCTTGAGCAGGCGCCGCACCACGGAATTTCGGCTTCGTCTGCGTCCCAGGTGCGGGAGAGATTTTTCATCTTTCCGTCGTCCAATTTCACGGCGAAGTCGAAGTCGGATTCTAGAAACCACTGGCGCTCAAGCGCGCTCAGCTGCTCGCTCGTTTTGCTGCTTTTGTAATTCCGCGGAATGGAGCCCTGCAGCCGGCACGGCTTCGCCCGGGGCGGCCAGAAGAACTGGGCGCAGGACTGCAGGCTCAGGGCGAGGTAGTGCAAATCGTCTACCTTCGTGGGCCCGTCGTTGAAGCTTTGCAAGGTTTTGGCCGATTCTAACACTGCGGCGCTGTCGTCGTCCAGCATTACCGACAGCGGGGAGTAGGTCTGGCTCTGGTCTTGTTCCTCACGAGGTTGTACATCGTCTTTGGCTAGACGTATTTCCTCGCTCTGCACCTGCGAACGCGCTGATAAATCTACCGCTGCGCGCCTGTGTGGAGTTGAAGTTGTGCCACCAGATCGGGATGAGCTCGTGCCAAGCTTTTGGCTAGTAGGTGATGGCGGTCCTCGGGGCGGGGCGACCACAGCGGGGTTGATTAGCCAGCCTGTTGGCCTGCAAGCCTTGAGGAGGTTTTTAGAAAAAAAATCCCTCTCTGGCGTGCCAGTCGTGGGAAGGGGGTCGTTGTTTGGCTCAGCATCAACACCACCACTTCGAGCGCCGTCCGGGGCTTGAAAAATTGGAATATCAGCGGTCAGTCTGTCTTGATTCTCTGCAGCTCTGCCCAAGAAGCTCTGCAAATGCTTCAGCCGCTCGTCCACAATGGCCGTCGTTCGGTCGTCTTTCTTCAGTGCAAGAAGCCTCTCGCGTGCGGCCAAAGCACTATCAGCATCGGCGTTGCCCCTTCTGGCACCTCCTTCGACGTTTCCGTAAAGCCAGTCTGCAGCGCCAACACGTTGCTGCTTTTCTTGTTCTTTTTTCTTCTCGTGCGCGGAAAGTGCTAGCACGTCGGCGTTCTTGTGTGCCACGTCGTTCTGGGTGTAGGCGTGCACAGCGTGATAGATTGCGGACTTTTCCAGGTCCGGGTAGTAGTAATTCCGGTAAAATTCGTAAAGTTGCTTCTCATGCGGTGTACAAAATTGCATGGCTGCCTCCACATCCACGGGCGAGCCGCTCTCGCGGCTGCCGGAGTTACCCATGGCTTATGTATGGTTTGAAGGACAAAATCTTCTAGCTGCCGGTGGCGATAAACATGTCGTGATTCATATGCTTATGATCATTTTCAACAAAAAAACCTGTGTAGGTACTACTGTGAGATGTTGATAAAGCAGTAGAGAGACATGTCGATGGTGTGCTTCAAGCTTCGTCTACTACAGATCCCGAACGGAAAACTACAGAACCACTTATAGACTCCGGCTTCAGGAGGTCCAGCTCGTAATCGCGAAAGCGAAAGTTTCGAAAGCGTTTCACTTTCAAGATGAAAACGAAATAAGTCATAGACACCATGAGTGTAGGTCCAGGTAGTGTGACAGACACATCAAGTACAAAGGTCGTAAGCGCGACCTGGTCTTCATCAAAATGATTTATAAATCAAAGATATACAATTACGTGGAAGATAATGAAGGAAAGAGCCATCGTGTAGGGGTCCCTGGTAAGGAAATAGGAACTCATGCTCTTACACCGCAACCTGTAGTGAGGACGATCAACTCAAAGCCAGAGCCAAACAAGCAGATAAATATAGATAACATCATTGCGACAAAGACATGATCACGATTTCGATACTTGCTGTTTCGAAGCGAGAGTGCTGCTCAGCGAACAAATAAAACTTTTGGACCCATCACGGATGCTTACAGTCGTAAACCAAAACCATTATTATACTACTACTACTACAACTGTTTCATCGCGTGGTCTGAAATTCTTGACTCCTCTGTTTTCTTGCCTGCGATGTACAGCGTATTGCTATCCTTTTTTGCCCGTGGCGGGCCTCACTTCAGGTAATGGGCTAGGCGGTGTTCCAGGTCCCTGTGTGTCTGTCCTTCTGAAAAATGACACCCAGCACCGTCGCTTCTTCCATTCCCGAATTCTCACAGAAATTAAAACTACTGACGCGGAAGCTTACTGAGCCTTGTTCCGATTGCGCTGTGAGGTTGTACTTGGACCTGGGCCGCTTTGTCCACACTTTCCCGCTGATTTGTGCTATTGTTTCCCTTGCTTTTTCCTCCTGTTCTTGTCTCTGCTGCTCCAGTCGTTGTCTTCGCTCCTGCTCCATCGCCGTGCGTTTTGTGGTTTTTGGTTGTCCTGCTTTCTGTCCTTTTGCTCTCTTTTTCGGCTGTATCTTCCTCTTTGCGTTCAGCGTCGCCCGGATTGCTATCCCGGTCGGCTTTTGTTCCTTGATTAATTCCAGCGTTAGCCCAAAGGCCTCGAGGTCTTGCTTTATCTGTCGACCCCGCGGCGTGTTTTTGTGGATTTCTTTCTCTATTCTGCCTACTGACCCTTCTTTCCAGTCGCCCCTGCAGGCGTGCGCCACCCAAGCAATCCGCTTGCCCTGCACTTCGTCTTCTATGAGCTGCACCCCCAGCTCTTCGCATAGTTCTGCCCTTGACCGGTCTTCGTTCCGGTAATGCCCCCCCAGGATCTGGCGGAGCGCGTTGTGCTGGAATTTGCGCAGTGCTGTGTCGCCCGCCGGCGACAGCGACCACGCTTCTGCGTTGTATAGCACTACACTAAGAGACAGGGATCTATACAGTTCGGCTTTCAAATGCGGGGGGAGGCTGCGATCCCGCCAAATTGGCTGCAGCTGTTTGACTACTCCCGTGGCTATCCCGCAGCGCCGCGCAACTTCTGTGTCTGTGGTGCCGTCTTGCGCCACCTCTGTTCCTAGGTACTTGAAGGAGGGAACGGCCTCGACCTCCCTGCCGTTGTGCCTTAGTTTGCGCGCGTGTTGTGGCTTTGTTGCTTTTGGCTTGCTTTTCTTCTTTTGCTCTATGAGCCTGCAGGTTCTTAGTGTGCGGAGCTCCTTCACGGTCTTGTTCGGGCGACAGAAACCCGTCGCCTGGTGGAACAAGAGCGCAGTTTCGTCTGGCAAAATGTCACCGCACTTTTCGCAGACGAACTCGTTGCGAGCCTCCAAGACGTGCTTCTTCCTACCTAATCGCATCAGCCGGATGCTTTCGCCGTCCTGGGTGGTAGCCCAACCTGACATCTTGGATGCGATCGCCGTTACCCCGGAGGCGGGGTCGTCCCAAACTATTAGGTGTGTGGGCGCCAGGCCGTTGTAGGACTGGCTTGCGGGCGGGAGGCGGTCCGCCTCTCGTCTCCACTCGTCGGCCCAATCTACGCCGCTCCAGTCTATCATCCACCCCTCCGCACCGTCTAGGGCGCATCTCTCCATCATTGCTTCTGGATTTTTCCTGCTTTCTGCTTCTGGATTTACTGCCATCAGCTTTGTTTTCTTGACATTCAAATCAAGCCCCACGAAGCGGCAGGCGCTTGCTAGCTCCCCCAGCGCAAACTCCGCCTCGTTTCTGCAGTTGCTTTTGATTACCAGGTCGTCCACGTACCCCAGCCACCGAAGTGCCTGGTCTTCTGCTTCCTCCCTGGTCCAAAATTCTTCTTCCACCATGGTGGCAACGAATTGCTTCATTGCCCAGTCGACGCAGATGATGAACAGAAGCGGGGACAGGGCGCTGCCCTGCCTTATCCCGCACTTCTGCTTGAATTCTGCAGCAAATTTCTCTTCCCCGAGCCGGATCTTGATCCGGGCGTTTCTGTCGTACATGTCGCGGAGTATGCGACAGATGTTCTCCGGCATCCCCTGCTGCCGGCAAATCCGGTGCAGCACCGGCCATGATAGAGAGTCGAACGCCTTCGCAAAATCAATAAAGGTGTACAGGGCCCGCCGACCCTGCTTATTGCTGGACTCAATATCTCGCAGGAGCTGGAAGACCGCATGTCTCGTCGATAGGCCCCGCCGGCAGCCTTTTTGCCTTGTGTCGAGGCACTTGCTGGCGCCTTTTTCAATCCGGCGGAGTATTACCAGGCTTACTAGTTTCTCCCCGAGCGAGATCAATGCGATGGGGCGGTAGTTTTTTGGGTCGGCCCTGATCCCGTCCTTGTGGAGCATGGCAATCACGGCCTCGCCCCATTCAGGGGGTAAGTCGTCCCCTCTGAATATGCGGCGGACCAGGGCGACCAGGACTGCTTGAACAGTCGGGCACTCTCGTGCGAACTCAGCGGGGATCGGACCCGCAAAGGCCCGGCCGCTTTTTAGCTCGCGGAGCGCAGCTACTACTTCCTCCTGCGAGGGGACTGCCTCGAGCCCCTCGCACCAGTCTTCTTCCGGCTCGCTTTTTTGAATTTGTTCTTCGCACCGCTTCCAGGTGCGCGTTTGCCGGACACACTCCGGCGCTATTGGTCGTTCTTTTCCAAAAATATCCCCCCAGAATTCTGTCCAAATTCTGGCGGGCCCCGGCAGCTCTTGCTGTCGCCCTCTTGCCCGCCCGGCAAGTTGGCGCACTGTTTCGTATACTACTCTCGTGTTCCCCGAGTCGTCTGCCCGCTTTAGTGTCTGTATTTTCTCCTCGACCCACCGCTGCTTGTCCGCTTTTACCAGTTTGTTGATTTCCCGGGTGAGTCGCGCCACCTTCTGCTTTTTCCCTTTCGCGGTCTTCCTCTCCCCGATCTTCTTCCAGGTCTCTTCTGAGATCCAGGGCTTCTGTGGGCCCGCAGGCGCGAGTTTTCTTAGTCGCTCCAGGGTTGAAACAAGGTCGGTCTCGAATCGTTTCCACCATTCGGCGGCACTAGTGTCACCGCGCTCCATGTCTTCGATGACTGCAGGGGTGTACTTTTTTGCAAGTCTGCTGTCGGCCTCTTGTGCTTTTTCTCTGCTCCGGACCACTCCTGGTGGTATTTTCCTCTTCGCCGGCTTCTTTATAGCGCTGATCTTCATCTCCAGCGTCACCAGGCGGTGATCGCTGGAGATGTTTGTTTTTTCCACCACCTGCATCTTTTGGAACAACCCCCGGTCCCGGTGCGACACCAGGACCCTATCATATTCCCGCTGCCTGCGCCCCTCTGCTTTCCAAGACCCTTCGAAGGTGAGCCGCTTCCGCCACTGTTTGCGGCACAGACTTGACAGGTCTGTAAGCTGGCATGCTGCTGCCATGGCATGCAGTCTGTCTCGGTTGTCGGACTCCAGTGCGAAACTGCTGTGCAGCCCGCATCTGCCGACGACGTAACTCAGGTTCGACTCTATTAGTTCGAGCTCCGGGCCCCCAAGCTCGCAGTTGTGGTCGCCGCCCACTACAATAATGTCATGCCTGCTGTGCTGCTCGATGTCGTCCTTCAACATTTTGTAGTAGGCGTCTTTTTTCTCCGGGCTGGCGGTGTTGGTCGGCGCGTAAACACTGTATAGATGTACCAGCTTCCCGTAGAAACTCCGTATCGTAATCCGCATCATGCGCTCCTGCTGCGCTTCGGAAACTGTTACTACTTTGATGTTTGCCCGCACCAGCACAATGGTGCCGCCGATTGCTGCGCCAGTGCTGTTCGGCACTGCCCCGCCGCCGTAGGCTTTGTAGCCGCCGGGCCACAACTCTCCCACTAGCCACGCGCGAACGCGCGTCTCCTGCAGGAGAACTACGTCCAGCCGCTGTGCCTGCGCGTCTTTGATGAGCATCAAAAGCTCCGGGGACCATCTGTTCCTGCTTTCTTCTCGTGTGCCAAGTGTCCGGACGTTAAATTAATTAAAACCATTATTATTATTTATTAAGTTTCAAAAAATGCGCTAGCGGAGGTCCCAAAAAAGGGGGGGGCAGAGCCTAGATTTGCGTCTCACCTCGCACGGGAAGATGCGGCTCCCAGGTACCTCGTCAGCATACAAAAAACACGGAGAAAACATGTCGTGCGTGCAGTCGCTCAAGTCGTAATAAATAAAAGAACTATCTGCTAGCCAGCCAACAAAGTCGGCTATGGCAGCGATTGTCCAGGTTTCACGGTCTGTCTTTCTCTGCGGGTTCACTTTTCAACTTCTTTCACCGGGCTCTCTTGTGGCACGAAACTCTAGGTAGGCTAGTTCGACTATTTCTAGGTAGCTCTAATCTAAACATAAAGATCTACTCGTCGCTGATTTCGAAAGGCAGAAAAAGTCGCTTTTTTTTGTAACGGAGGAGGCGGAATGAGCTACAGGTCGGGGAGATAATGTTTCTCTTAACAAAGACAGGCTGATACTGTGCTAAGGGAAAAGGCAAAGCTAGAGCAAAAGTGAGCGAGTGCATGATTTTCTTATCGGGACAAGGTGAGTTTTACAAAAAAGGAAAGTAAAGACGAGTATTAGGTCGAGGGGTTAATAATACAACGCTCGCAAGATCCGCTTTATCACCACTAACTAAAGTTACACCTACACGCTCTCCCCAACACGATAGTACTACTAAAATCTCCTTTGTTCAACGATAAAGCCGCCTTTTAGCTGGTTTGAGCGTTTTGATGGCATGGATACCCGTATTCTGGCTACAGGTCGAGCTAAAAACGAAAATAACGAAAAAAAAAGGGCAAACTTGCTTTCAGTTTGGCCTTTAACGCGCTAACTACAGCAACGCGCTTCTGACTTCTTACAGCTAACCACCTTGTTCTAAACCCGTCCCTCCGCACCGCCCGGAGCCCCCGGTTAAAACCCTTCGTTTACCAGCTGGTGACTAATCGCCCGGAAAGACAGCCGCCGCTATGTGGATAAAACGTACCCGAGTCCAGGAGCATCGCGAACAAGAACGTCAGGAGTATGGTTTTTGAAAAAAAACACTCCCTTGGGGAGCGGGATGCGAAACAAAATGCCACTTTTAAGCTTATGCTAAATGAAAATAAAAAACTACACGCGCTACTACAATTCACTCTTACGTACTGAAACACTGACAAAAATCCCGTAGAGACTAGACTTCGACATGAGGTCTACGCTGTGACTTTGTTTCGCAGACGAACCCATGGGAGCGGCAAGATTACATATCATCGAGTCGGAAAAGCAGAAAGCTACCCGATGCCAAGTCGATCGCTCTTCTTGATGACAATCTTTTTCTTTCCTCGACCAGCAGCAGGTTGCTGAGCTGCTTGATCACCAGTCTTCCTCCTCGGCCCCCTCTTCTTCCGCTTAGCAAGATGAGGCGCGGGGTGTGCTAGAATCGAATCCCGAAGAACAACTGCAGCAGCTCGCGCTTTGCCGATGTCATCACCATGGTCCTCGACATAAACAGTTCGGTGGATCGACTCTTTGACCCCAGCAGGCGTGATGACTGGCACGATGACCCGAAAACACCCCTTCCAGCTGCTGGCAGCTGCACTAGCTCCGGTCTTCCACCACGTTATCCCCTTGAGCCCAGCAAGAGTATCACTCTTGGGCGGTGCTACCTTTCCTGGCATAAATGCAGCATCAAGGAGCATTTTCTTCTTTGGCTTTTTACTTTTAACAGTTTCGGTCGGGGGAGCAACTGCAGGGCGATCGAGGATGGAGACAAGAACTTCATCGGCTTTCCGCTGCTTGATGGACCGCATGTGCCGGAACGCCGTGAAGAAAGAGCGAAACTTTTTACCAGCAAATGCCGGGACCCGAAGGGGCGCAACAGCAGGTCTGCCTCCACCAGCATCATCGTCAGAGGATGAGGAAATGGACACCGTAGAAGACGAACATGCATCAGAGTTGTTGTTCAAATCGCGCGCCCAGGACCATCCAATTACTTCGAAGTCGTCAAACCCGTCAAAAGCGTCATCCTCACGCTCAAGATCATCACCAGCGCCTTCAAGTTTACTCCGCTTCGTCTGCTTCTGGTTGAAGATCGTCTCACACTCGGCGCAGAAACATAGCACACTGCCGATTGATCCGCTAGCAGGGTTGACGTCGACCTTGTACTCACTAAACTGCACAACTTCGGCCTGCAGGGCGAGATACTGCGACGCAACTTCTCTCTGGTGTTCCTCAGCAGCACCAAGAACTGGCTCACAAAAGAGATCATCATCACCAGGACCGATGGCACTAGAAGCAAGAAGATCACGATCATCGTCAAGAAGGAATAGAGACCGATACTGCGACACTGAACAGAGGGACACGAGTTTATTTATCATCTCCTTCTTCTTCGTAACCGGTGCGCCGTTTGCGTTGATAGCAGTGGATACATCAGGAATGGACTTGACGTGCTTGACCTGTGCCTCAACGTCAGCCCAAAGCTGCAGCGGGGTTCCTAGGCACTCGGGGAGGTGCCACCCCCTACCCGGTCGGAGCGGACAAAGCTGCTGGTGGTGAAAAATCCGCTTCAACTCGTCAAACCTGTGAAGCTGTCGATGAAGAGCCCCGACAACTACCGGCCTGCGCTGCATGGCATCCCCGCGGAACTGGATCGCGAAGCGGGTATCACTGAGAGGAGCGGACACAATCTTGCATGTCGGGCAAGAGCTGTACCCGGCGTACCCCGGCGCAACTTGAACGTCATGGATCTTCTTCAAGTCGGGATCACTGAACTCGCCGCCATGGCCGAACCAAGCGAAAGCAGTACGCCCGTGCGGGTCGATGTCAAAGCAATCATCTTCAGCCCCGAGCCCTTGGTAGTGGTCAGCCCACCACTGTCGCTCCTTCTTGATGACCTCGGGCATCGCGTGCTTGTCGGTGAGGTAAAAATCGAACCATGTTCATGATTCATTTGTGCAAGTTCTTCACCATCAAGGCTTATTCTCAGTCTCTTCTTCGCTCAGCTTGCGTCATCACGAGGACGAGCAACTACCCACTCATTCACTCTTTGGCACATATTCGCTGCTTTTCTTCTCGGTTTCAAGAAGCGTTATTTGGAACACAAGCAGTACAACAACTCAATCGCAGCCATCAAATCACACAACACATCGCCCTCGCTATTATTTATTTGAGATTTTGTATTTGTTTTCTGGTCTATTTTGCAGTAGATCACGCAACAGATCTCGGGAACGCATCGCGTCGGAAGGGGACCTTCATTCATATTTGTGTGCGAAATTGTTGTTACTTTCTGATATCAAATAATTTGAATTTCATTTTCAACTCAAAGAAGGTCAAATGAAGTTCAAAAGTATCACCCAATTTAGCCATTGGCGTACTTAGAGTGACCGCTTTCTAATAAATCTGCAAAGAAAGAGAATGAAACGCGATTTCCATTTGGTAGAAAATCGAAGCGAAAACGCCAGTGCCGGCGAGTTATAGTAAAGTTGGAGAACATAAACAAACAAGCAAATTAGTTCTGATTCTGGAGAAACCTCATCTGACAATCAACAGTTGTTGGCTTTTGGAATAAGTACTTATCTGTCATCGACGTCAATGCCATAAAATTGGCATCTGAAGGCGGCATATTCGTGAAGTTCTCTGATAAGGTAGATGTCACTGGCACCGAGAGACAGGCGAGACCCCACAAAACACTGAGTCACACAATCACATGCACTTACTAGTTCAGATTCGTTATTTCTGTTGCCTTACGCTTGCGGTACCGCTAGAAATGCGGCCCACACGATGGAGGAACCACAACCACCAGGGTTTCTCTGCTCCTGTATAGAAGACTGGACCCCCTGCTGGAAGATGAAGCTACCAGTACCAGCACGAAGTAATAGGTTAGAACATTTTACAAATTAAGTACAACTTTCCGATCGGATTGTGATTCGGATTCCGAATCGGAGCGGAGCAATGATCTTCAAAACAATATAAAATTACTACTTCTACCTAGTATTAACAGCAAACACACCGAGGTGGGCATGCCGTTTATCTTTTTGCTCTACAACACTTCAGGTGATATACTTGAATCGATTCAATCATACACAGTGTCACAAGCAGGGAAACCAAAAAATCTGGAAAATAGTTCAAACGGAGGCGGCTGAAAGGACGAGCTACCAACTGATCCGAAGAATCATAAAATCTTGATCTTCCAAATGTTGCATACTAGAAACCACGGCAAAAAACAGTCAAACTACTACAGGTGTTGCCCTACGAATCCCAGGAAATCTGAAAACTCAAGATTTTATTGGGCACCTCCTGGCGAAACTGCATTCCATTGTGGTCTTCATAAAACTCGCGCAGGATGTCCAGGACGGCTTGTCGATGCACCTCGAGTCCCGTGGCGCGCGCGTAGACAGCTCCATTTCCCACTGCCGCCTTCTCCTCTTGCTGGAGCAACCGCTTCCACTGGGCCGACTGATACAGCTTCGCCATTCCTCGGCTCTCCCACGTGGGAAAGGCCGCCTCAAAGACCTCCGCGCCGACCGTAACACGCACCTGAAACATGTCGACCAAGGGCCCGATTTCCCGCTGGTGCTCGTCCTTCGCGACATACTTACACCGGAGTTGCTCAGCAGTGCACACACTGAGCAGGGAAAAGGAGAGGAAAGAGTTCTTGCTAACCCTTTTCTTGTCGTGCTCATGGAAGGCGACGTCAACGGATCCGTGCATCTGCGAGGCACCTGTATCAAATTGATGCATTCTTGACGATAACAAGTACAGCAAATGAGCATGAGGACATCTTTTTCCCATTGAGGAGTCGCTGGTTTTGATGTCCATGTTCCAAAAGATCTCTGAAAAAAATCAAAAGTTCGAAGTGTAAGCGAGTGGGAGGGACTGGGACGAGCATATCAACATGACTACCAAACAACTTCTATCGAAGTTGGCAGTAATCATCCGCGCGCGAGCGGCCGATGAATTCATTGTACCAACCCGTCGGCTCTGAATATGCAAAAAATAAATACACATAAGTACGCAATGGAATTGCACAGCAGCATCTAGTTATGAATAGCGAGCACACACAGACACACACGCACAGACACACTACTTACCTGCCAACGTTGCAACCTGGACGCACTTCGCAAATGTCCCGCGCAAAACCGGAGCCAAATGCTCCGCGCGTTTCGTCACAGCGATCTTCGTGAGATAGGCCGGATTGAGCAGGACATCGTCGATCGGATTAAGGTAGTCGCCGATCTTTCTCAAGCAGTCGAGCGGAAGCACAGGCGGTTGCTTTTTTCCAGCTGCCCTTCGCGCGTTCAAGTATCGCGTTTGGTTTTCCGCCAGACTCATGTTCAAGGCCACCCACGAAGTCCGGTTGCTTGGTAGTCGTACGTGCGCGTTGTACTTCTCAGCTGTGTTCAGCTCTTCGAGTCTGTGCACCCTCGAAGGAACGACTGGCCGCGCGCCACTATTTGTGGTCTCGTTCTCGTCAGTCTTGCTACTCTGCCTTTCTTCCCGTGCCAGTTTTGGACTGACTTGACTGTTTCTCGACGTTACCCACACAAGACAGCAGCCCGCTAATTTACCTGAAGGCAAACATACAAACTAAAACTCTACTGAAGTCTATTAATATTATTAATAATGCAGCTCACGAACAAGACCCAGTCGCAGTCCCGTGTAGTCATAGCAACGTCACACGTGGTTCTAGTACTAGTACCAATCCATGACAGACGATAAAAACGATAATTAATGCGCTTCTTGTATTCAATGCTTTCGATCGATATGCATCATGTCGGTACTTTATTGTACGCCAATGCGTGTATACTCTCATACAATCAACATGAAAACAACCATAGGTGAAAACGACTGATGAAGAGACATATAATTTTTACGAAGATGATTTATACCTTGCAACTGGCCTCCTCCCTTAGTGATGGAGAATGAAAACCGGCCTTCCTCAGCAGCACGACGGCACGCGATGTGATTATGCAGATCCTCTTCGAGCGGAACGCGAAATTTGGCCAATTTTGTTACACGCTGCATCGTCTTCAGGGTCTCTTTTGGCCCGAGGCTTTGCATTTGTTGTGTCAATTGGTCGTGGTCGCGCGTGTAGCCTTGGATGAAGGCGGCGCAACGCTCCTCAACCCATTTGCCACACTGCGACGACACGCCCGAGGGCGCATGATTTGACATTCTGCGGCTTTGTAAGGATTCAAGACGGGAAATGAAGTCAAGCCTACGACTGGAAAAAATACGCTTCTCGAAAGCTCACTTTTACTTTCTCAGACTGTACCTACTAGAATTGTCGTACATAGCATATTGTAAGCGAGAGCCATCACTTAGTACAGTCTCTCTGTGCAGTAAAATCTGCACGTTGATGTTATAATACAGAAAAGAGCGGCAGCAGCTAGATAGCGACTTTGACGTTCTCTCTAGTTTGTTTTCGATATCGCTTTGGATTTCGGCTTCGCTCTCGCTGCCGATTCAATACAATTTGGTTTATTGATGCCATCAACAGCGAGGAGAGGCTGCAGCTCTGTCTCTGAAAAAGACGATTGTGGATCTTAAAAATGAAAAAGCGAAGAAGGCGAACACCAGCAGCAGCAGCCGAAAGTCCGGCAACAACGTTCACTTTTAATTTGTTGCTGCTCTCATCTAGAAACAACAGTTCCAGCTCGGGAGCGGGAAGTCTTCGACTACTCGAACTCATATTCGAATCAAGGCCGTCCTTTGTCTGGTGAACATGAAGAGAAGCGCTCATCTCATTCGCTTGGCATTACTCGCGACGTAGTTGTTTAACACAGATTGCTTTTGCGATGTATGTGCAAGTAGTTCATCTTGCTCACCTATCATTTCTTCTTCCCCTTCCCCTTCTTCCCTCCACCTCCCCCAAACTGCCCGCGAATTGCCGTGGGCGGTAATACCTCGTCCGGCCCGACGGGTAGTGTTTCGCCCGGGCCCAACCGGCTCTGCACGTACTGCTTGAGGTCTCGCAAAACCTTCACCTGCTCAAGCTTTTGCTTCGACAGGAGATCCCAGTAGATGCCGGTAGGTTGTGGCTTTGCCTTTTTCTCCCGGGGAATGCGGATCACTTTTGTCGGCGTGAGAATGATGTCCACACAAACGTCGTGGGGAAGCAAGTATGGTTCTTGTGAGCCCGGCACGCTGGCTCCTTGACACGATGCTGATTTTTCCGGTAATAAAGCGTTTTCAGCATGTTCTCCCACTCGTCCCTCGTCGCCGGCCGCGCTGTCATCCGTCTGTTTCTTTCCTGGCGGAGGTGGTATGTCCGTGCAGAGTTGGCAATCGTGGACGTGGGTCAGGACCGGCGTGTTCTCGTCGATCTGGCCCATCATTCGCAGCACGCCGTACTCGATCTCCGCGAAGCCCTCGCCTTTGCCTATCCGCGCGCCGTTCTCCGGGTTTACCGCGACGCTGCCGATGACCACCAAATCCACCTTCAGGCTGATTTCGTCAAAGTCCAGCCGCTTCCCGATCGCGTTCGCGCCGCCGCTTGTAGACACGTAGGCGAGCGCCTGGCTCAACGAGTTTTCGTTTTCCCGACGCCACGTTTCGAGAATCGCGGGCGTGATCTTGCTGAAAAAGCCCTTCAGCAACCGCGGCTGCGGGACCAGCAGGGTCTTGTTCTGCTTCAGCGTGTTGAACCGGATCTGCTTCTGTGGTGTGTCCGGGTTCACCTTAACGACAGTGGCGGCGATGAATTCTGGAATGTTCAGAATTTGCTCCGCGGCGCCGGCGGCGTTCTTGAAGTTGGGAATCCGGTGGTGCACGGGGCGCGGAAATTCGGCGAGATTGTGTTTCTCAAGGTAGTCCCAGATACGGTGCCGGATCGCCCATTTCCAGTCGGTGTTGGGCCTCGTCGTCGTGGTGCTGGAGGCCGAGGACAGGAGCACGTCCGACTTCGTCTTGGAATTCGGCCGAGGTGGCTGGGCGGTGCTGTTTTCTTTCTTGCCGCTCTGAAGATCGCCTGGGCTGGAAGCGTGCTTCGTCGCGGCCGCTGCGTCTATCTCCTCGGTTTCAGCATCTTCACAGTTGGCGTTTGCCGGTGCCTTACCCTTGTTCCAACGCCCCCTGCCCCGCGTGCGGGGCTTTTTTTCCTTCTCGTCCGCACCGTCTGCGCGGGCCTGCTCAGTGACAATATCGTCTTCGGCGCGAAGAGCCGTGGGTTTGTTCAGTTCCTTGCGGAGGTCCGCGCTAGATGAAATAGCAGCAACGTTTTTCCGCGCTTTTCCGTCATCCTCACTTCTGCTGCTGCAACTAACGAAAGGCACCCCCTTCCCGTTGTCTGCCGAGAGGTTCGCGGTTGTAAGCAAATCTGCACCTCCGACATGCGTCGCGACCAGCGCGTCGGCGAAAGCCCTACCTGACCGAAAGGCCGCACCTATGTTGTTGCCGCACAGCCAGTCGCCCACGACGCCTAGCCTGTGCTCAGCCTCATACAAGAAGCCTCCGGTCGCTCCTGAGTCGCTTGTCGTGACCGGCAGCTGATTCGCGGGAAGTGCTGCGCCCCACAGCTGCAGGTGGCGGACCTTCACATCAAAATCGACGTTTTTATCTGCGACGGTGCTGCTACCGAAGCCAAAGCTTATAGCGACAGCGTCTGGAAGGTTTGTGCAAAATTCGCGAAATGCTCTGCATACCGCAGTCGTGACAGTCTCAAAAACGTCATTCGGAATGTTTTCTTGTGGGCACTTATGCTTGCTCGCAAATTCAGGCGTTGTCAGAATTGTCCAAAATTGGGTGCTTTCTTTCCCCGTCAGCTTGATGTGGTCATGAAGATCTTTTTTCTGGCCATACTTTCGGCTGTTGTTAGCCACAGTTTTCAGAACGGGATGGTTTTCAATGTTGAAAAGCCAGGGCGAAGATGAAGCGCCCTGCGGTGCAGGAAGGGTCGTCCCGACACCAGCACCAAGATTCGTTTCCAGCACGATTGAGAACTGCGATAAGATGTCCAGTTTGTTGCTGCTCGGACGATACGGCTCCGCAGCCTTACCTTTACCTTTTCCTTTGTTGCTGCCTCGTATCGCGGGGTCAAAGTCAAAGCTTAAGTTATCTTTTTCTTTCACTGTCTCCGATTTCATCTCCTCCTCCTGGCTCTTTCTTCTCGCGTCCGAAGCCTCGTCGCCGCTGACGAATCGGCATTTGAGATATTTAGACGCAATCTGGGAGTGCCGGATCCAAGCCGTGTCGATGAGTCTGGTGGCACATTTGCCGCAGTGCGCAATCACCAAATGCGTGTACTTCTCCTTTCGCCACGTTTGGTTCTCCTTAAGCAGCCAATGGTCTTTCGCGAAGTAAATTTCGGAAATCCATGTCTTCAAGTGCAGGGGGTATCGAGGACAAGAATTCACTAGATACTGCGGCAGTGCAGCGACGCCTGCGTGAGCGATCGCACCACCACCAGCCTCAGCACGAACCGTTTTCGGATTTTTCCTTGTCTCATCGGATGATATGTTTGTGGCAGTCGCTGCGGCGGACCTGGCACTTGTTGGCAGAAGTAACACGTCCTCTTTGATGTCAGCTAGCCTATTGCTATTGTCTGCCTTGTTTCCTTCTACAGCTGCGTTATAATTTCCGCCCTCTGTGACTGTGCGCGTTCGAAACTGTTTTCCTTCTTTTTTCTGATTCTGGCCGAGGCAATACTCCAGGTTGAGAACTTCTGTTTTCGGATCGACCCGCCGCACAATCCCGGCGTCCAGGAGTTCCTGGGCTTCTCCTTCGGTGAACCCGCGGAAGACCTGACACGCATGATCGACAGCGACGGCGGAATTGTCGAAAACTCGAGAACTGCACCGCCCGCCGGGGTAGACCTTGCCCGTGTCGAAAACGGCGCACTTGATGCCTGCGCCACTCAGCCTGTGTGCCAGCGCTAGCCCCGAAATGCCACCCCCGATAATTGCCACATTGGACGACACGCAGTCGTCAACAGCGGTTGCGCTTTTGCCCTTCTCGTCTCCATTTTTTGGCGTATTTGTATTTCCGACATTCTTGGTGTGGCCCCGCATCAGATCGGGCCATAAATTAAAGACAACTTCAATTATATAACTCGTCGGGGACGGGGACAAAAGAAAAGAGAGAGAAAATAACGAAATGAAAAATGCGAGGGTGGTGGAGAAATGACTCGATACGTCTACGTCCTGATACTGATCGTAGAGAGATGAAGATTGATGTAGTCGTCGATGTAATCTGAGTATGTTGACGAGAGCTCATGCTCGATGTCAGTCCTGGTGGAGCCTAATTTTTCACAGAGAGACACAAATGTCTTACTTTTTGCCAGGATTCACGCCGACATGGGCATCGCGGTGGCGACTTTTTCCTTTCGTGGCTCATCAGATCGAGAAGGAACTTGTCTCGTCGACCACGTTGAAGACAACAGAAGATGCACTGCATCACTTAAAATAACCACTGAAAATAAATGGTGCGTGCGACCTTCTCCTGAAAAGACCGACATATTACGTCCTCGCGCGCCGTCATAAACAATACCCAATTCATTTGAATTCCTTCAACGTGATTTATTTTTTTTTTGGATAATAGAACATGAGCGGCGGACCTCGCGCCACGCGGTTTCTGGCAACAGCCAACGTCTGAATTCGAGCCTGGAGCTGGCGACCTTTATCAGGTTACAACAAGATAGCCGACATGGATTGGGTTCTGAGGAGCACAACAGTCGTGCGGTGTACGTGTACAAGTCTGCTTTACAATCATCATTATCATCATCTGCTTGTAAAAAAAATCGGGCCAGCACTCTCGTCTTTAATGCCAGCATTTTCTGGCGTGCGGGCTACGGTCTGAAGCTAATAAATCCTTCTGAGACCACGACGAGTAGGTCCTTTGTAAGAGCTTGCATAAGCTTATACACCGTTGCGAGAGCAGCAAAAAAATCAATATCAACATAAAGATATACATAAGGCAGTGCACTTTCCTTAGCACTTCACCTCAAAAATGCATGCAGCATGGCTCATTCTGAACCTGAACCACCTACCAAAAAGGGCATGCTAATGCGTCAGCAAAGTTCAAAACAAAATCAAACTTGTCGTCTTGAGTTTTGCGGATTTATTTTGCCATCTACGAACGTACGTTCATAGAATGGTCCTTCTCAAGAATCACGGTGGGCGTCTCTAGTTATTGTGCTTGGTTCTTCTGCCCTTGCATCCTCGCGGCTGCTGCGGCTTTGGCCTGCGCAGCCCGTTGCGCTCGCGCAGCTTTCTCCTCCTCCAGGAGCCTTTTCCTTTCCGCCAGTATTTCCTTCTGTTCGTCCTCCCGCTTTTTGCGCTGCCGCTCTTCGTTTAGCAAGTGCGCCTCTCTGGTGCGCCGCGGGTCAGCTTCCAACACAGCGAGTGGGCGAGGCAGCTCATTGTTCGCCGCGCGGCTCTTCTCCACTGCTTCTCTGAACGAGGAGGATGATGACGACGATGTAGCAGGAGCTAGCCCACCTTCATCTGGGTTCCCAAATCGTGCGTGCGGTCGGAAGAGGCAAGCGTCCCGATCGCGTTGCTTTTCCTCATCGGCCCGCCGCTCCCCCTCTACGCGCCAGGCCACGCAGTCCACACGCAACGCATCGCCGTCCAAGCCGACCCGCTCCCAGGTTGGCAGCAGTCTTTTGTAGTAGCCCGAGGAGGGGCGTCCCACTCCGCGGCTTCCATTGATAGTACACACAAGCCGAGCCAGCCTCTTGATTAACACCGGATCCAATGGCTCTCTAAGAAGTGACGGATCTGCAGCTGGTTCGACATAATGCTCCTCAGATCGAGTGTGAGCGTCTCCTTCGCGAAGAGCGCTTCTACGCCTTCCATCTCCAGGATTATTTCGTCTTCGTGGACTTCTACTTCTACCATCTCCGGAAGATTCGTAGTGTTCATCTTCGCTGGCCTCTCTGTCGTCGCCGGGGCTTCCCGGACTGTGAGCCTGCCCCTGCTCCACCGGGTTTCCAATCTCGCGACAAACCGGACACCTCAAAGACTTCTGTCGAGAAGTCGTGTTCCTCCAGCTGAGCGATGCTCTGCTCAGCATGCCAGCCACGCATTCCAGGCAGAAAACGTGCTGGCACGGATCCAGGAATACAAGCTGGTCGGGATGTACCTCTTCAACAAACGTCTGGAGGCAGACGCTGCAGTCTCGCTGATCATAGCGCTGGCGAGCACGACTGAGTCGGTGTAAGAAGCCAATCGTGGCCGCCGGAAACGCGGTGTCCTCGCCAGGAACGTGTTCGTCCCCTTTCGCGGGGTACGGTACCGAAAATTGAGTAGCGACGGGATCCTTCCCATACCTGAGTTTCGTGAGCAATGCCTTTGCGACCCTGTCGCCCTGGTTCAGAAGCTCGTTGGCAATAGTGGCTCCACCTGTACTCCTGCTGCAACCCGCAGAACTTGTTGCAGGAGGAGTAAACAAAAGCGACCCGCTTGTCTTGTCATCATCTCCGTTTGGGTGCCTCCAGTGCAGATCTCCCGCGTAGAAGGCACGGACTTCCGCGCTTTCACGGGCCTTCGCTTCCGCATTTTCGGCATTTGCGTCCCCCTTGGCGGCGTGCTCGAGTTTCGAGGATGCCAAGCGTAGGGCGGCACGGTTCACGATTTGCAGAGCATTCTTTAGCACCACGGAATGCAGCTGGGGAATGTAGCCGCGGTCTTGACAAACCAACGACTTGCGCTTTTGCAACGGAATGCCAACGCGCGCTCGTCATAGACGCCGAACTCGTCGAGCCTGGTGTAGAACCACTGCTACCTGACGCGGGAAGGTCGTGCAAGCCAGGCGGTCCTTGATCTGCGCAACCAGAAGTGGCTCGGCACGGAGTCGAGGAGACCGCAGGCGGGCACGGAGTTCCACCAGCCGTTGGGCACGGGGTTGGCTCGATTTTTACAAACCCCAGCACATCTTCAAGAAACTTTCGGCAGGCAGGATTCCCCCAGCAATCGCGTAACGGCTGCGATTTCTCCCAATTCAGGTCGCCGAAGTCCGGTGAAGGCTTTGCTCCTGGAGACGAGGCGGGCTTTTGCATTTTCAGAGTAAGTCCCCCCGGTCCATGTGCATCCTCTTCGTCTGCACGCATGCTGGCGCACATCTTTTCCAAGTTGGTGGTGACTTTCTGCAGAAACTTAAGACGCTCGCCGGCGGCGTGAAAATCATCGGCTTCTGCATTGACGAGGTGCTTGACAAAATCGGCGAAAGTGTTGGAGGTTCCTGTATCACCAGCGCGAGCCGCAACAACGGGGGCTGTTGTGTATGTCAATAGATAAAAGCAAATCAGGCACAGACTGCTGCGCAGAAGCGGAAGCGGTCGCGCGCCGGACGGATCAGGTTTCCGTTTCTCCCAGCTCATGGTGGGAGTTGTGATCCCAATATGAAGCATCTTCACTGGGTGGCTCCAATGCGTGCCTATCGTCCTCGGCGCCCTACAACTGCAACAAATGTTTTTGCTGCAAATCAATCGGCGGGCTGCTCGCTTCTTCAGGCGAACGATATCTATGTTCCTGCTTGTTGAAAAAGAATGACGTGTGCGCTTCTTAAGGTGAGCGGGAAAAATCCTCTCGCATACTACTAAGCAATCCTGAAGGTAAGAATATCTGCAGAAGAGTGAACCCCTCCGCACACCAGGTGACGTTTCACCGCTTGTTGAAAAAGAAAATCAAAATCATGTTGAAGTTGATAAATGCTGACCGGCACGGGGTTCAATCACAAAAGATAAAGATGTATTCTATTCATTGGTTGTAAGAAAACCGTTTTCTGAGAAAATGAAAAATCAAAATTAGAAAGACTGTATGTGCAGCTGGTACTGCATCTATAGTTTCATCGCACGTAGAAAATGAAAAATGAAAATCCAAGCGGCACTGCGTCATTGATTCCAAAGTTTCTTGCTGTTGCTGCGCTGCACATGCAATTGCAACAATCTCACGCTGTGAATCGGGTCTTTGACTTTGGATATGGTAGTCGTTGCCAGACGGATTTCTGCTGTGCTCCTTGTCCAGGCTCCAACACAAATACTAGTGCAGCGCTTTGAAATCAGTTTACTTATAGGAGTGTCGACACTACTACTTCTACTAGACGGGATCTCGATCTGCTTGCTTCTGCATCTGTACCTGTAGTCGTAGCTACAATACGCATTAAAAAGCCTGTCGGTCTTCGATGTACTCATGTTAATACATGTTCTTGATCCACATCAACATCCACCTGATCTTGTCTACTCGCAAGAAGCGACCACGGAAAAGAAGGAGCGACCTTGTCTTCACGGCTGTCTTGTTCAATGATAATTAGTAGTTCCCAGCACTCTTGGTGGTCTTGTCACTGTTACTTTCTAATTCTAGGCAAGGAGAGGGACAGCAAGAAATTGGATTGAGGTCCAGGCGGTTTCATCCTTGGTTTGATTACACAATGTAGTGCTACAAGGCAGTCGCTTGAGTCTGACGAAGGTCGTCAAAGAAACTAACACGGCTGACGGCGACAATCATTGAGATCAAGGCCTAGATATCTGGTGGTGATGGAGAATAGTATCGGGAAAGCAAAATACTTCGTGTTCGTTTTTTTATTACGAGTATCAAATTTCACTGGAGACCATGTTAATACCTATCGTTATCAGCTGTGCAAGAAAGAAGGAAACGTAAACAAAGTGGCTATCGCTCCATCTGTACTTGTTCTGTCCGTGAAAGTAGAAAGTCAGCTCGGTTTGGGTTTTGGTTTACACTTCATGAGGGCCTGACGGACGCAGGTGCAGACCACATCACCATGCTGGTTAAACATGGTGTGCTCCAGCGTGACGATGCCCTGGCCCGGCCTGGATTTGGACTCTCGGTTTTCCAGCACCACGGTCTCCGCACACAGCGTGTCTAGCGGGAACACTGGTTTCGGAAATACCACCTTCGAGAAGCCCAGGTTCGCGATGGTGGTGCCATGTGTCGTCTCCAACACTGTCATGCCCACGAGCAACGCGAGCGTGAACATCGAGTTGAAGAGCGGCTTTCCGCCAAACTCGCTAGATTTCGCCGCGAGCGTGTGGTCCAAGTGGATGGGGGCCGGATTTAGGGTCAGGCAAGTGAAAAACACGTTGTCCGCTTCGGTCACGGTGCGCGTGAGCGCGTGCGGAATCTTCAGTCCAACGCGGAGCTCCTCCAGGAACTTCCCGTGGTAGACCGGTTCTGGCGGTTTTCGCTTCAAAGCCGCTTGTTCCGGCTCAGTTGGCTTATCATTTATTTTTGCACGACCCTCGTTCTTCATCGACACAGTTGTACTCTTTGGTGCAGGGTCTTCGGCGCGCCCACTGATCTCCACGCCGGACTGCTTTCCTCTTTGCAAAATCTTTTTCGCGCGCGTGTAGTGGGGGAGGTCCACCATTTGGTTCTTGTATACCACGGCGCCTTTCGTAGCCTCCGCGGACTCGAACAGTGCCACAATTTCCTCCGCCTCCTGCATTTCCATGCTGGTCGGCGAGAAGAGTTTCGTCAGCTGCTCAATCTGTAGCGGGTGCAGGGAGAGCTTCCCGTCGAACCCCATTTGCTTGGCCTCGGTGGTTTCGTGCGCAAAGCCCGACCCATCCTTCACGTCCGTGAAAACGCCATCGATGGCCTGGATATTTGCGGCTTTCGCAGCGAGCAGACACTGGGTTCGTACGTTCTGGAATACGGGGAGGTAAGAGGACGTGGACGATGTAGTTGACGGATTCTTTGAAGATACGGCTCCCATGTTGATCGTCTCCACTGCGCTTGTTCGCGTGCTCGTCGCTCCGATCGCTGCGGACAGATCTTCGCACCCCCAGGTAATTGCTGCTATCCGGTCGCTGCCCGCGGCGATCTCCTGCAGATTCAGCACGGCCAGGGGGGTCTCGGTCGCGATGGGCAGAAGGACGTGGTCAGGCCGGAGCAAACCGCTGTTCTCCAACAGATCCAAGTCCTGTTTCGAGCTGATCTTCGGCAGCATGAAGCCATCGGCAAGCTGCGCAGCTCGAAGATCGTCGTGCCAGAACTCGGAGTCCAGCGGGTTGATGCGCACCAGAATTTCCGGGTGGGGGAGCGAAGAGCCCGAGCCTTCTCCTTTGCCGTGAGCAGAAAGAGATGAAACAAGAGAGGACGATGAAGTTCTTCTTGCGTCGATGTTCTTCTGTAGGAAGTCTTGCACCAGCTGCCGGCCGCGCTGCTTGTTGGGAAGTAGCACCGAGTCTTCGAGATCCAACACCAACGTGTCGGCGTTCAAGCTCAGACATTTCTGCAGGAACTTCTCGCTGTCCCCGGGGACAAAGTGCACCGACCGTCGCAGACGGTTTTTCTTGTCGGGGGGTATTCTAATGGTCGTACTGAACAAGCACGATTTCTGTAGTTGATGTGCCGTGGTTGCACCAAACAAACGGGACGAACAAGCTCGGTTTGTGAAGAGTGTGCGGTTGGAGAGGCTGACGAAATGTTGATGTGCTTCACTGCAAACACTTGTTCTGCCCGTACAACAGCGAGAACTGCTGTTGATAGCCGCGCTTGCGCGCAAAAACAATGGGAAGGAGGTCGTGGACAGTGCAACAGGCCGTCTGCAAGATTGATACTTGTAGGAAGGGTAAGTAGAGTGGTTTCTAATCGAGGACATCCTTCTACTAGCACTGCCACATTGGCGCTGCTGCAAACTCGAGCAGACCGCAACTACCGGGGCCTCGGGCGTCGGGTTGAACGAGGAGGCTCGGGCGCCACTCTTTAGCAGCGACTGATGAAACTGGAGACGGAGAGCGACCATCTTGCTTGTACAAACAAAGGTAGATAGTTGTAGAGCACAAGAAGAACAGGCACCACTACAACTTGCCCTTATCTTTATCCAAACCCGTAGCGACGGAAGATCGATGAAATACGAATACCAGCTTCTTTCGTCATTATTTCCATTTCCATTATACATTTGACTTTTGTCTGTTGCACATCCACTTACTACAAACATATTGAAGTTGATTTGTTTCTCATCATGTACCGCTCGCTGATGCCTCACGCACCTCTCTCGTCGTTTGCGCTTGCTCTTCACACTGATGCACCACCACTGGATGTCGTTGGTGCCTAAACTACATCTACAGCTTCAGGTGCTCGCTTAGAAATTTGGGAAAGGAGCCAGCGGACGTTTGGACGCTCAGAAAGTGAATTTTTCCTTCCCGCAATGGCAAGAGATCACATCATCTAAGAACATCAATCAGGGGAACGCGAACGTAGAAGTACGAAATAGCGATAGACGAACACCTAGACCACGCACCAGAATGTTGCGGGGGGTCGTCTTGCAGCTTTTGGAGGCGGTCACGAGACGAGTGCGACCTACTGGCTTTGTTCGAGAAGTCTATAGCTTTTTCTTTCTGTAAGTGTAACATGTACAAGTAGTGGAAAAGGTAAGTATTACACTTTCCAAGTACATGATACTTGTGTTGGTTCTTTGGGGCTCCTGCTCAGTCTGGGATTAGAGCAGAGCTGTCTTGATGAAGTTCATCATACATAAAATTGAAAGGACACCGCAGTAGAAGTTGTAGAGGACGGCAAGTAGCTTCTTGCTACTGTGTTGACTAATTTCGTTGATGATCTACAACTTGTGGTCCGAGACCAAGTTGTGGACCACGAGATATCTTTTACAGACCTCCTGACCCTGCTGAGTACCTCAGGTCTTCAAAAAGTCGGCGCTTCCTCTACTAATATAAATATATACCTTCTACTTCAGTAGTTCTAGTACTAGTTCCTATAACTACCCTTAGAGTTAGACTTGGCAACGAAGGTCTAGATTGTCCACTTCAACTTCTGGGGGGCAGCTGCGTATGCGGCGGGATAGCGCCGGGATGCATCAGGTTGCTGGTGCGGCAATCCATCACATACGGAGCAGCAGCGCCCCACGCCATCCAAAGACCTTCTTTGTATATGGCTTTTACCGATCTCTCATCCTTGAATAGTAGTGATTCTCTATCTCTTTCGTCACGTCATGCCCTTGATAGGGAAGATCCACCCAAAAGCAAAAGGTCAAACACCCGCGCCAAAGCTACTTGTGCGAAACCAAACAGAAACCCCACTGAATGCATAACAAGTACCATCGGCCCGGGTGCATGGGTATTACCCGCAAGAAAAAGGTCAAAAAGTGGCGCAATAAGTTGTCGTGCAAGCTACCGCGCTGGGTGTTGTTTGGACCTTCCAGATCAGAGAAAAATGGTTTCCTGGACGTATCTATAATTTATCGCTTGCACCACGAACGGAACGAACCTGGCCTCTACGATTCGCGTTGCTTACTCTGTCCAAGAAACACGCATGTCAGTGACGAGATCGAGACAAAGCATTAGCGAGCAGTCTTAGTGTCTGTGTCATACTCATAGTAGACCCGTCTCTCTCTCGGGTGGATTGAGAGAAAAAGCGTGTCAATGAAATAAAATCATACATGTGAAGATAATCATATGTAGCTTTTTGTGTTGTACAGTACTTCCATGAGTTTATTTTTAGTCTTGATGTTCTTTTTTCTGACGTCGCAATACTGGCTGTAAGTAACGAATTATGGCTGCTGATGGTGCTCCTGCGTCGCAACTTCCTTTTTTCGATAAAAAAAGAAAAAAGAGAGACGCGGTCACGGAGATCGTATAACTACAACTGTCTGCAGAAATAAATCATACACGTCGATCAAAAGAGAGAGGTGGTCACGGCAGGAGCAGTCGTAACCCTAACGAGAGCTGCAACTTGCTCACTTCTCGTTTCGTGGGCCTTGACAGTGTGCAGCAAGCTGTGGCCCCACCAGCAAATCAAAAATCAGTCAAGGCGGCAGCTCCACGTCAACCAAAAGTTTTTGCAGCGGCACTGCACGCACCTCTTGCAAGAAAGTTCAGAGGTCCACCTTGTCCGCGTCGTGCTAAAGAGTGTGAACCATATGCATATACTCCTTTCCGATGGGTCTTAAGTCTTCCGTAATTTATTTTTATTATGATTTCTAGCACCACTACCTCTTTCAGGTTACCGCCCAATGAACTTGAGAGCCAGCATTCCTCGAAGCAAAAAAGTATAAAAAAGGAGCGTGCGGATGCGAGTGCCGTTCCTTAGATTGGGTCTGGCCTCGGCGTTCGCAAAGTCGCACGGCCTTCCTTCGCGGCGACCCACTCGTTAAGAAACACGACGTCGCTCCCGATAGTGGGCAGATTGAGTCCGCAGACCGAGATAAAGTCGTAGCCCTCGTCAAGCGTGGACAAATTGATCTGGCCGCCATTCTCGGTGAGGTCCGGGTTGTCAACGTCACTCTCGCTTTCGCGGCCGCGCGGCATGTCAAAGCTATTGCGGCGACCACGTGCGTTTCTGTAGGCGGCTTTTTTGCGCGCCCGCCAGTGGTTCGTTGCCCCAAAAAGATAGGTTCCTTCGTCGTCCAGGTTTTCCTTCAATTCCCAGCGTACCTCCTTCTGTCGCCGAGCGAGTACGTCATTCAGGCTCGTTTCCTTCTGTGCCCCGGAGGGACTGCCGCGCGTCATCACTTCGGGCATGATTGCGGTACCGGTGTTCTTCATATAATCATCGAAAGCTCGCAAATTGTCTGCATACTCAGGGCTCCGCCAGTCGGCGGCCAACCGAGCTTGTCGCGCGCCTGCAGTCCGACTCCTGCGGACATCCCAAAAGCGGTCAAGGTAGAAGTTCTGCTTTTCCCTCAGGGCATCCGCATCCAATGCCACGACGCACTCCTCTCCAACGCGCGTTTCTTTTTTCACCTCCGTCAGGCTAAATAACCCTTGCTGTAGGTTCGTGAAGTAAACTCCGGGTCCGAGAATGGCATTTGCTGCGTCATTCGAAGGCCTCAATGTGCCGGAGGTTCTGATCGCTAGATGAAAAGTAACGATGGTGTAATGATACAGAATCTTAGGCGTGCCGAAGATCGTGCGGTCAAATCCCCAGTGTCCCATGCCCATTTTGTTGGCGTCAGAGTGCGGATTGTTGAATGTTTTCGTGCCGCTGGTGGGGTTATTCCACGTGTCATTGCTCGTTTGCATGATTCTGCGTCCCACGCGAATGCGAGCCAATACAAGCGCCCAAAACATTGTCATCACGAGTTTGCGCATCTTCTGCTCGGATAGTACGTAGTACGTGGAGACCCAGGCTGCGCTGTCGGCGTCCGTGATGCCTGTGGTGTCCAGGTCGTATTGCTGGAACAAATCGTCCATGTCTTGGTGGTGAACACGGACGGACAGCAAGTCCTCAAACCGGGCCTTCAGGCGGTACTTGAGCGCGTTGACTTGCAGGGCGTTCCAGCTACTCGACCAGCTTTGGACACTGCTATTCCACACCGTGTTCAAGTCCTTCGGCCGAGTATATTGCTGCGGTGCCTCGGCGGTGCCCGTTGTCAACTGGTCGGTCAGTTTGGAGATGGCCCACTTTTTGTCCCAAATGGTATCCAAATACCAGGTTACACCGTTCATGGACTCGTAGTAGGTAGTATGCCAAATACTGACAGCAAACGGCACGATCGAAAGAACTTGCTTGTACGCGAGGTGAACGCGGTCCTGTGTGATGTTCTCGCGGAAGTGGTGCTTCAGGGTTTCGTTCGCCGTAGCGTTTAGAATTGTATCCGCACTCCCACCGGCCTTGAACGGATCTTTTTCGTGCGCGTCATACGCTAGCCAGCGAAGCCACGTGTCGCGCGCCGCGCTTCCCCGGTTGGCCTGCGTCGTAGTCCGATGAGAACCAAAATTGGTCAAATTGGCTGGCTTCGCCGCCGGCTTCGGACCAAATTTGGGGGTCGTCACCGCAGGCAGGTCTACCGCATCGTCTGGGTCGTTGCTCACGATTCTGCTGAGCTGTTTCGGAGCCGAGCGATTTCCAGCGGGCGGGCCCGGCGGCGGCGGCGGATTTGTCGGGCCCGGGGGCGGGCCCGGTGGCGGGCTTGGAGGACTTGTTCCGGGTTGGGGATTCGGATTTGGTCCGGGTTGGGGATTTGGATTTGCCGGCCCCGGCTGGTTGGGGTTATTGTTAATGGAATTCGCAGCACAAGCAACGACAACGGCGATAATACCGCCGGCCACAAGAACCGACCCGACGACGATCAGAATGATCACCCACACTGGACATCCACACCCGTTCCGCCCACGAGGTGGCTCGACTACCTCTTGCTCGTCAACAAGGTGAACTGTTCCGTCTTCGGCATAGTAGTATTGCGGAGGTTGAGCAGGGCCCTGCGGAGGAGGAGTCCTGTGGTCGGTGTAGTACTGATTTTGTGCAGCCCCTTGTTGCGGTTGTTGCTGGTACTGTTGAAGAGGAGCAGGAGATGGAGCAAGCAACGGGGCCGCCTCGCCGACGCCTCCGGTATTACCTTGATAATGGTAAACATGCTCTACTTGAGCGGCAGGCTGCTGTTGCGGTTGCAGATGCTGCTGCACTCCAGGACCCTGATGCTGCTCAGGCTGCGCGACATGGCCGACACTAGTCGCTTCCCCATGGAGTTCTTCGCCTGGACCGGCGTGCGCCACGATATTTTGCTGGTTTTCTTGCATTTTGATTTTCAAATTATGCCGATGATGAGAAGACAAATATTCTGCAACAAAATAAGCACCAAACTTGCAGGTGAGACAAAAGATGCGCAAAATATTATATTGCTATTGTACAAAATATAAGTAAATGGAAGATAGATAAGACGACGGCCTGTTCTATGCAAAATCAGACAGGCCGATCAAAGAGCGGAACAATTTTTATTTTTGATTTGAAATCTTACACAAAAAAGTTTGCAGTTCGAGTTATTCTTGTTCTTTATGGCAATACATAGCAATATGAGTGTCGTTTTTGCAATTGATGTAGCACACAGCCAAAAAAGTGATGAAATGACAATCAGAATAAAAACGTATATATATGGCGCAAGCTTCTTCGGTACTGTAAAAGCTACCAAGGTCAGAATAAAAACAAAATGACTGCGTTTGATTGACAATGCACAGAGTGGTGAAACAAACTCGACGTTGGGCCGTCCAAAAACCGATTGCGCGAATGAAAAATCAAGATCAACTGAATTTCCAATTTTTAATATTAAAAGCGCAGCTTCATTATGATCGAAAGGAGTTCGTTATGAAGTGGATCTTTGGCTTTGCCTGTATTACTGGTCTACTTGCTTTATCTTATGCTTTCTGGATCAGGATCGCTTTTGCTGCCTTTGGTTTCGCTTTCAATTTCACGAACGACTAAAAATATAGGATCGGATCGCTTTGCTGCGCATGATCGCTTATAATTTGCGCGATGACATACAGGAGAGTAAGACAGAACCTGAACAGGGTTATCGATCTTCATCGACCTCCCAGGAATGCTCTTTTCTTTTAAGTATTCAATTATCAACAGTACCGCAGTTGATCTTGATGACAGCGCGTTTTGCATGCTGCCCTTGCTTACTTTTTCAGCATGCTGGCGGTCAACACTTCATCATCATCTATGTATCTATATTTGCAGGTTGTTCAACGTACGTGCAGATGAAGCTCGCTAGCGATTTTAACTTTTTCGATCATTCCAGCTCTCGCATTGCAAAGCTGAAGCTGGTATAAAAAAGAAAAAACGATATAGATGATAGTGATACTTAATAGTGTACTTTATACGAAAGGAAAAAGATAGGTAAAGAAGTAGAGGAACAAGCGTGGCTGCAGCGCTATCCATACTTTACAAGCCAAGACTTTGACCTGACCGGCCTACTGGGTCGACCAAATTGCACTGATCCTTTCCCGTTCTGGTTCTGTCCCTGGCTCAGTTCCGGCTTATCCCACTGCGCCGTCCTGGTTTTACTGTTGTAATAATAGCACACAGGTTCTTCCGTCCCACCCTGCAGCTGGATCACGGGCTGCCCCTTAGCTTGGACCACGAACCAGGTGTGAGTTCTGTCCTCTGGCACCTTCTTAATCAATTCGTGTTTTGTGTGCACGGCAGCCTGCGTCCGGTGCTTTTCTTGCTGGAAATCCACCGCCTTTTCGTGGGTTGACCGGATCACTTGGGCGAGAATCTTCAGCTTGTCCTTCCGGGGAAGATCGCTGATGTCCTTGGACGTCCATGAGTCCTCAAGGGCGCTATTCAGACCCATAATTTCAAAAGACACTTCTCCTCTTTGGCCTTATAATCCAGTCTGAACTTCTTATTTACCCGGTTCCAGGAAGGACGAGGACTATGAGGCCGTGCTTGGTGATGTTCAGAAGCGGAAGCAGAACCCACTTCGAAAACTTAATAATCTCATCAGGCAACAACAGAAAATGAAAACTAACAGGAGGGTTCTTACATATTAAAATGGAAAACGATATTGAGGGTAGGCCACTGGCGCTGAAAAACTTCATTGAGTCCGCAAAGAAGAATGTGTTCTACCTACACACTGAGAGAAGAAGAAGAACATGTAGCGCAGCTGCTTTTTTATCGTTGGTTTCTTCTACTTCATCAGATGCAGGAGTATTACCGAAACTTAAATTTTCAGCAGAACGGCAGCAACCGAGAGTGGCGAAGATGGCACAGATTTTAGTGCGACAATGAATCGACCGAAGCATTTATTTCACAGAAATCAAAAACTTCGAAAGACCGAGGACGCTTTTATTTCCACCAGTCTCAATTTCTTCATCTTTTCTGCAGCACCAGGTTAGGACTAGGCTGCACGACTTTGCAGTACAGGAGTGCAAGTAATACAACTGTAGATGACCACTCACACGTCATGTTGTTATGTAGTGTTGCGCCGCGAGTGTGAGAGCACTTCCGAAGCTGGTGCGAACACGGACAAGCGCCTGTTTTTGAGGCAGCACCAGACCAGTCGGTGAACGCGTATAATAGCGGGTATGTTATAAATGTAAAGCATAAGATTTTGTCTTTGATAGCCGTATTGACCACGGGGGAGACAGATATAAGCAGTACGATCGCGGTCGAAAACAAGTAGCTTGTAGTAGACCGGTCTTCTGTCTAGGAAGTCACGGACGAACTTGTTCAAAAATGTGAATGCACCATTTCACCTGCTTGCGCCGGCACCAGTCGCCCGAGCTGAGGCAGCGCTATTATATGATCCCAAGCCGGATCCTCTCGAGAGTGGAAAGCTTTGGAAGCTGAGTCGTGCAACATCCTTTGTAGGAGGTACAACAACGGTGGACGTTGCTGTTGTCGCTTTCGCTGGTTGATCAAGTTTCGCTGGCAAGGATAACATCGACTGCGGAACAAGCTGCAGCTCCTTAGAGAAAGAACGCTGTTGCCCGATTACAACTTGGTTTGCTTTTAAACGTTGCAGCGTAGAAGCGATTTCCTGTTTTCGCTGTTCCACAGTCATCTGATTCTCGTCGTGTTTGGTCGTCTTTGCATATGTGCTTGTTGTAGTAGGTGCTGCTGCAGCTCCTGCTTCACCATCTGCGTGAACCAACACGTTGCTTTCCTGCGAGAGCTTGCTGGCGCTGACAACATTTCTCGGGTATAATATGCCTCCATCAACGCTCACGCTGTCTCTAGCAGCTCCGCCTTTTAATGGCACCTCCTGGAGCTGCTTCGATGAGGCTCGGTTGGAGACGGGAACTGGCGCTTTTTTCTTCGGTTTCAAGGGCTTTGGAGTTGGCTGGTTTGTGCGAGTCGAGGGAGCCGCTGGGACGGTTCCACCGATAGTGCTTGGGCTCGCCTTTCTACTCACGGCACTCGTGGTATTTATTGTGCCTTCCCGCTGTCGTGTAACAAGTGAGGAACTGCCAGAAGCTGGAGCTGCTGGTGGTTGTGAGCGCCCCCGCCTTGTTGCGCCAGCAGTGTTGGCGAACAAGTTTGCAGCTGCTATGGGGGCCATTTTGACGGAGGTTCCATTCCTCGTCTCTGCAGATGAAGACAGGGCTGCCGCTGCGGTCATCTGGGGCTGTTGGCGTTGCACTTCCACGTTTGCCGCCACGGTGCCACGACTAGGTGGATCTGCTTCCGCCGAGTGCGGCAGGGACGTTTTCGAGGGAGTCAAGGTGATCATCTTCAGCCCGCCTAGGGTTTTCCCCCCGAGGTCCAGCGCAGCTTTGGGCTTCGGAGAGATGAGCGGCGTGGGTGGTTTGTTCAGCGCCAGTGCGGTAGGGTCTAGCACACCGCTGGGAGGCAGCAGGTTTTTCACGTTGCGGGCTGCAATCGCTTGCTGCTGAAAATGCGAGTGCAGGGAACCGTTGTTCGGCAACGTCACCGGGGGGACTGGCATGACGCGTGCGGACATCGGTAGACTGAGCTGCGACTGCGAGCTACCACCTGGCCCACCGCCGGCAGTTGACGAAACCTTCGACTGCAGTGGCGTTGCTCCTAACAAGAGCTGAAATGACGTCGAGGGGCGCGCAGAGGCGGGTCTTGTCGATACCGCAAAACTCTGCAGAGGCGAAAAAGTTGGTAACAAATCCCGCTGTCCTCTCTCCTGCAAGGCAGAACTAGTGGCAGGCTCGTCTGGGGGCGCGTCGCGCGGTGGAGCCGGTTGTTCGTACGGCCCGCTCGGGGAAGAGCGTCCCACAGCACGAGCACTGCGCCTCTTCTCGTTATTTGCAGCCGGCGAGATCGGTGCAGCCGCGGTCGCGGCTACTTCGCCCGTCATGACTTGTGGACTTGCAGAGCGGCGCAGTGCTGCAGCCGTGGGTCGACTGGAGGTTTGTCCTGGAGAAAATTGGAATGATAACTGGGCGAGCGCTGTCGTCGCGGACGAGTGCGAGTTGTCGGTTGCTTGTTCATCTATGACTGCAGGGGCGACTTTATGCTAGTGCAAATCTTCCTTCCGGTTGTAATCCATTTTGTTCAGGGCATGCACAGCAACAGAGACGAGGGCTGCAAGAGAGTGGACTCTGCATCATGATAGATAAACCAACGCCCGATTCATCGGAGGCTATTCCTGCTTTGAATCGCTTTCAGAATTTATCACGCAAACAGTGGCAAAAGTCAGTTTCAGTACGTGAGGTTGCGACAACTTTGCAATGCCAATGACAAATGAGGCGGGGAACAAGCGGAAGGGGGAGCAGCTGCGCACTCTCATACATTTCCTTGACTTGTTCTTGGCCTGTGTGTTTCATCTTGTTCTGTTCAGACGGGGGCTCCTTCGTTTTTGTCGATGTAGTCGAAACCTTCATCATACTTGCGGCGCTCGGCATCTTTCCACCTTCTGCCATACTACTGCCCGAACCCGCAAAACCGGCGCCGATCGTACCAGCCGTAGCTGCTGCAAACGGGTTGTTGTTGAAGACTCTGGGCGTTCTCGAGGCGGAAGCCTCGCGCGCCGTGGCTGCATTCGTCAAGATCGCGGTGATCTTGTTACTAAGAACTCCGCCGGCCGCCGCGGAGGAAAGCGACGATTGTTTCTGCCGCTGCTGCAGACTGAAAGTGTTGGCCTTCGATAACTGATCGGCAGATGCGGCGAGCGCTTCCGCGGTAATGACGGTCTTGGACGGGACTGACGAAGCGGTGTTTTGCAGAGCTTGTTGTGGTCCACCGGTGGTCCTCGATGCCGGCTTCTGTAGTTGACTTGTAACTGAAAAAGACGATGAGTTGGGGTCTGCTCCTTCCGGTGCTGACCCGCCTCGTCGTAATTTGTGTTGTTCCTGAATCCGATCTCTCTCGGAGAGTTCCCGTTTTTCCAACTCAAGAATTTGCTGCTCGCGCTCCAGATTCTGCTCCCACTTTCGGAGCCGGTCCTCGTCTTGAGTGAGCTGGTTTCTTCTGCCGCCCACGAGGGACGCCTGCAGATTGGAGTGCGAGTAACCGTGTTCACGTTCAGGATCTTCTTTATCTCTGCTGCTGGGCAACGCTACGGCTACACTGAGACTGAGTTCCTTCTCTGCCTCGTCGAGTTTCACACTGAGCTCCTGTTGGAGGTTCAGCACCTCCTCCCACCGCTCTGCCAGCTCCGCTTCTTTCTGCGCCAGCTCTTCCTCCCTTTTCAGCAAAGCGGCGGACTTTCTCTTCATTGCTGCCTTTTCCTTCTCAGATGTTGAAGCTCCACCACCTCCTTCGATGGGTGAAGCGCGGCTATCAACATCGTGGGCAGCTTGATGTTCAGCTGTTTTCTTCGTTCTATTCGCCTGGTTCTGTAGTTCCCTCTCCTCGAAGAGCTGCTTCAGTTTGCCTTTCCACTTTGCCTCCAGCTCCTTGACAGCGTTTTCCCGCTGCTGCAGCCTTTCCAACGTCTCCCGCCCCTGCTTCGCCAACTCTTCGAGTTCCTGCTTTCTCAGTCGGTTTTCCGCGAGATCCATCATTTGTTCAGTGCCGGTTGCAGGTCCAGAACCCGGAACCGGGCCGCTACTTGTTGGAGACTGAACCCACAACCCCCCATCGCTGCGCCCCTCGAAAACCTGGCTGCGTTTCTCGAGTTTTTTCGCGAGTTGCTCCACCTCGTCCAGCTTCGCCAGCATCTCTCTGCGCCCGAGAAACACGTCTTTGGGTGAGTAAAACTTTTTTTCTCGCGCGTGGAAGACGACGGCTGTCGGGTCTTGAACCCGGTCGTCCTGGCCGTGCAGGAGAAACAAAATCTTCTCCTCAACGCCCTGCCAAACTGCAGGCCAGGCGGACAACGGGACGGAGGGATTCTTCAGCATAACAGCCGGCGCGTTCTGGTTCTCTGTGCCACCAGTCGGGAACATGCTGCTGAGGTCGGCTCGCCCGCCCGTTATGTTGCCGTTTTGCAATGTCTGCAGCTCGAGTTCCTGCTGCTGTTCCTGTTCCCGCTGCAGTGCGTAAACAGCTTGCATCACCGAAAGGTTCGCTGCGTCGTTCCACACCGCAAGTGCGCGTGCTGGTTCGAAAACCCTGGCAGACTGCAGCTCGAATAGGTACGGGCCCAGCTGCACCGTGTCGTGGTTCCGGAGGCAGATCTTGCCCAACTGCATGCGGCCGTTGACGAAAATTTCGAAAGAATTACCAACGTTCTCCAGCGTGATGGAAGAAAAGCCTGTCGCACATCCCTCTTCTGTGTTCACATGGTGCGTCACGCGCACATGAACCTCACAAGGCGAGCGATTGTTGGCGGAGCCAGAATTGATGTCCGCAGCCAGTGCTGCTCTCGCGTTATTTGGCGCTGCTCCAGTACGAGGATTTGCAGCCGATTTCTGTGGTTGGACCGGAGCTGCGCCTGTTATGGCCTCGAACTGTTGCGCCCAGCTTTCCAACCGTTCACGGTATCGCTCATCCAGAATCCGTCTCAGTTTCATCCGGATAGGTGCGTACCGGCCCTGGAGAACAGAGCTTGCACTTGTGTCGTCAAAGTACGCCGCAACCTTCGCCATACTTTCGCACCCGAAATCCAACACGTCTGGCAAAGTGATGAACTCGGAAGCCGAAGCTTCGCGGAGGTCGTCGGCGTAGTGCGAGTTATTTGCTAACGAGTGCCTGTTCGTGTTGTTCGAGGGTGCTGCGCCAGCTGCAAGGCCCTGCTTCGGTAGTTTCCGTGTGAGAATCAGGTGCAACTCAGAACCTGGTTGCAGCTCGTACCTAACCGCACCCGCCAAGCTGCGATCGAAAAGTGGCAAACTGGCCAAGCACGGCGGCGGGGCTTCGACAGTGCTCGGACAGTCAAGGATAGTTTCCACACTCGTGTCGTTGTTTTTGGCCAAGCGGACGACGTTTCCTGAAAGTAAAGAAGAACGACTGCCGTGTGTTACGTGACTGTCTTTTCTCTTGCTCTTGCAGAACTGATGCCTTTGATTCAGCTGGTAGAGCAAACCCAGAGCTTCCTCCGAAAATTCGTGCATGGACGACTCTTGCAGCGATTGCAAAAGCGCGAGGTGTGAGGAATGAGCCGCCGCAGTGGCGGCTGATGTCGGACCCTCGCTGTTTTTACTCGCACTCGCTCTGCTGGTTGTACCGGGTTTGCTCGCAAGCGTCGAGATGGTCGGTCCTGCGGGCCCTACTCGCGTGTGCGGGCCAGTCTTTTGATTGTAGGCATGATGCAATGCCATTTGCGATCTCTGAACCTCCTCCGCCAATTGCTTGGCGATCGCACCGCGCTTGCTCGACAGGTTCGGCGCCACCTTTTGCAGCGTGGCGTCGATATTTTGGTACCGATCGTTCAGGTGGAGAGCCAACTGCGCGAACTGCATGGTGTCGAACAACTTTGTTCCGGGACCAGTTTCCTCCACTCCAGACGAGGCAGCGGATGACACATTGGCGCCTGCGCCACTTCCTCCTGCTGCAACACGACTTCGACGGCACCCGAGCACCGTGCCCGCTACCGTGAAGCTCGCGAATCTCCGACGGGCATCGCCGAAAAACTGGTCTAGCAAAACAGAGAGCTTCGACCGGTTCGAATCCCGTATGTGATGATCGGCTGAGGACGCCCCACTGCCCAAGACACGGCGCTGCACCCCCGGTCCCGCTTTCAGCGGCGAAGCGAGGCTTTCGCGGTGCTGCTCCGATTCGGATTTGGGCGGGGCTGCGGACAGGAGGTCGACGAACTGCTGCTGCACGGAGTGCTGTAACTCGGCCTGCACGGCGTCGCTAGCGGGGTTCGTGAGCGGGGCGAGCTCCACCACCGCAAGTTGCGCAGCTAGATTCCCGGGGAGGTTCCAATGATCGATCAGGTACACGCGGGCGACCGGGCGCTTGTAGAATGGTGCAGCCTCTTCCACTTCGTGAGCACCGGAAAGATGACTGATGGTGTTGTACGTGTTTTGGAGGTATTAGTATTGACGAGCAGATTGGAGCCATATTTCTTTACGTAGCAATGATGTTGACGTAGCGCAGACGTAGCTCATCATGAACTATCCACAGCACGACCGCCGAAAAATCTTCCGTCGACAGGCCTTCACTTTTTCAAAAAGTCGCAGTCGCACGAGAAGCAAGGCATTTAAAAAAGTTACCTCCCATACAGTCCCTGCTTGAAGACTGCGAAGTCGAGCAGATTTGAGAAGTCGTTGGGGTTTCGGGCTTGAATTTTGCTGACATTCCGCACGTGAATGGGCAGGTCAGGGTGTTCCACAAGTTGGAAGGGCTGGTAATCCTCGGAAAAGTCCTTCACGTTCAGCAGATCGCGAATCACGTCCTCTTCCAGTACCTCAAAAGCCTGCAGGGCCACGTGGGGCGCATGCTTGACTTCGCTCGGAGCGGAACCTCCTACTTCGGACACGACCCGACTAGAGCCTCCACGGGATGATCCTCGATCCTGCTTGTTTGCAATGCCGGCGTCGCCCCCGTCGGCAACCGTGTTCGCCAAAGAGCAGCTTCTGGCCACCATTTCCGCGAAGCGCTTCTTGAAGTCGCCGTAAAAGACCACCGCAGTGTTGATGCCTTGGGATAAAAGTGATCTGATCTGGTCGATGTCCGCCACCCCCTGGAGCAGACGCGCGGTCTGCAGACCCCTTTCGTCCTGCGTGCTCGGTGCCGTTGTACCGGCTGATGGAAAGAAAGCAGAGGAGGAGGTCGCGGCAGAGTCACCCACGAGGAGTCGACCCACAGCTGCTGAAGAAGACGCAGTGTTTGTGTGATCAGCCTCATCTGAAGTGCTCGCTGCTTTAGTACTCCGCGTCGAGGACCCTACGGTGCCTCCTGCGCTAGTGCCGCCCCGTCCGGACCCGGCGACCATGCGCACTTTTACATCAGCAAAGGGGCCGAAAGTTCGTCTTCTCGCACCGCCCAGCGACACCATCTTGTTGCCTGAGTGCGTTTCCACGCCGAACTTAGAAACCGGTATAGCAGCGTCGTCGCGGTCAATAAGAACGCGGACGTCGCAGTAGCTCCTCGCTTGTTCGCTTATGGACCGGGAATTCAATGTTTTTAGAAACGGTCGCTCGTCCAATTCCCAATCGGGCGCCATCATTTCAGTATCTCCGGATGGCCATGCCTGCACGGCTGAGCTGCCGTCTATATCTCTAGTACCGTCATCGAACCCAGCTTCACTTCTGGCTCCAAGTCCAGACGTACCAGACAGCATGCTCGCCAGTGAGTAGTCCTGGTCGTTTTTTTGAAATTTGGAAAACTTTGGCAGCTCGTGGTTGGACGGCTTTCGGCCAATGTGGTGTCTCCGGTCGTCCTCCAAGTTGGCCTGCTTCAGCACGAAGTCGTTGTACTTCTTGATATTTTCCTGGTGCTTTTTCAGAGGGACGCCAGTAATGGACCTGGTTACCGTTGTGCCGATGTGGTTCAAGTCAGACCGCAAGTTCACGAGTAACGACTGGCCGTTATCGGCGGTGTCGCGAAACACGTTCTGCTCTTCCTGTAGCCGCTTCAACTGCGAAAACGATTTTTGCCGGCTGGAGTACTGCTTGCGCTTCGCGAACGTCGACGCGGACATGTCGGACTGCTTCGACTTCAGGCTGAAACTGGTCGAGAACGCTGCTACGGAGCTCGAACAACTGCTGTCATTGTCCTGTTCGGTCACTTCTATTTCTCGCTCGGAGGTAGTCTGCTGATTCGACTGCTGGTCCACAAGCGCACCACCATCTTCGCCTGTTCTCCCACCAGGGGGAATTCTAGTGCTTCGAAGCTTGCTCGTACGGCTGGCGGTGTATTTGTTGGCGATTTTCACTTCCAGATCTTTCGGCGCAGCGGGGGGACCTTCGATCAACGTCTCCTCGGTTTTTAGCGGACGCCATTCCTTTATGCTGGGAATCTTGTCAAGAAGCTTGTGTGGACTCGAAGTTCTGGCCGAGGCGGTGTTTATTTTCTGGGGGCTTCGCAAAGTCGCCTCCGGCGTCAGGATGCCCGTCGATCCCCGAGCTTCTGGAGTCGATGCACCGGGCGCTGTGGTGGTCCTGCGCGCAACATTTCCATCTGGTCGCTTACCTTTCCCAAGGCTATTGCGATTGGTGGTCGCGCCAGTGCTATTGTTCGTGATTGTCGTTGCATAGCTGCTTTTCGAGGACCCCGGAGTTATTCTGCTTCCAGGTACAAACGCACCTTGGCGTGGCGTGCTCGTGCCGGCGGAGACGGCGCCGCTAGCAGCAGTTGCCGGCTCCTGAGAGGCGGCGGCACCCGTGTTGTGCGTAGAGGTCTTGTTCGCCGCACGGGCATCGACCGCGGCAGCGATGCCCGGCGTCGTGGTCGAGGTCCCGAGTGTGACAGTCACGCTGTCTTCGTAGGTGTTCTCGATTTCGTGTTCTTGTGCCACCTGCCCATTGTATTCAGGTTCATCAGGAGCGGCCCCAGGACCGAGAACCTCGCTCTCTTGCTGCTGCTCCAACGTAAGGTCCTCGTAGGCAGATGGAGATCTTGGCAAAAATGTAAATGATTGATGACTGTCATCGGGAACATGTTGATCGGCGTCCAATTCTTGGTGACGCAGGGCCAATTGCTCTCCACGCTCCTTCTCCTCGGCGACGGCCTGCTGCAGAGACGCAATGCGAGCTGCCCACACATCGGACGACATGGAACGGATGTCGTTGTCGACCTTGTTGTGCCCTTTAATTGCCCTTTACCTGCTCTAGCAGAAAAAGAAACTGGAAGTGCCTTGTGACTTTGCTTCTACCTTCCGCCAAACGCAAACACTAGTCCGCGTCGCGTACAAACAACTGTTGATCTTTGTCGTTGCGCAAGGAATTCGGCCTCAGTATTCATGGATGCGGCTAGGTTCGTCACGAAGGTGCGGCACTTCTTTCATAAGAAAATTGACACAAGCAGGCACGGCTAAAAACATCATCCGAGAAATGATCGCGCGAGCCATGTGCATCTGGTGGCGCTGCAATGCTTTAGGAAAGTGACACAATATCGCTCCGGGCTGCATGTGCTCGCCGATCTCGATCAGACAGGTCCTCGATGACGACGTAACTTGTACGATCTGGGCACTTTTGCACTCACGCTAACATCGATCAAAAATACATGATTTCCGTTTATCTCGTGGCTCCCTCGGCAGCGATTTTGGTGTCAAATTGTATCTCACGACGCTCAGACAACTGCAAGTTGCACGGGTAACTAGGTTTCTGAAGGAAAATTCTGGTGGTTCGACGATGAGATTGAGATTCTCGACGAGGGAGCGCGAAATAGTACTGACTACAGGCGGCACCACGCGCCAACGCCATACACGCCACCGGATGAACGAAGATCTTCGCGGCGAGGAATCCCTGGTGTTTTGCTGCGCGAACAAATTTCCTCTTCTTGGCTCTCTTCCGTGACCGTGGCTTCGTTTCGGCGGGCGTTGAAATATAATTTTCAAAAAGCCCAAACATCAAAAATCTACTTGCTTCTTTATTTTTAAAACAAATACTGGCCGCGAAGAGGGCAGCATACGTATTGGTTTCTTCTTTTTCAACCGCCTACCGAGAGCTGCTTTTGGCACGGTGCCAGCTAAAGAAGATAGAGCTTGAGCTTCTGTTCATCTTCCGTCGATTCCTTGTCTACCTCCAGTTTTTGTTTCAAACAAATCGATGGACTATCGTCGTTTTATGCATCGTCTTTTTTTGAGGAAGAGGCGCAAAAAATTGTGTGAAAGTGGTGAACTATCTGAGGCATCGCGTTTTCAAGTGCGACAAGGCGAGACATTTAGGAAATCGCTGCCGTTTTTTCCTTTGGTCTTGCGACGCTACGGTGTGTCTGAGTATTCTAGGGAAAAGAAAGAGCAAAAACACGCTAAAGATCGTTGCCAGGTCGTCGCGTACAGGCGACTACTTGTTGGAAAGCATCCTGCTTTTTTTCTTGTTTCTGGGCTCCATGGGATTCAGGCGAAAATCTTACCATACCCTCGCAAGACCTTGTTTGAAAAGAGCAGCAGAAAAGACCAACAAGATCTTCCAACAGGTCTTGAGAAGGCCTACGCCTAACAAGACAAATATTAGTATAGTCTAGCAACTGAAGTCATCGCATTCGGGTCGTATTATTCTAATTCTCCACGTCGAACGGGACCCACTTCGAAAAGATTAAAAAATATAGTCCTGCGGCGAAAGGGCAAAACCACGAAAGATGACGACGCTACGGGCACCTTATTTCTGGCGTGATCTTTCAAATGGAAGAGACAAATCCTCCCTCTGTGGAAAATGTTCAAAAGTCGAAAAGAAAAACCCCGATCCATCCGTTTGAAACCTAAAGCACGGAACTCTTGTACCGATTTTTTGTTGTTCAAAAAAATCTATACTGTGACTGACTTCAGACGATGAAAACACGTGTCTTCTAGTTTTGCAGTCGTCCCAGATATAGTTTCGTACATAAGTACCTTCTTGGTGCTAAGTTTTAGCTAAAAATAAAAATATAAGCAAGGAAGTGCTGCAGTTGTTTTGGATGCAGTGTCAGTACCTTAAAAAAGCTGTCGTGCCTATATTCTCTACCGTCTTCCAAAAATCGAAAGCGTTCTTTTATTTATCTCGATCTCAAAAAATAAAAAACTCGAAAGCCTCTTTGGTGAAGGTGATGCGACGCATCTTGTTCATAACGGAACATACTGGCAGGAGTAGTGCTCGTGTAGCTTCAGATATTAGTAAGTACAGAATCATGGTCGTGGTCCATAGAATGTCGCAGCGAAGGACATTTTCGAACCCCGCGTGGAAGATCTTCATGAGGCGTCTATCATTATTGCGAGGAGGAGGACTGCTGTAGTGGTGTTCCGTGACCTTCTCCGACTCCGTCACCATCAGTTACGCCGATGACCTCCGTCGTTGACAAGAGTTTCCACCCTCTGCAGGAACCGATTGACATTTTCGGATAGATTATTTTGCCCCTGAAGAAGCGTTTCGTGCCCTCCAGAAAGGCTCTGCACGCTTTCGGCCAGGTGTTCGTGACGTCGCAGCAGGGTATCGTGCAGGCTTTCTTGCCCCTGGGAAACCTGGTCTTGTCGCTCGATTAGGCTCTGCTGTCCCGCAGCAAGCTGCTGCTGCCCTTCGCGCAGGCGGTCTTGCCCCTGAGAAAGCTGGTCTTGTCGCTCGATCAGGCGCTGCTGTCCCGCAGCAAGCTGCTGCTGCCCTTCGCGCAGGCTTTCTTGCCCCTGAGAAAACTGGTCTTGTCGCTCGATTAGGCTCTGCTGTCCCGCAGCAAGCTGCTGCTGCCCTTCGCGCAGGCTCTCTTGCCCCTGAGAAAACTGGTCTTGTCGCTCGGTTAAGCTTTGCTGTCCCGCAGCAAGCTGCTGCTGCCCTTCGCGCAGGCTTTCTTGCCCCTGAGAAACCTGATCCTGCAGCCGGTCAACCAGAATGTCGACCCTGGCGCCCTGATCCGTTCCCATTTGTGCGATTTCCCCCCGCACGGTTTCGAGGCCGGCAGCAAGCGATGCTGTGCCTTCGGCGATACGGGACTCCAAGTCTGCTCCCTGGCCAAGCAAAGTATCCCCTAGTCGTAACTGGTCCTCCCGTAGATCCGAGGTTGCCGTTAGTACGGCCGCAATGTCGTTTCGAACCGTGTCAAAGCGTGCGTTCGTATTCCCCGCGTGCTCCGCCATGCTGTTTTCCAACGCGGTGTGCACGTTTTCCACGGTCTGCTGCAGTTCCGTTTGCACTGTCTCGATGCGTGCCGATAAATTAGTAGCGCCCTGGTCAACGATGCGCCGCAGTCCCTGCAGAGTCGTACGCAAACTAGCCAGCTCGTTGCTCCACTCGCCACCGCGGGCGTCTATCAGTTCCTCGGTAGCCTGAATCTGGGTCAACAGGGACGCAAACTGGGATGCATTGGATTCCTGTGTGGCCTGCAGTTGCCTCTGGACCTGCGTGTCCACACTGGATGCCTGCTCAGACTGCAGCTGCAGCAATTGCTCATGCCTGTGTTCCGTGTGCCACGCGGAAACAACCAGCCCGACGGCAAGAAGTAGGATACCGAACAGAAGAGCGAGCAGGGCTGCTCCGGTGCTTGTTTTGCAGGATCTCGACCCAGCAGCAGGTGATGTTGTAGTAGTTTTTCCTTTCGTGCTGGGACGGACGATAAGGAGATCCTCCTGAGAGCGCTCATCATGATCTCCCAGCGCGGTACAGCCTCGCGTTCGTGCTGTTGTCGGATTCTTTGTGCCACCTCCGAGCTTGGCCTTGGTCTTGATTTTGCTCTTCGTTTTGCCGCTTTGTCTTTCTTCTACATTATCTTGACCTCCTTCCCCTTCACCAAGAGGAAGATGAGGGAGACCCTCAACTTTTTCCCGTTCCAAGGCGCTAAGATCAATACTATAATCGTGCTGCCGAAGTGCTTCTTCGAGCAACGGCACGTCCTCGCCGCCGCAAGTGACCTCCACTCGTACCAGCTCCTCCTCAATCTTGTTTCTCGCTCCCGCTCCTGCAGCTGCAACATGCATTGCGCATATCTGCTGTATCTTGCTGTTGTCGACGGTTTCTGCTTGCTGTGGCTCGACGCCGGGCGGAGAGAAAAATGGTGACTTAGAGATTGACGCTCGACACCTGCGCTTGTCCTTTTCGTTTTCCTCGTCTTCGTCTTCCAGCTCTAGCAACAATGCGACCCGCTCCTCACCGTCCATCCTGATGTTTTTATCACTACAACTTCTTTTCATTTATTTTACCAAAAAATCGCGGGAAAAAAGTTTAAGCTTTAGGTTTCGTGTTTCGAAGGTGGGTCTTCCACGCAATTTCTGCACGCTACAGAGACGCGTCTGAGGCTGCTAGCAAAGCTAAGGGCACACAGTCTGCGAAGGCATTGCCAAGCAGACTTCGTAAAAAGAAGTAGACAGGATCCCATCGGGGTAAACACAAGAAGGACAAAAAAGAAAAAAATCGGATTGCCAAAAACAACACCAGAGACGGAAATCATGATCATCGGAAAGAAGCACGAGCATGACGTGAATCAGTATCAAAGGTGCTCCAGATCGCACATGTTTTCGGAGAAAAGCTTGCTGTTGCTCCATTGGTTGCGACTCGCGAACATCTGGTACATCAATCGATGATCGAGTTGCGCTTGGCCTCAACCCCCATGGATTCGTTTCCTCATTCAAGACAAGGACGTTAGCGCGACAAAGTTTTTTTTTCGGCCGGTGTGTACAGGTGATATATTTGGTCTGCTTCAGCGTCTGTAGTGTGACGAGTGGTAAGAACCGAGCTTGTCAGCTGTTGGTTCCGGCGGGACTGAAGGGCTTCAATTGTTCATTCATATTTTATATATGGTACTACATGATACAAGATTAGCAGAAACACAAATCGGCAGGCACGATGATGCTATTTTGTACAGGGGCATTACCAGCAATGGCATTGGCAGACTCCAACTTCAACCAATCCGTCAAATCAACTTGAACTTAAAAGGTAAAGGATAAGGTGGTTAACAAGGTTTAACAAGGTAAAGATATTAAAGGTTAAGGTTTAAGTTTAGCTTTTTGCGTTTTTCCTTGAAAGATCATGATCATGTGTATACAGTGAGTATATGCGCGTCGTCATATCAATCGTGAGTCAGCATCAACGAAGCTGCGTATTTCCAATTTCATCCAAATGCTGCCATACCAGCACTCTTTTTCGACTACGTCGTTTCATCAATCTACTTTTTCTTCTTCCCACCGCCGGCCTTGGCCTTTTTGTCCTTTGGACCCTTCGGACCGGCAGCTTGTGCCCTCAGGGCGGCCTCTATCCACAGAAAAAAAACCCATCCCCATCCATTTTTTGCATGACAGACACGGGATTTGATGTATGTTTTGCATGAAAAATTGGATGTCGTGGATGGGTGTTTTTCCGGGATAGCCTCCTCCGCGGCTTTCTGGCGTTCCAGCTCCAGCCGCTCCTGTATGAGAGTGCACAACTCCCCCTCACCCTCATTTGTATAGCATGAACGGCAATCATCATCATCATGTAGTGGACACCCGCACCCAGCGCCACAGGTCAAGGATCCCCTCCCCGGGGGGTAGGCGAGCGGCAATACAAGCATCAGCAAGAGTGCCGGTTTTGCATGACAGATTTGCAGTGGAGGGTGGTGCTATTTGGGCTACCAGAACTTGTCATGCAAACAGTCGAAGAGGCAAAGGGAAGGGTGGATTGGGTTTGGGTATTTTGCATGACAAATGAGGGGGAGGGGGAGTTGTGCATTGTCATATCCTGCTCCAGCTTGTCCTGTTCCAACGCCGCCGCCTCCAGCTCCTCCTCAATTTGTCTCTGCTTGGCCTCCCGCTGCAGCCGGCGCTCCTCCAGCCGGCGCAGCTTCTCCTGCTTGCGCTCCTCCTCCTCCCGCCGGAGCTGCTCTTCCTTGATCGCCTGCAATTTGATGGACTCCGTGATGTCCGGCGCGTTCAGGATCATGTCGTCCGGGTCCAGTTCCACCGGGCGCAGCTCCGCCAGCTGCTCGCTGGACATGGTGGTCAGCTTGTTCTGCGAGGCGATGGTCTGGTTCGAGGACTCCCCGCCCCGGCCGTACAAGACGCCGATCTCCCGCTCCAGTTTGTGGAAAATCTGGGAGTACTTTTGGTCCTGCTGCCAGTCGTCGACGCTCAGCTGCATGTCCCCGATGCGGCGCCCGAACTCGCTGGTACCCAGACTGTTGTTGTAAAACACGTTCCGGAGAGTATCCTCAGCAAAAACGTCCCCACCCCATAGTCAAGTTGGGAATCTGGCAACACAAATCTCCAAGTTTTGGAAGCTGTGCATGACAAGTCTCCCTGTGCAGTGTAGGGCTGGCTGGCAAGGAAAGCCGCATGAGAAAGCCATTTTCCCATCGTTTTTACAGCATTACAAATTCCAAAACACGATTGGAAATTCCTCTCATGGAACTGCGCATTGCAAATGTTCCTGTCATTGCACATGTGCATGACAACTCTGTCGTGGGCACATTTTTACTCAGAATAGAGCGCGCTCAGCTCGAACAGCTGGTCGGCCACGTCCTCGTCTCCGTCGTCGTAGTTGATGCGCTATCCTGTGCAAAAGTATCGCACTCGTACGAATTGCAGTTATGCATGACAAATTTCCTTTCCAAGGTAAAACAGCATGACAAATTCAATTTTTCATGCTGAGAAAATTTGTAATGAAATTTATACTAGTACGATGGTTTTGCAATTCATATGTGCGCCCCCGCGGACACCAGCATGTCAAAAATCGCCTTCCGGCCCAACTTCGACGCCTCGATGATGGGGGTCTGTCGGTAGAAGTCCTCGACCTCGAGCAAGTTCACGTAGATTTTTTGCTTTTTGCGCACCGTCAAGCTCGCGTAGACACTTTTCGCGTTCTCCTGCTCCTGCAACAGAATCTCACGCTGCAAATCGTCTAGCTCTTTGCGCATCGTCGGGCTGTTGCTGTTCGTGTTAGTAACGTTCAACAACTTCAGCATTTTCGCGCTCGGACTGCTCGGGGCGGCTGCCGCAACACCAGCGTCATCTTCGTCGTCAACGTTTTCTGTTGTGAGTTGCTGGTTCAGGACATCCGTTCCTCCCGTGTTCTTCAGGGCCTGCGCCACCACGTCCGCCTTGAAGCGTGTCCCTTTCGGCCAGTCGGACTTGGCATCGAGCAGCAGCTCGTCCAGTGTGGGGATGGGCGGCGGGGCGAGCTCTTTGCGAATGCGGACGTTGTAGTCCTGCCGCCGCTGCCACATCCCCTCGCACTCGACGAGCAAGTCCCTGTACTCCTGCAGTTCCTCATCCAGCTCCTTTCGCCAGTCTTCCGCTTCGAACTCGGGCGGGAAAACCTTCATCTCGTCAACTTCAATCTTCATCAGCTGGGCCTTGGACGGAGAAAGAGCACTTGCTGGTGATGGTGCAGCGTTCTTCTCACTCTGCGTCTGCCCAATCTGCTCGTTATTATTTCCGCCATTTTTGTCCACTATCTCGACATTCTTCCGTCCAGTGCTAAGTGGGGTGTTGGCAAATTGGACGGCAGCATGCGTGCCCTCGGTGTTCATCGGATCACTTTCCAGTAATTGCGGTAGGGCGACGTCGACATTGCCTCCTGCATTTTTCCTTTTCGGGTCATTGTAATCAGCTTCCGTAATTTCTATTTCATTCTTTCTTGCTTCATCAATTTCGCCATCTTCACGCTCTACTTCCCTCGTCTGTGGTCCGCCCAAGGTTTCTTCGTCGCCACTGACTGCAGCCGTGCGGATTATTTCGCTTGCTCGACCGTCTTGATGCCGATCTACGTCAGGCGCACCCGCGGGAATAATGCGGCCATGTTTAGTATTAGTCCCCTCTCCACCAGCAGCATCTTCTTCATCAGGCTCTAGCGTTTTCTCCGATTCGAGACTATGTGGATGCAGAGCTTGGCCTTGTTGCTGATGATGAGTATGATCCCTAGCAGCTACAACAACCGTCGCCGCATGCTGTGGGGATGTCGAGCTTGACGACGCCGAGGCTCCGCGATTAGAATTTGCCGTTCTGTTACTGGTTTCTTGTTCACCTCCCAACAAGATTTGCGACATGAAGGGATAGTCTTGCGCGTTGGCCGCCGCCCATTTTTTCTTGTACCGCTCGACGGCGCCCAAAACCAGTGGCTTGTAGGCGGTTTCTTCCTCGATTACGTAGTCCTTTACCATCGAATCCAGAAACTTGAGCAGTTGCTTTTCAGATTCTTTCGTGGAATCGTTCTCCAGCTGGTCGTCTTCCCGGAAAAACCCGCCGGCCACCATCGAGTCGATGCCGAACTTCCCGCGCTTCCCGGCCTTCATCGGGTCGAGGTAGTGCTGCGCGTTCAGTTCCAGAATTTTGGAGCTGAGCACCTTCATGTTGTACCGAATGGCGTAGTGGAGCAGCGTGCGGCCGAACTTGTCCTGGAGGTGAAGTTCCTTCTCGTACAGTTTCGAGTAGAAATCGGAGGAATAGGGCCCGGCGCGGAGGTTGTCCGTCGTCATCAGCATCTCCATCAACTCCTCCTCGCTCATGCCCTTTCTCAACGCGTAGATCATGCGGGAACCGAACTCCTGGAAGTCGATGTCCTGCGTGTGCAGCGAGTGGAACCGGGGTACCCGTCCATCCAGCACGGCCCCCGAGGGAATCAGCGTTTCCGTCACGAAAGGCATTGTGGTCGTCGTGCTCCGGAAGGAGCCCCCGTGCTAGCGTTTACAGCTGTTTACCACCGACTGAAGACATGCATCAGAAGAAAAGATGATCATGAAACAAGGGCAAACCGGTATGATAGTATAGATGAAAGCGAGGTTGTTGTTTTGGTTGAAAAAAAATCCCTTATAGTTTTACCATTCATCAGCTAAGATGGAAAGGCGGATATCAGCGTTGGTATTTGCATGATCACAACAAAGGATGCGACTTACAGAGCAGGACATCAAGGTAACAATACTTGCGCAGGTTGCAGCGCCAGAACCAGAAGAGTCAGGTGGTTATTCATTACTTTATCAGGGAATAAAGGAGAAGCAGGACCTGGACCGAGAGGACTCAATGAAACATACCAACTGCTCCCACGGGGCGGACGATATAATGTTTCGAAAGCGATGAAAATGGCGAGACGAGTTGTGTGTAAAAACCACGATGCGATACGACGCCCGCCCAGCCCAGCATGCCATAGCGAGCCATGAATTGCGCGACAGGGAAAGATCCGAATCACGAACAAAAGTATTATACAGGCACTGGTGGTACTTTTTCATCTAGCGTAGCGCTTCCCCTCTGGTGCTTTTTCTTTGAAGCGGCAGAATTATGGGATCACAGCAGACAACCGGTGACCGGTGACCGAGACCGGACCGAGATCGAGAGAGTGTTTGTACCTATGACCAGAGGTCGCGCAGACTCTACGAACAGAATTTTTACGCGCGGCAGAAGCTGCCTTTGCCCAACTGCTTCAGCAGTTGACCAGTCTACACCGTCACACGCGCAGCTTCAATCAGAAGCCTACACGTGACACGTTGTCAGCATGCCTGAAGATGACGAGCTCGAGCCGAGTTGTGCCTGCATAGTCAACAATTTCACGCTTCGCCTTCGAGTTTTGGAAGGTAATTGATTGTGAGAACGATGGCGCCGCTGCTCATCAGCATGCAGAATGAGGTCCATTGGTTGCTCGAGCTGGCTGCCACAAAGACCGGCCAGCCGCGAGGGGCGGCCCGGGCCTCCCTTGAGTCAAACGTAGAGATGAGCATCACGCCCGCGAAGAGCAACAACATGCAACCCAGGACGCATATGTACGGCGCCCGGCCCATCCGAATATGTTGCCGGATCAGGCTGCGGATGGTTTGGCGAATCGCCGCTACCACTTCCTTCACCTTCCCCATCACCGTCCTCGTTCCTCCCCTGGATGCAGGCGGCATGCTGTGGCCGTCTGCTTACAGTTCCAAAAATTGAACTCAAGATGACTAGGCTGTTCCGGTCCCCCGAGGACGGTCTTGTGCGCACTTTTTAAGGAAATAGGACGACCGCTGCACCAGACTACACGGGAATCCACAGATCATGTAGGGGTTTATTGCATTTCCATTTACCTCCTTAACGACAAACACGCCGCAACTAAGCGACAAGGGTCGCAATTTATTTCTTTTCTGAGTTGTTGTTGTACTATCTAAGTTAGACTGATAAACGGAAGATAGAAGAGATGAGATGCATTCTTATTCTTTCTCTTCAAACGCCACACTTCATCGCGCGTGGCCGCGACGACGACCACCGCTGGCCACGATCGTGCTTATTCAACGGGATATGTTGTTGACAAGCAGGTCGCAATGCGTACTTATACGGAACTCGTGTTGGTGAAAATGAAGATCCTAGTACGCTTTTTTTTCTATTTGGTCGTTCCCTCTCGACGCCGGAACAAGTAGCCGCAGATGACAATACCGCATCCGTACTATACCGTATCGACTCTCACTGCCTCGAATAAGCAATAACTTGATATGGAGGCATGCCGCACGAAGAAAAGCGGTCTCTGAAGAGGATCGTCGTTTGCGAATGCGAGAACACAGGAAATAGTGCGACTATGAGTTGTACAAAAAGTAAGATGACGTTTCCTCGCTAGTGGCGGGATCATACTGAGTGTGTGTCGCAGTCGCTGATAGTACACTTTATCATCGCTCTATCATCTTCATGTCGTCGTTGTCGCTGATGCTCAGTATGCTATCATCCAAGTTCATCGTTCCAAAAATACAGAAGATTGGAGGAACGAACTGTGGAACAACTGAAACTGTTGAAACTGTCATCCTACAATTTCATTATTCTCACTTTGAAAGCGTTAAGGTTTGCTTACAACTGCGCCCCGTATTGTGAATCCAAAAGAGCCAGCCAGCGGTGGTTTTTCCCGAGCGAAACTCGCCAGCAATTCCGGATCTTTTCGTGCAGAACTGCTTTCAATCGGTGGTCGTTTCGGTTTTTTACTAATGCTTCGCGATTTCGGTCCCCAAGCTCAGCGTCGTCCCCCTCGCGATCCCAAACTTCCTCGAGATATTCCTCCAATACGACTCCGACGTAGGGATGGCAAGAAGAGTAGAAGGCCGCGCGGGAAAGTGGACTTTTTGTTGATCTTCCTACTGTCTCTGTCGTGCCGTCAAGAGAATGGTCCTGGGCGGTATCGCCACGCGCATCACAACTCTTTCCTGAAAAGAAGTTTTCAACGTTATCGGCATACAATTGGAATTCGCGGTCGCGCCGTTTCCCGAGCGCGCCTAGTGCTTGAATCCGGAGTTGCACCATTCTGTGCACCAGGTAGTGATGTTTTGGCAGCCGAATCGTGTCGAGATCGGAATCCCGAAGAAAGTCCTGCAGCACACGTAGGGTCAGGCCGTTCCCGCCGCGATTAATCGCGTCGTCGAACGCCCGGCAAACTTTTTCGCAGTAATGTTCCTCCTTGGAGAACGGTACTGCCCACGAGGGGGCGTTTTTTTCTGAATAGCCTTTGGTTTTTTCCATTAGCACGTGCAAGAACCGGAGCGATCCTTGAACGCCGATTATCATCAAGAAAAAAACGAGCATGCCGTTGTGGCTGGAATGACTATATATAACAGTTCGAATAGTGCGTGTGCGCTGCATCAACAGCAAGTGCGAGTGCGAGCTCATCTTCTTACTTACATAACAAAATGAAAATCTGCATTGCTGCAGATATCATATTAGCTTTTGCTTTCGTATTCCTCCATCTGCATCTTCTTGTTGACCTGGAGTTTCACTTTTTGTTACTTTTACATAAAAGGCACTGGCACACTAGTTCTTTTCTCTTTGATATGAACGGGGCCGGCCAGATACTGGTGAACTTCGGCGGGCCAAAACCACTCCGCTGTGCTTTCTGAAATTTCGCTTATTTTTGTGCTCAACAAAGACACGGCTGTGCGGGTGTGGTCTCCAGACAGGATCGATGGCGATGGTTCACGTGTGACTCCGCCGCTCGGATTCAAGAAACCTACCACCGTGTCTGGTCCATCCCTACATTTATTCCCTCCATCCACAACTACAGGCCTCATATCGTCCAATGTCGCTCTGCAGCGCACGCAGTCACACCAAAATTCCTTGCTTTGGAAGAGCAACATGCGTCGCATTAGCGTTGGTAAATATAAGTCCTCCGCACTCAGGTAGGACACGGTAAGCTCCTCGCCTTTTTTCATATCACGAAGCACACGAACCACTCTGGCAGGCCCACCGAAGTGATTTTCCTTGCAGCTCGCGATCGGGTAATTTTCACAATGAGGCTCAGTTTCTTCATCTGCTTCATTATCCTCGGCTTGCGTCGGCGTCCGCGGTGTGGCAAGATGAAACCTCGAAGAATCTTGATCTTCTGAGTTAATATTCAATCCCTGCTCCTCGAAAGAAGCTTCCACGGCCGATGAAAGTCCTTCTTTGGAAGCAGCATTCGACGGTGACAACAAAGTAGCTTCGACGTTGAGTCGAGAGTGCTCGCCGCCGGAACAGATCGTAGAGGACCCAGAGGTGTTCAGGGAATCTCGATGTTGTTCGTCCAAGACAGCGCTCCCTCCATTTTTGTAACGACCCATAGACGTGGTTCTCGCCCAGGTGGACTCTTCGGGGGAAAATACAGGCACTGGATGAAGATCAGATGGACAACCATTTTGATTTTTTTGGCAATCAGAATCTTCATCACCACGGCCAGAATGAGCAGCTGCACCACGAGCTTCCTCTAAAAATTCATCCTGCGCGAAAACTTCGCAGTCGCGATACTCCCGGACGTCCAGCCAATGGCACGTCGGCTGGCACGAATGCGAAAACATTGCCGCATTGGGATACAGCGAGCACGTCTTCTCGAGTGCTGGCAGACCTTCTAGCGTGGTCGACGTCCGCGATCCACCCGGGCTGTCCTGGTCGCACCCGCTTTTTTGGCGCACTTCCTCCAGAAGTCCCTCTTCAAGAAGTTTATCCTCGCCAAGGCCGATATCCTCGACGGCATTAAATTTCAGAATGCGGCAAAACTTGCGATACGTGTCCTGTAGGAGAACAACATCATTTTCATTGCTCGCCGGGCCATCTTTGTTTACTATTTGTTCCTCGGCGCATCTGCTACTGCTGTGCGTACAGAGCATCAAATCCGCTGCGGAAATGCTTGGCGGCGTGAAGGTGCAGCTCGTTCCGCCAGGTCCATGGAAGAAGTGGTCAAGGAATAACTTCTGGGTGTCTTCGGAAAGTGTGCTGCGAAATTTCTTCCAGGCGCTCACAAGTTGTCCTTTTGGGTAGGAGAAAAGTGCGGGCTCCGCTACTGGAAATGCTCCTGTTCTTCTTACATCTTTGGTCGCGATAGAAGAACGTCGGTGAAAACCTTTCGCTCGACCCTCATCCGCAGCTCTTGTAGTTGTTTCTTCATTGATGTGCTCACTACAAAACGATGGCGCCGCCTGCCGCGAAGTGCCGGATAATCGCAAAACAGTTCCCTGATCCAGGTCTCGCTTCGCAACAAGGATCCGGCCAGAGGTGGGCGTTTCCCGTAGTTCCACATCGGGACTGGCGGAACAAGGTGCCCACGACGAATCGCCGTCCGTGTTCCTAGGGTCATCCATCATTCTATGCTTCCTTGCGAATGGGGAAACGGATCATGTATCTTTTCCTGTTGACATACATGCAGCACATGGCCCGCTCTACCTTTAGTATGTCGCAACAAGCGTAACCAAACCACTTGTCTGTCTGTATCTTTCACGCTGTTACTGTTTTTATTGATATTGTCTGTCTGTTAAATTCATTGATTAATATGACTTTTTATCTGTCTAGTTCTAGTAGCCTTATTTTCATGACTTGCAGCTTCTTTGCAATGCGATTGTTTAAATGGTTATGGATGGTGGTAATCTGGCAATTATTCATCATAGACACTATCACTATTCCTCATTTCAGTGATGATCATGTGTTTTAGCCATTTTGATCACATATGGAACCGAGCACAATTTCATTTCATTCGGCTTCTTATCACGAGAGCAAGTCTTTGAATGATCATCATACTCATGATATGATATTCGGAAATCCAACATTTTCGGCTACAACAGCTGAGGCAAGCGAATGGCACGGCGTTCTTACGTGTTGACCTCTGTCATGGTCGTGCTCGTACGCAGGAGCACAACGACAAGAGCGTGATCCACTTTCATCGTACGAAGAAACTCTACTCGTACGAAGGAACTCCACGCAAAATACAATGTGGAGCAAGCTTCTTTGGCTTCTATCTTTAGATGCCTAGGCGAGCCAGAAACTGCCATCGATCAGCCTAAATTTCCTGGAGGTAAAATGTCTGCACTGGATTGCATTGAGAGCCAGGCATCTCAGATATCGCAACACCACCCATTTTAGCAGTGAAGGGACATCCGATTGCGGTCCATCGCGTGCTACCACCCTCACACACAATGTTCAGGAGATCCCTACCTAGGCGCTGGAGAGGATCCTCAACCACCCGACATACCTGACTCAAAAACCCGCCGCCTCTGGGTTCTGTGTCAGTCGAACAGGAAAAAGAGGCCCCAAGCCATGCCCAGTAGCGAGCTTCTTTGCGGGCGCAGCAAAGCTTGCCAGAACGAACGGCGCCACCGAGCTCAGTGATCAACGCGGAGTTTTCCACACTTCGCTGCGGTCAACCTTTGGTGGGACATTTGTTGTTCTTTTATTGAGCCTTGTAGTCTACTGTCCTCTTTTCTCTTAGTCGCGCTGGCTCTTTCTTTTCATATTTTTTTTTTTCTGCACGCTGTACTATCCGGGCTTCTTTTCTTTTTGTGAGCAGGGGGCCCTCATCTTTCTTTTTTTTCTTTTTGTTCTCGCGTCGCCCATGCTCTTTTTTTTTTTTTGCGACTGATATTTGTTGGCCACTGCCCTTACACTCTTAGTGTCCTTGTGGCAGCTTGCTGGACTCCGAACTCTCGTCTACTAGTCTGTTTTTCGAAGGAATTACATTAAGAAGTTTTTTTAAAGATCCAGAAAAATGCCTTCTTCCTTAGCCAAGAGCTAAGTAGCTTGCTCTTTGCTTTCTTCTAGTGAAAGATCCAGAAAAATGGATCAGTAGCTCGCGTTTACTTGACAAAAGGCGCACAAAAACCATTTCCGGATCTTGTGCTGTAGTGGCCTTGAACGATGCTGAAGGAGCTAGAACATCAAAAGTACGAACGAGTGCGAGGCCTAAAAAAGGGAGGAAACATTGGAACCCGAGAAGCTCTCCACGCAAAATACAAAAAATCCACAAAAAGTGCGCGCGCCACAATCTTCGAGCTCCCAGTGAGTTGCCTGTGTAGCGGCTAGAGTGCTCCTAGGTGAAGGTTTAGTCATTGTTTTTTTTTGTTTTCAGAAAGCAAAAGCGAAGTGAAAAGTTTATGTTTGCATTTGTGCTGGTTGAGGTTCCATGCATGTTCATTTCACGGGTGATGTTGTCCCCTCCTCATGGACAGTTGGACGCGATGAACGGATATGAGACCACCATGATCATGAAAGTGAAATAATAGTACCAAAACCATCTTCTGATGTGGATTTATTTATAGTTTTTTCTTTTCGTTTTTATCTTCTTCTTCAACATAGATCTACATCTTGCTCTTTTACTTATTCTAGCAGTTGCGCTTGCGGTGTACCTAAATCTATTCGAGCCACTTTATATTCTTCATCTTGTCTTTCTATTTCATCTAGTGCGCCTATTTCTAGTATTCATCGTCTTGGCCTGCACATGCACTACTTGCTAAAGAACTAGAAACAATACACCCTTGATCACCTTGCTTTCAATCTGGTATAGCTGTAAGAGGGCGGCGCTCCAGCCCTGTTCACAGCAAAAGGTGAGTACAACATCCATATCGAAAGGGTAAATCTAAGTGACGATGTTCCTTCCAAAAGAACAAAAAGAGATAAAGAAGAAAATGTTTCTTTGGTAGCGGGCAAATTTTCTATGGCAGCGAGAATTCAGTTGGGCGGTTCATCTGATTTCTATCACGATAAGGCTAATAAGAGCATTAAAATCTATCTTCTGTGTGATCGATATTTTTCTTTTTAACTGTCGACGATGACAAGTAGCGCTGCTTTCAACTTCCGCTAGCAATCCAGCAACTTCGCTTCTAAACCGCCCTATCTAGTATCTACAACTACAGATGTACCTACTCACCGCGAATAAGTAGTTGTCATGGTGACGAGTGCGAAGCCTCCTCTTCAAGGATTCACAACACTAGTAGAAAAAATAATTATGAAGTTGATCCCATCGCTTTTTTGTGGGCGATTCTGGGCAGCTTCAGCCACTTGCGCGGTGACAAGCACCACATTGATTTGTCGGCACGCTCGAGCCTTAATACGAGTACGATCATCGTGCCAGTCGAGACCTGATTAAAATAAAGAATGCTACAAGCCAGAACTTCTTCCAAATGAAGACTTTGGTCCGTTTCTTGCTGCATAGCATCGAGTTTGTTTTTGTACTCGTATTTAGACAATATAAATGACATTATCTATAGGGCTGCGCTGGTACTCATGGATTTGCATCTGCTTATCCTCATCCATCGGTGCAGCTAAAATTAAAAATCTCATTAACAAAAAATAGCGGTTGTGCTGCAGCTGCTTCATCTGCCTGAGAAGACTAATCCCTGCACGGCCGAGCGGTTCTATCGAATAAACGAAATTTTTTCTGGCGAATTGGAATTTTAACAAAGAAACAGTCAAGCACGAATCACAAAGTTCGCGCCTGTGCGTGCATATGTTTATGTATTCTTTGCGGTAATCCGCGGATTTTTCACATTTGCTGAAATTCCCATAGAATGTTGTCCGCGCAGCTTCATCTTCTAGTCTTTTCATTACAAGAAGGCGTGTTAATATTGGAATGCATGTGTAATCTATGTTTTATCTTTACACGAAGAGGACGAAGGATATTTTGACACTCAAAGAGCGTCAACATTGAAGAAAATTCTTTCGATTCCGTGATGGTTTCCGTAGTGATGCAAACGAAAAAACGTTCGCTTTCGGTAGTTTCGTGTTCGTCTTGGCTTCGCCGTCACCTACAACGGCTCAAGCTACTCAATGCCTTCTCCTCCTTCTTCCCTGCTTCCCACTGGTGCTCATTGGTAAGGGCCATACTGTGGATTTTCCGGAACTTGCATCGGCGCAAGCGTCATCGCATTGGGATTCTGCAGCTGTTGTCTTTCACGTGAGGTGGAGCTATCAACAAACGGCAGCTGTCCCAAATCCAACGCACCAGCCTGTTGTATTCTGTGTTGAAGTTGATGTCCAACCATCGTTTGGTATTGCAGCTGCGTCTGCTGCTGCGGCGATTGCGTCCATGCTGGCCCCTGCAGCACATTTGGATGAAAAAGAGGCCCCTCCGGTTGCTGCACCAGAGCTCCACCTTGAAAATGTTGGTTAGTCAGCGGTAAGTGATGCGCCATTTGGAGATGATACGGCGATACCTGCGCCTGGTGCCAATGCAGCGGAGAACCTTCTCCACGTGTCCCAGCTCCGGGGCCTGCAGTGCGATCTTCGTGCCATCCTGCGGCGTGCGGAGGCAATGTTGGAACAAAACCAAACTGATCTGCGTCGACTGGGCCGAGAAAAGGACCGTATGTGTCCCTCAGTTGCGAGTGGTATCCGCCCGGACTTTGGGACCTGGTGCTTACGTATGACCCCCTCGCGTCGTGGTCCTTGTCCTCTTCTTGGCTATGCAGTCCACTAGCACCACCGACCACGTCCTGATGCAGGTTCGAGGGAATGCTGAAAACGGTCTTATCGTCGCCGGTGGTGTTTATTACGTGGTGGCGCAAAATCGTTTGATCTCGTCCTGCCTCTGCGTCCTCGTGGTCTCCCAGCTCATCTGTTGCCTCTCGGCGCTGGTGCAAAACCCCTTGCCTCTCAGCAGCGGCGGCTGCAGTGCGTTCTCGTCCACGTCTCAAACTTCTGCCACGGGGGGAAGGCTGTGCTGTATCAATATGCCACGGAAAAAGCCGCCAATTTCCATCTTTATATATCCTTCCTATTGGCAAAGAAACTCATGGTGCAGATCAACAGAGTCAGAAACTTAATTTATGCAACGAATAAGTAGAAGAATGATCAACTATCGTGATCGGGCACGATTGCTCTGCGTCTTCATTTTGCCTTTTATTTCTTTCGAGACAGAGGGAGAAACGGGCTGAGCCTATGATCCCGCATGAGCTACAGCATGTACTACGATCACAACCAACAGGAAGAAACAATGAGGAAGGGGAGTGAATGTTCACAGAATGATAGACCGGGTTGTCAGCGTCCGTTTGATACCCTCCCTCGTCGTCGAATTCATCTTCGCGGTCTCCCAGCCCCTGGACAATCGAGGCTGTGAAGAAGGTAATTCATCCAGTTACAGTAGTTTTGTTTGGCGAATGGTCATGCCTCTAGCTCTACTGGTACTACCGCAAAAACTTATACTTATATCGTTTCAATTAACATTTGATCATGAAGTTCAAGTTCTTGTACAAAAGCATTTCTAGTAGTACCTGGATGTTGTTGCGAGCCCGTGGAAGGCTGGTTTCCGGACAAGTCGATAGAGCTGAGGCTCCCAGCGCTCGGAGGAGGAACCCCCGTGCTAGCCGACGAAGCTGCTCCTTGCAAAAATTCTGATTCCGCTCCCACTTGCACCTGGGATGCCGGCTGACAGACGAGGAGCCATTGGAGTTTTGTAACAGCATCAGACACGGTTTGTAATTTTAACCGCAGTTCTTGCGTATCCCTAGTGTCGTCGTGGTGCGCGTCGGGAACTATGTTCGGTTTCAGAAACAAGTTGCGGCAGTGTTCCATTTTCTCCGCTGGCGTGACTTCTCGCAGGCATGTATGATAGCAAAACCAAGTCGAATTGTAGGTTAAAGGCGTTTTCGTTGATGCAAGTCCTTCTACTGTGAGTACTGATACTGTCGCAGCTGCAGGGGTGGTCCTCAGACGGAGGAGACGAGCTTGCTCTTCCAAATAGATCGTCAACATCGACGGTAATAAATCAAACTGCACATCACGCCCCCACGCTGCACCTATAATCTTTAAGCCCTGAAGCTGCACAGTGCACACTGCATCACTACAGCTTATCATATATGTAACATAAACCTATACGCAGCGTGTAGCTGCTGAAGCAGACTACACATTTGACTATAGCGACTCAGTCTTTTCTCACGATACAGGAATGCCCCGGAAGGATTCGGATTTGGCTGCCACCACAGTCGCACATGCTCCGCAGCGTTTTCGCTCACTGGTAGGAGCCCAGTCGTCAGGAACTCCGCCTCCTGCTCCTGTGCCAACTGCCACTTGTGGCGCTGGGTCAAAACCAAATTCTGCAGATCGGAGGTGCCGATCAGCATTTTTTGCCAGTCGGTATTATCCCCAATTTGCCCTTTCAATTTCATGGGAAAAAGCATGGTGGCAGCGCCCGGAGCACCAGCTGGGTCGTCTTTAAAACGATAGACCGGGACCATTGCCTTCGCGATCTCGCGCCCGACCGCTTGCACATGCGCCCAAGGACGCCCCAAAGAAGTCTGAGGAGAACAAAAAGCAGGCTGAGGAGGCACACGCATGCACCACTCCGGTGGTGGAGCAATGTTCTTAGGTTTCAGCACAAGCATGGGCAGGAAACCCACGATCCGTTGTGGGTCGTGAACGTGTTGCTGAGACCGACCGTGATGATCAAACTTGTTTTCCCAACTACTTGACGGTGGCAAGTCCGTAGCTTCCACCGCGTGCGCGTCCGCTACGCGGCCGGGGGAATAAAAGTACGGAGTTTCATTGGCGGATCGGGATCCTTGTTGATGCAATAAATTGAAAGCGCTTACTGTTGCTTGTTCCAGCGGGGCCTGTGAATTCGACGCGGATTGGCCAAGCCCGCACGAGGATCCGTCCTGCTGGTGATCGTCCCACTGCTCGGAGTTTTGTCCTCGCTCCTGCATTTCTCGTCGCAAATGAGTTATCCTCTCTTCGATTCGCAGCTGTTGCTCGACCATCCATTGCCGCTTTTCCTGATTCATTTGATCCAGAAACAGCTGCGGGAGTTGACTGCGGTGGTCCGAAAGCTCCTCCCACAGGCAGGCGCACCGCGCGACTGCCTGCAAATCGTTCTCAAAATGGTTGAGGCACAGTTCGATCTGCTGCCTCTCTTCGGCACTTTCGGTTGTTGCGGCCCGCATCTGAAGCTGCTCCATGATGTGCAAAAAGTGGCCCACAACTGAACTGCCGACCTCGCGCTTGTGGTTTTCCGTCTCTGGGTGCGCAAACCGGCAGTGCAAGTTTTGCACGGCCACCGGCTTGTCCCGAAGCAGGTTGTACTTTTCCTCCTCCCACATGAGCCCGTGCGAGTACACGTACTCCTCGTCTTGGTCTTGCTCAACATCACCGGGAGCACCCTTCCTCCGCCTCCGATCGCTGCAATACCGATTGCAAGAATATGGGCTGCTGTTGCAGATTTCCGTCTTCCACTGATTGTGCTCGTTCGCCTCAGCCAGCGAGTGCGCAAATGCACAACTACTTCTACGCCCTGCTCGCGGCCTGCTGCGGTCGCAATGACCTTCGCCAGCAAACCTGTTTATTCACATTTAATTTCATTGCGAAGAGATGTCGTAGTGGTCGATGGCGCACTTACTTCCACAAGGGTAAAGTGAACAGTGCGAGAGTAGAAGGCAGTTGTTGGGGATAGTCTACAACAAGTCTTGTCGCGAGCTCTTAGTCTTGTCGCACGACACGCGCAACTGTGCTGATGGATATACTCAAATAAAATCAAGTGAAACGCAACGCCAAGGGCAATAAATGATAACGACGGGCGTGTCTTTTGCTTCTTGCGTGGGTTTGGTCACGGTGAAATAGAGCAAAATCTTCGTCCATTGTTGAAGAATATGAATAATTATGAATTCGTGGACTTACCAACAGAATCGGGTTTTTTCGACCAAAAACCTGTTGCAATATTTTTGTTCTCGTCGCCGCCAGACGTGGGGCTCAGGCGGGGAACCGGGAGCGGGCTCCTCGTGACGCCGCTGCTCGCGGACACGAGCGGCACGGCCTGCATCGGTGGCCGACGAAGAAGATGCGCCGGATGCCCAAGTTGCAACACGGTCTACTACGGCCCCTTCTTCTCCCTGATTATTTTGAGCGGTCATGGTGGTGGTGTGAACAGGACCTTCAGGTCTGCTTTGTTCTTGGCGTTCACGACGTGGTTGACCATGCCGGTAACCACGCCGGCCACTGGCCACCAGAGACTGGGAGGCCTGCTGCTGCTGCTGCTGTTGCAGCTGATCATCTCCATGTTCATCAGTCCAAGGCCCCAAAAGTCTGCGGCTTTCCCTCGTCGTGGTCGGGTACAACTCCGTGCCTCGCAACACGGCCGCGCGGGACAGCAAAATACACCGGTCGTGGCGGAGATCAAACAGAACCAGCACGGCAAGCGCCGCCTTCTGGTAAACGCGAGAAATGCTCTTACTTTGTCTTAGGGAATCCATCTTTTACATGCAGGGTTTTTCTTATAGTGTTTTTTGAGTAAGTGTAAGCAGGTAGTACGTCGATATAATGAAAAATAAGTGCGTCAACATGTCTCGTCTTCACGTACAATTACCAATAGCTTCATCGATCGCTTTAGCGTGAGGTGGATATACTAATTAACCTCGTTAGTAGTTTTTAGATCTGCGACGTCAATCTGTCGTGATTGATGCAATAGCAATCTTGTGGTCTGCTCCAGTTTATAGCTTCTACGTGTCAGCGGATCGATGCAGACGCGATTTTCGGAGGCAGACACGAGAGGAAAAAGGACACGCTCAATTATTGCGTGGCGGGTCGAAATCTAAAACGTAAAACAAAAGGAAAAGATTCTTTGTCTTTTCTCAATGTCGTCGCTATCATGGAAGAAATGTAAAAGGTTCTTGAGCAAGGCCTTCCAGCGAACCTTTCAAGAGCTTAAGGTATGACAAGAAAAACGACTTTTGCCGTGCGAACCATGTGAATCATAACTGAAACTGTACCTCTACTTGAAAGTACTCGATCAGAATGAACCATTTCAACTGGTGCCTGTTTAAAGTAGAGAAAGCTAAAGCTTTGAAGACGTTGCCAAAGATTTGCATTTGTGGGCCTACTCCTGGGAGGACAGAGACGTAAGACCACGGGTTTGCCAGGATGATCTTCTTGTCACGTAGAAGACTTGTGGCTGAGGCTGAGCTTTGATATTGATTTTCCATACGATAAAATGTGCAATAACACCAAATCAGGTCGCCGGGGTGGTGGTCAGCATGCGACTACACTGGTGCCGCCCGGGGATCTTTTTTTTCTTTTGCATCAAATACTCGCATATGTTGTCATCCTAGGCCCCAACATCTTACGAACCAAAGGAGATAACTACGCCTGCGCATGCTGTTGTAGCAATGCAGGCAGGGCACACTCGGATCTTGAAAAAGCATCTAGATCTAGTTGTACTTCACTAAAGAAGTTTTTCATCAATTCAACGGTAGAACATTCGGCGGAAGAAACCACGGCCACGGGCCACGGGCGCTTTGAATTTGAAAATATCTTTCTTCATCTTCATACTTCGTTTTGCACTAAAACTAGAGCTCCGAAAAAGTAGGGGTCAGGACAAGCCCTTTTTCCGTCCGTTCAGATCAGTGAGTTGCTTCCGAAAAAGATTCGATCTATGTGAGAGTCCAGAATCCACCATTATCAAGCGTGAACTAGCAACCTGCTATTTTCCATCTGGGACACTTCTGAATTGATTTAGATCTAGTAATTCTATCTTCATCATACACGGTAAAATTATGCAGCTTTGGTCCTCCGACTCCGACTCCGAGCGTTGATGCAAACAAGAAATGGTGCTTGTTGCGGCCAAAATACTTACAGGTCAGTATGCTTATGCGTTGCAGCATTGTATAGGTTGTACGCGATTGGGATCATTATCGAAACCGTTTCTGGACGGGCGTCGCATAGTCTGCAAACCTGCTCTCCTGATGCGGTGGAATGAAGCAATCTACCCAACGACTAGCACCAGCAACAGTTTCCAAAATTACATCTCAGCAGCGTACTTCTTGTGCCCCCCCTGTTAGAGTTGTTTGTTCCTATTGCTATTGGGGGGTAGAGTTGTTTCTTTATGAATTTTCAAAATTCAAACTAACATCAGTTTGATTTTGTCATTTCTAGGCAACAGATCAGCATCAGCCGCTGCTACTATCTAACTTTCTGAGCGGATAAGGGCTATTTATTCATCCTATTCGGTCGCTTCCTATGAAAAAGCTGCTATGAGCGAGATCTTCTTTCCGCTGTCTGCAATACAAGTACGATTAGAACTGATCAGCATACAATCATATTCATATATGGGTAGTACAAGAAGGTGAAAAATACTAACTTTAAGATAGTCGTTTTTTGTGTTCTAGGCCGAAGCACGCCTCCGGTTTTTCAGCTCCTTCTCAACGTGAAAGATTTTCATCAAAATATATACAAAATCAAACTATACACGAGGACTTCTAAAACTGTATTTCATCTTGTTGTTCTTCTATACTATAATCGATGTTGCTGGTGTTCTTGTCTCAGAATCGACCGTGCTGGGTGTTTATCCGTGGTACGTACCTTCAGAAGTACTGAACGAACAAGCGCGTTGTTGTTGTAGCTTCTTTACGCAACTACAATCCCAGCGCCATCAGAGCGCCCTCATGTAGAGCTGATATCTACCTGTTGTATCTGCATTTTCGCGCAGTCTTGCTTTTCTATTTCTTCTTCACAGGTTAAAAGCGAGCGAGATGAGGTCGATTTCATCTTCTCACTCAGCACGGTCAAGATTGCCAGCGCAGAAGCGCAGCAAGCTGCGTGAAGTTTCTTTGCTCCCTTCGTCATTTCGTGAAGGGCACATCTTCTGCCACTGCACTCATAACGACTTGCGCTTATTAAGTTGTTCTAATGCTAATCACACCCTGTTTGCTCTAATATCACATCTATCTTCACACGTGTAAAACATCGACAAATCGAAATCTAGTACAGCTACAGGTACAGCCTACTGATGCTCCGACGCATGGTTATGAAGTAGTAAAACCAGCCCACTCTCTTGCGTCTTCTTTACCGGAGCGCCTCGCTGTTTCTACTACAACTTCCAAGGTCTGTGTGGATGCCTGTGCAGAAAACTTCTAATACGCTGAAGGTAAATATCAATCTTGTCTGTCATATTAGAGTGTTAGTAGCACTGACGGCCGCCTGCCACTGAGATCAGATTCATATGGTGCCTCAATGCCTGAGGTCAAGGTCTTTGCTTGAGAAATCGATCTAGTACTACGAGGATGTAGGAATTCGTTCAATACCCTAAAAATTCTTGCGCGATTGTGTTTGCGTTTCGTTTTATTTCTTATCGCCAACAACTACAGCATAAATGCACTTTTTTTGAGTCTGTCCGCCGGAATGAGACCCTTGCGGGCGTAAACGTCTACATCATCATCACCCTCATCGACAAAACGCGTGGCATTTATATTTTCCGTTGGAGTTAAGATTTAGCGTTACCAACACCATCGCGATCATCGCCTCCCAAGTGCACTGCAGTTGAAGTGCAATAAAAGATGAATGACCGGATATTGATGAAAAAGATTACGAATAGTAAGCTTCGGATTCATCTTGACCTCGGGCGCTTCAGGTTTCACAAAGGAAAGGGCCCCATGTTGAAGCGAATCCTAACCAAGTTTTTGTAGCTTGTAAAATATTGCTTTTTTTTATCTATACGACCTTACACTGAATCTTAAATACAAATACTGCCCAGGTTATTCCTTCAACATCTTTACAACCCTTCCCCCTTCCTGTCATTCTCGCAGTTATATATAAACTTGTTTAGTTGATGTAGATGTAGCGCTTCACAATGCTAGTGGTCTTTACTTTTAATTTGAAATCACGTCGAGCAACTACAGCTCGAAAGCGAAAGCATCAACATGCGCGATTAAGTTTAAGTTAGTATGAGTAAATTGCTAAAAGAATGCCAGCGTCATTCGGACAACTTTATCGAGCTGGCGTGCCTTTGCGCGTTAGTTGCTCTTGATGTGATGCTTGCCGCGTTCGGTAAGACTAAGAAATGATTGACGCGCCAGGAGCTCTTCAGTACTGCTTGAGATGAGCTTTAGCAGTATAAGTAGTAGATAATGATAAGTATTGATATGCGAACGGCTTCAAAAGAACTGATGCGCAGGTGACACCGCTTCTCTGTTGGGCTTACATATTGATAAATTGATAATGATATTCCATCAAATCCGCTTTGGCATGTGGAAAAAGATTCAAGAAGTTGCAGGCTGGCACCAAAAATCGCCGATGCAGCTCTCTTCAACCCGATGACGCCGAGGGAAAAGAAGATGCGCCCGAATACTGCTCCCAATGTGCCGGGGACGGTGTGCGCGAAGGCGTCGTCGAGGGTGCGCGCAACGCCGGAGAGCTACGAACCGAGCTGCGCCCTCGTTCAGATGAGTCGACTGGTGACCCCCGATCGTCTTGTCCACCATGATGTCCCCAGAAGCAGTAAGGCGGAATCACGACCCCATTGGGCGAGCACGATGCTCCATATGGAAGCGCCGTATGGGCGTCGCCCATGATCATCGTCGCCGGGTTTATGGCACCTGTTCGTCCACATGAGTTCATGTTGAGTAATACACAAGCGAAAGCGCGCATGAACGTAAAATGGATACATATTCATATTGGCGATAGCTGCTTTTTACAATAGTCTAACTACGGTATTTACAATTGGATTACCTTCATTCGCAACTCCATCGCTCAAATGAAAGTCATCTGCAGCTCACGTATTTAGCCCGTAAGACCACGACGTGACGAACGAGCGATGGAAAAGCTCGGGCTAGATTTACGAGGGAGTCCAACTGTACGCCTTGAAAAAAAAAAAAGAACCTCCGTAAAGCGTCAAAACAAAGTAAGCACCTTCTCCTCGTTGCGGCTGCGGGTAGCAGTATGCAGCGGATAGCTGCAGTTCTTCGTCCTCCGGTAAACTGTAGTGGTACGTGGAATTGAAGGACATTGGCGAAGACGCACTCGGCCCAGAAAAACCATATCCAGGGACGACGTGGCGCTCTGCGGCTACGGGAGTGGCTGTTGTGGCACCAGTATGGGGCGATGGCCAGATGAAACCATGCTGACCTGCATTGTGGAACACCGCCGGAGTACTACTACTTGAAGAAGATGCTGGCGCGTTGGCCAGCTGCTGCAGCTATACCGGCTCTGGTGGGCACGAAAAGGGACTCTCCTGCAGCTGCTGCTGTAGCGGTTGTGGTGCGGGACAAGGCAGAGCAGGTGGCAGAGCAGCAATTACAGCGGCCTTGCCGGTCTCCAAGGGTCCAACGATAGCGGGAGGCAGCAAGTTGCACACTGCGGTCCGCTATCCTGTGCAAAAGTATCGCGCTCGTCCTACTTCTTGCAGTCGACGTCGTCCTGCATGACAAGTCTCTGTTCAAAGACAAAGGTACGTAAATCAATAACATTGAAAATTCTGCTTTTAAACTTGAAGATTTTGTGATGCAATTGCGACTAGTGCGATGACTCTACAATGGATTTGGATATCCGCATCTGGTCCCTACTGATGTGACCAGTCTCTCCCTCGGGCGTTGCGGGCAGGCACACCGGGACCCAGACGGGCGGAAACACCGGTAGGGGTTTCAGCCACAGTTCCTCGCAAAAAAGGCCTCGCTCTTTGGGACCTACGGCTTGCAGCGTTGCTGTCATACCGTGGCCGCCATGCTGCTGCGGCAAACCCCACCAGAAAGGCACGCGGCCACTGTTGTTCCGGTCGATCCTCACGCCGTTGTAGGATACGAAGGTCGCACTATCGTATGGCGTCTGGAGCACGGCGTCCAGATCGTCCTGTATGGCGAACGCGATCGGCCGATTCGCAGAGCCCTGTACTCCAACTGTGATGTGACGAAAACTGTACTGATTCGAGACGGGATCGCGCTGCAGCTGCACGATCGGTACAAAGCTTCTCGTCTGCCCCTCGTGCGCCATGGCAGTCTGGTACCAAGAATTAAATAGTGCTCCTGGCGTAAAGACGTTGGTCATTGGAACAGGCACAGGCACGAACGCTGGTTGATTGTGCTCCAGCAGTTCTTTTTCTTGCGGGGACGACGGAGACCCTCCTGCCGCGATGGCGGCCGCAAGAGCTAGAGGGCGAGGACCTCCAGCCGTCTCTGCAGGCATCGTTTGTTTATTTCTAGTTTCCAGTTGTTCGGCGACCGGTGCAGCAAAGGAACGGTCTCCGGAACTGGCACTGGCTTCACCGAACATCGACGAAGGACCTGCGGCCATCACGTTCCTCGGTGTCGCAGATTTTTCAGCCTCACTGTCACTGTCGACCAGGCTGTGCCAGCAGCGTGTTTCTTCTTTAACTGTCGTTTTTTGTAAATCTTGAACTTTAAACTCTAACGCTGTGCCATCGGACTCGTAGCCCTCGTCTCCGCTTTCCTCGTCCTGTTCTTTCTTCAGCGCCATGGCGATCTGTTGATAGAAGTCTCTGCTGGACGAAGCTCTGTACTTGCTCGGCATGTGTGACCAGTTCGCACCGTCCCATACGTTCGTCATCGCCAGAAAATTCCGCAGGCCAACTTCATTCATAATCATAACTTCCTCGTCTTGTAGTCGTGCGGCCCCACTGGCCGCACCCGCAGAAAAATTGTCCCCGGACCTGGAAGTCGGCTTCAGCTCCAAGTTGTTGTCTATGTAACACTATGCATGTGCAATCTTGTGTTCTATTTGTCAGGAGGCGGATGATAGGAACAAAATGAGAAGTCAGCTGTGGCTGTAGGAGCACACCAGGAGCAGGTGGTGGGGGCCAAGAATTACACGAACGATCATGGCCCGACCACCCGGATAAATGTAGGCCACTGTGTTGTAGTTGTTGATGGGTCGTGCGTGGTCATCTGCGTGCTGTTGCAAGCATTAATCTGCCGCCTCGTCCGCCACTACAAGCAATAACACTTTGAGATGCCAATGTTGACCTTGACGCTGAGTCGTCCGCGAGCTGGGCTCGAAGCCAGGGAGTGCTGGCGGCGCTCCTAATTGCACAGACATAATCATAATCTGGCTTGAGTACTACATCTTCATCACAGAGTAGCAGAAAATCTTCATGCCAGTGAATAAAATGAGCCTCCTCCTCCTGACAAGACCAAGAACAAATCTGCCACCGATAAATGAAGCAAGAAGTCTTTGTATTCTTTGGTAATCGTTCCATCGTTCTTGATGTTCTTTCGCGTTTCCTTAAGAATGCTCCGATAATGCGCCAACATCGAGGTGCCGGGGACGCGGACAGAGCCTTCCAAATTTGGGTGCGCCCAAACGCAAAACAAATGGTTGAGGTATGGGGGCAAGTCATGCGGAGCCCGGTTCGCTTTACACTGGTTCTGGTTGCAGCTATCAGCATTGGAACTTTAACACGCGTTCGTCTTCCAGGTGTTGTTTTTGTCCAACTCGCTGATCTTATGCGCAAACACACACGCGTCGCCATCCGATCCATGCCTACACGGCTGACCGCTTCCGAAATGGTACCTGTTGAAAGAATACTTGTGACTGTGAGGAGGAGATAGTCACAATCTCATAAGACAGACACTTCGAAGATGAATGTCGATGCTTTCCTTCATCGTGCATAAAATTGCAAGATGAAGATGTAACAAACTATCGCGCAGAGGAGCCGTTGATGTGGAATGGAAAATGAACAAATTGTGGGCAGCAAGGAGGAAGAGCAACACACACTGCATATAGACAAATGCAATACCGGCAAAGTTTCGCGTTTCGAAATTTGTCCTTAGCGCTGCAGTCAGGATTTTCTGACAACAAATGTTGCTGTTCTCGTGTTGCTTCCCGCTGGTCTTCACGCCACCGACTACTGCTAGCGGTATGCGGAACGACACGATCTGCATCATATCCGCGGTTTGCTCTCCGCAGTAGGCGGTTGTGGTTCTCCCCACGCGCTCCTCTCGTTTGACGGCCGCTTTCAAGAGCACGGCGATCGACGATCCCTCTCCCTCTCACCAAAGGCTGTGGACGAAATGTGTTCTCGGACATCTGCAACCCCTCCACAGGATGAATTCCCACACTGATGAGGGTGAACAGACACTGCATCATCTTCAGGACCTTCATCTTCATCGATGGTCCTGTAACTGTATATTCTTCTAGTTCTAATCTAATTCTTGTGTGCTTCTGCTTCCTCTGTCTCACGGGCACAGATCGAAATAATTATATTTTACAAAGTAGAATCTATATACGATGCAATTATACGTTGCGACTTCGCCAATACCGCGAAGGTAAATTTTAATTTTTTACAAATGTGCTTGATCTTATTCTTGTTATGATAAGTACTGCGTTCGCGTCGTAGTGCTTGTCGTTGAAGAGTTGAAGTTATCGAAGACTTCGCTTTCACCTTAGACTTAATTTCGGGAAGACGAAAGTGTAAGTGATGCCTGTCATGAATAATTCAATAATGTGCGGGAGGTTACGCTTACGTTCCTCCCTCTTCGTACTACGAAGAAAGACGAGGACCTTCTTGGAGAAACAGAGAAAGTTTAGTCTTCGTGGTCTTTATGGAGTGGATCAAATACTCATACCATGCAAATAAGATGCCGATCCTGAATATCATCCCCATCGAAAAGATCATCCAATTCTTTGGCTGTGGATCATGTCCATGCACATTCTTGCAGCGAACCTTTTGCAAGATAGACCTTGTTCTTCTGGGTCTGGTTCACGATCCTGCATGTGAAGATCTTGCATAGTGTAAGTTTTACCATCTTCGAGGTGAACGGCAAGACCAGCACCCCCAGTAGATCCTTTGCTAGTAAAAGTGATGACCTTCGAGGACAGATCCATATAGCTTGCTAGATCAAAGGTTTTCTCATTTTTGACGTGATAGCTAACTTACTTTTTATAATATATTGGACTGTGCTTAATGTCGGAGCACGATGGGTGAGCTATCGTTTGTATTTGTTTCAGCATTGCTATATCGAATCCTCGTCGTGGTCGGTTAACGCTCGCTGCGTCGCGTTGGCACTTGCCATGACACCGGAAATCGCAGGACATGAAATTCATGTGCATGAACAGCGCATGATCTTTGTCTTTGTGCAACACGACTCGCGCCGCTGTGTTTGAAGCTGCACCACCACCAGTTTCTGCCGGCGGGGGCGGCGTAGTCGTATTCGTAAACATTAACTACATACAACATACTTAATCTACCACTGACATTTATCATTGCCTTTTCGACGACAGCAGCCCGATTGACGATTGTCCCTCTTCTTGTTGCTACTTCAGCCTGCTTGTATACTTGGCAAGAATGGCGTTGACCTCTGCATCATCCTCGTCGTCGCTACTGGTTGCGGAGGGAATTTGGTTTCTCAGCGACGAAGTGCCGCGGAAGTGTCGGCTGATGCTTCGGTCCGCCGCTCCGTCGTCATCGCCGTCCTCTTCCTCGCTCGAGAGCTCTTCGTACTGAATCTTTGGCAATGGCTCAAGTGCCCTGCGCGGCTTTGCAGTTTTATTTGCATTTTTCTTGCCTGCTGTCACCGCGAGTTCAGCAGGATCCGCGTCGTTCGGCACTTGCCCAGAGGCCCCAGCTGCACTTCGTACGGAGGAGCCCGAGGCTCGAATGTCCTGCGCGCGGGCCTTCATGCGCAGGGCCCCCTGAGCGGAAACCGGAATAATGCTGTTGCTCAAACCGTCTGTAGTTGTGGCGCTTGAAGATGAAGTCGCATTACGCGCCCCGCCGTCTTCGTGCGCCGAGCGCACCGAAGAAAAAGCACCCGCGCCAAGGACAGGAGGGGATTTCGAGCGGTCGGATTTCTCCAGCGAGCTCTTCCGCGCCGAACTTCGCGGATACCGGAAGTTCAAGACCTTCAGGGGTGCCGTAACGGTGATGTCGGCGAGGTCATTCAAGCCGGTCCCGTTCATGCTTTCAGACATGGAGAAATCCTCCTCCTCTTCCTCCTCATCGGAGGCAAATTGGTCGAGTTCGCCATCGAAATTTGTCGCCGGAAGCGTCTTCTATCCCATGCAAATTAACCATCCCCATCCACTTTTTGCATGACTAATACAGATTTTATAGACAACATGTTTTGCATGACAAATTGGATGGGGATGGTTAATTTTCACAGAATATCTTCCACCCGGCCGACATCACGCTGCTCGCGTCGGAATTCAGGTCGTCCTGGTCGTGGTCTCGGAAAGAGGGCGATTTGTCCGCAGCTATTCCGTGGTCAGTAAAAGCGTCTGGACTACTAGAAATACTTGCAGGAGCAGCCGCGTTTTGTATCTTTACGTTGTTCTTTCGATTTGATGATCCCTGCTTCAAAACTTGCAGTTCCGAGATACTTAGAGCATCGTCGTCGTTCTGATTCGTTCTCTGAGCTGTGTCACTTTTGTCTTTCTTCACGACGTCAAATTGTGAAGATGCCGACTGGGGTGGAGGCTGCTTCCGGCTGATGTACACTTGCGGCTTACTGGCTCCGGGATTCGTGCTCGCGCTCGAGCCTCCTGCTTGCTGGTGAAAAACGGACGTGACAGCTGCAGATGCAGTGGCTGAGTTCGGTGTTTTCATCTCCCCGTTGTTTCTAGTGGTCTTCCTACGGGTGTTCTCGCTTCGCTCAGGGTCCGTCTCCGTCAACATTTCTTCATCCTGATGCACGCCAGTGGAGGATCTTGGGGACGTGCTGGGCATGCGGTCCGTGCTGTCCTTCGAGTGCGACGGCTTCTTCACTTTGTGAAACCCGATTTCGCGGTCGGGTGCGCGCGACCTCACGTGCGCCTGGTGGTGGTCGATCTGCTCGCGCGACCGGCCGGGATGCTCCACCTCGATTTCGACGCTCCTCTTGCCCGACGAGAGCGTGCTGTTCTTGCTGTTCACGGGCGACAATACCTCGCGAAACTGCTCGATCTGCTCCGGCTCGAGGGTGTCGCGGTACTCCTGGCTTTTGCGAAGCAGGATGTGTTCGCGTGTGCTGCTGGATGACGAGGTCGCCCGGGTGGCACCCTGAGTGTGATGCTGCTCTTCTACCACTGTACGCAGGGGCCCAACGATGGACGACAGGTGCGAGTAGGGCGCCGTTTCGAGCATGTAGTTGGCACTTTGGACCAGCTCGGCAGCAGAGGCGGCGGATCGGCTCGTCGCGTTCTTCGCAGCAGCAGAAGCAGCTCTCTGTTGTTGGCCAGTCGCAGCAGCTCCAAAGCCGAGATTCAGACCACTAAGAATCGAAGTGCTGGGGCCGTCAAACTGGATGCTCGTGTTCACGGCGACACTGTGGCTCGTTTGCGCGGGCGGCGACCGCTCCTCTGCATCCTGGTCGTCTGGCCGTGGTCCTCTGGATGTTGCTCCGCTGGAAGACTCCTTCTGCTCGGTGGTCGAAGCGGCTTCTGTATGGATTATTAGTGTGCTGGACGAAGAGATTTATCTTGCGTATTAAATTGCTATGTTGAATTTGGTGTGAACTTCTATACTGGAAGCCATAACAACTAGAGGACGTCGCATGCTTTTCACAAAAAAAACATACAACGAAAACAATCGAGGAGTCCGCTGCGATCATCGCGAGCAAGGCGGTGGAATATCAAAGACACAGGTGATGAATTTCGGAGACAGAGACAAACAAACTGCGGTCAGGTACGTATAAATATTTTTACTTTTCGCCAGTGCCGATGTCAGGTCTGTGACTTTCTGCTGTAGGGACAGCAGCTGGTCCTGCTGTTTCTGGAGGAACCCCCAAAGCTTCTCGTTTTTGCTCCAGGACGAGACGGTCGAATCGTCGAGGCCTATTCGAGGCGGTGGACACTGCTTTTTCAGCGCGCTCCACTGGGCAGCAAAGTGATCGAGGTCCTGTGGCAGAAGGTTGATTTCCCGCGAGTCGAAAAGGAAAACTTGACCTCCCGTGAAGAAAAGGACGAGATGTCTCAGCGTATTTAGCTACCAAAAGTGAATAAACGAAACCGGTTCATTGTTATGTGCTTGAAAAAAACACGAAAAAATCTTTAAAGTACATCTGTGGCTTGGAGCAAGAGATTATTTTCCGTGTGCTTGTTGTTCATGGTCTTTCCTGCGCCCAAGAATGTTCCCCCGGCGCGGCCAGTCTGCCCGGCGTTTTTCTCCGTTTTTGTGCCAAGACCACGGCCGCCGCTCCAAAAAACCTCGGTCTTTGGACTTCGCTGCGAGGGAGAGGCTGACCCGCTTTCCCGGCCGGCCGCCTCCTCCGCAGGAAGTAGATCGCCGGGGTTAATATCATCCTTCACGATCAAAGAGGAAACGTCCCCTCGCTGCAAGAAATCGAAGCTCGCGTTGTGCGAAGTCCGCAAAAACTGGTTGTGGTCGACAAAGCTCTCCTGCACGACCTTCTGTCTGGAAGAAGAACTGCGGATGCTCGCCGCCGCGGCTGTCGGCAGTGGCGTGCACAGCTGTAGCTCCACGGTTTTCCTGCTGTTCGTCGTGCCGGCCTCGTCGTAGTCCAACTCGACGGTCGCCGCGTAGGTAGTCTCCCCGCAGGTCTCCAAGTCCACGACCCTGTTTTTTGACAACGTGGTCTGGATAGTAGCTGCTGCTCCACCGTCGTCGATTTTATGTTCCCCGGCGATCGTCGTGGAAAAGTTCACCTCGAACGAGCGCGTTAGCGCTTCTTGCTCCGTCGCGAGTTGTGGTCCTCGGTACAGAGCGAGGCAGAGAAACGTTTTCGGGCTTATGAAGATGCGATTATGGAGATTTTGGCTCGTCACAAACCGCATGCATGCCTGCCAAATCAGCGGGTGGTCCACCTGTGATAGGTTGCAAATAACATCAATTTCCAAACAATTACAATTTTGAGCGTTCATGTTGTACTACAGTCGATCATACGCAGATGAAGCTCGTTGAAGATGGTGATGACGTACATGTTACACTCCTGCTTCTTGTCAAACAAGATAAACAAAACGCTCTCCACCTTCAGTAAAGGGTATACTTAGTCAGTGGGTGGAGAGAAATTACGAGAAAGACAATAGACGATGACGAATGCCGAATGTATGCCGACACGACTCCTCGTGCGTAGTAAGTACTTGGTCCACTGCGATGGGTATTGTTCTGTCCCCACTTGCTTCCGCGAGATCCTCCATTTCATCTCCGCTCGTGGCGCCGCCCGGTGTCGTCCTTTCACTGCTATACACATTGACAAGGTCGACCCAAACGCCGACCAGCGGGGTTTTTAAGGCTGCTGGGTCGGTCTCGAGGAGTGGAATGGCCTTCCGTGTCTTGTCTAGCGTGACGTAGCCGAATTCCATCTTCCCGCCGCGTCGCGTCGTCAACAACCTCTTCGACAGAGCGCAGTTGTCGCTCTGTAGGGGCACGTTGTAGAGAAGCGGCTTGAGCACGAAAGGGATGCGTGGAACTTTCGCGAGGAGCTCAATCCGCACCGTGGAGCTGTACCGATCCGCAAAGGCAATGCAGGAAAGCGCGAAAAATTTGTCGCACGGGATCGGGCCCTTCTCCTGCATCGTGGAAGTATTGCGATAGGTGGAGATCTCCTGCAGTTGATCCGAGTCCAGCTCGGGCAAGCAGTGAATTACCGTCATGTCGGAACTCACTTCTGCGTAGGGGAGGCTGCAATTTTTTGATTTTCGGTTTTTAGTTTCAGGTGGAGGTTGATAGGATAGCTGTCAAAATAGCAATCTTTAACACTAGCTTCGTGTGCGTTCTAGTACCCTGCTCTCGCGTCATCTAGAAAATAGTTGCCTTCGGTTCGTCGAACACCGAGACTGCCCAGCGCCGCTCAACAAAACCAAAACGGTCTAAATGGGAGGAGAAAAGGATCAAAAAAATGAATCTTCATTTGTCACGACAATGCATATTTATAGGTAGTGCAGTGTCTGTCAGCAGTCTTACTTGTCGTAACGCTCCACGGCGAGATGCAGGACTCCAGGCGCAGTGCGCGAATGGGTCAGCAGCGATCCGCGACGGTAGCCCATGTAGCGGGAGACAGATGTGGGAATGCTCAATACCGGCCGCGGTCCGGAGGGAAGATGTCGCACGATTCCCGAAGTTGTGCGATCCCACAGCACGTTGCGCCGCGTCGGAAAATGATCCTCCGACATCACGCTCATGTTGCAAAAATGGGGCTCAGCAACACTCACAATGTAGTCAAACAATGCTCGTTCAACATCCTAGCTGCTCGTACCCCGGTAGCAACCGATGCTGCAGCATGATTCTCCAAGAACCGAATCTAAGTGGTCCTCCGACAGAAGCAACGAAGCAGAAGCAATATGTTTTGTATGATAAATTGATGTTGAAGATCCTGCGCGTTTAATGCGCTACTTGCTTCCTACTTTCTGTAGTTTCCGATTCCGCTTTTCATTTTCTATATAGAATATCTATTCGCGTTTGTTCTTGTGGCAATTTTGTGAGAAAACCAAAACTCGCTCTTGCTCTCGGGAGCTAGTTCAGATACATGTACACGGCGGGGTGGACGTGGTAGAGCTACATCACGAAAGCAGAGGCAGATATACTCCACCAGGTGGAGAGCAACAGAGCGACAATGAATACTTCCACTTCATCACGAGGACAACTTTGACGTTCTGTGACACCATGATGTGAAAAATCAACAGAGCTCCTGTTGTGACTGTGTCGTGAAGTGGTCCATGTGCAGGATCTCACTGATGAACACCACCCGTAGTGCCATTTTTCCAATCGTGTTCTTCATTTTAAAGATACACTCATATCAAACATGTCCAGAATTTAGTTCTTGTTGACGACCTCAACACCGACTGACGGATGTTGCTGCTTGTGCTCTTTGTCTTACCGTCGCTTTATTTCATCTACTTGGTTTATTTGGCCAAGGAGCGCTTCCGTTTGGGCAGCGGCAGACTGTGTGGTGAAGTGTCCTCTTCACCTGCGAGTTATCGATCGTTGTGGAGGCCACGCACCGGAATCTTCTTCGTAATATGTAGTTGTTGTATCTCGATTCCGCATCCACGTGTGTTTCGCTCAGCCTAGTCAAAATTTTCTATGTCATGGAAGAAAAAGTTTAATCGCCTGGAAAAAAGTCTTGCGGCAGAGGTGGCAACGCTTGTCTTTCAGTTTGTCCACACACGAACCACAAGCGGTATGTCCGCAGGGGACAAGAACCCGGTCTACGGTCCGCGTGAGGCACACACTACACTCCAGTGACGCGGCTGCAGGAGGCTCGACCGGCTCAATTGCGTCATGATCTCCTGAGGGAGCGACGGCCTGCGATGAAGCTGAAGCAAAGCGGCCTCCTGACGAGGTGTGCTCAACGCAAGAACACGAGCTGTTGGCAGGACCAGCTGGGGACGGTACTTGCTTTCGTTTCGTCTGGGGACGGATCTTGTTTCGTCCAGAAGGGGACGGTACTCGCTCAACGCAAGTACCGTCGCGGCACTTGCTTTCGCTTCGTCGGGGGCGTTTTCGTATGCCGTGCACCAGGTTGTAGTCGTCGTTGTAGCTAGATGAACTACTTGGGCTTGAGCTCCCAACTGTGCTGCGGGACGATACAGAAGTTGATTCGTGGTCAATGTCTAGTTTAGGTCTCTTCTTCGGTGCACCAGTGGAAGATGCAGCGAGACGACCACTACACGGAGCAGAACTGGCGGGCTTCGCAACACTACAAAGAGGTCCGGAGCCTGATGTTGCTTTTTCTGTGTGAGCCAAATTATTTTTTCCGGGCGGGTGCATTGAAATTGTCGTTGTGTGGTCGTCCTCTTCGTCTCCAGTTGTCTCCTTGGCATGTCTTTTGGTTTCTCGACGTTCGACACCCGATCGCTCCGATTTGCACCAGTTTACAAAGCACAGGAACGTCTCGACCGTATTGAATCCGCGCCCTCGGTTCAATGTGTACGTATCCACCACGTCCTCATCGATGATCCAACCGGCATCCAGCACCTTTGCCGCTTCTTCCAACGAAGCCTTTTCTTTTTCCGTGGGACGGGCTTGGACAAACACCCGCGCGAGAACGCCTTCTAAATCCACAGAAAGTGAATCGCTTGGAGTGGACATTTTCAAGCGTTTTTTTGATACAACCCGGCTCTAGATGCTGTTGCCGTTGCGCCGTTTATTTTTTCCTTATGAACTTTTTCTTTCGAGAAAATGTTGGTTACCTATCGGTGGAAAAAAACAAAAACCAACGATCGAAAACGCAATGCGTGCGAAACACAATTCAATGTCAAAGTCAAACTAACCAAATAGATCTTCCAGCTTCTCTGGAGGGTTTGATCTTTGTTCGCGTTGACTCAGCAAGTACGTCAAACATGCCCATGCGTCATCCAGAAGACTAACATCGAACAGATCCTCACTCTTAGTAGTTATGGATTGCAGCGATTGCAAGGAAAGTAGGAGATGCAGAACTTTTCTTGTAAGTAGCCATGTTTATTGCTCACTCAGGCCAGAGGCGGAACGGACACGGAGGCACAGAAAAAATCAAAACGAAAACAAGCTACATTGAGATGAAGAAAAAGGAGCTCCCTACTGCACTCGTGCTCCACTATCTGAGCGCCGAACAAAATCAAATACCTGCCTGAGCTTGAGGCAAGAAAGACAAGAAAGATAGAAGCACCGTCGAAGCGAATTAGTATCAGATAATTGCGCAAAGGCGCATTTTCATATTTTTGTTTTTTTATATTTGTCTTTTGGTCTGCTGGTGTGCCTGCGTGTAGTTTTTTTTTGGGGCCGAAATGCGTGCCTACGTGTATAGCGTGATCTATTTTTGGTATTTTTTGAAAAAGATTTAGCTGCAGCGTTAATTATTGGAGTCAATGGAGGACTTCATATTGTTTTGCATCTGCGGCCTCTTCGTCTTGTTCTACAGCCTTGATAGAGTTTGAGAAAGACACGATCGTTCGAAACAGCATGGCGGCGCTCTGATTCAGGTCAATCTGACAAACAGGAATACAGGAGGTTACAATGAGACAACAAGTCGCAAGCATCAATGGATCAAGATGATAACATAAGGCTGTAGTAATCTTCGCGTACTAAGACAACTAAATTGCAATTGAATTGAACAAGAATGTTGTGCAAAGTGAGAGAGTAGACGTAGAGTCTGAATGTTAATGTTTCTTCAGGGCATCAAAAATACATCTACAGGCAAGCATCTATATCAAGACACAGAGACAAAAATGTCAAATTGATTCAAAAAAGCAACAAGAACGAAGTTGTAATATCGCTTCTACCGATACCGGTTCATTGTGCGAGTAAACCACGGACCCGCAGACGTAACGCCCCTTCTTCATCACGGAGAGCTGCAGTACTTCTGCGCTCGCTCGATTTTGTAGTTGTTTTTCATCCGCGAGTTGGTGTCAGTCTTCTTCTTCCCCGGGGTTTTCGCTGGGCTAGCCATTTTCGCAGCGCGCATCGCCGCGTCAAATTCGGCTTGGAGCAGCTGTTCATTTTTATTGCAGAACTGAACAAGACTGGTGAAGAACATGACAAAAGTACGTGTAGTGCAAACAAAGCAGCGTGAGTGTCCGTGTCAAAAAAACATGATGACACTCCGTCAGGAAGCTATTCTTTCTCGGTTGTAGCTCAAGTTCGGACTCCGACTCACACAAGCAACAAGCTACTTACCTGTCGTTCCGACTTTCCCCCACGGCTTTTCTTCGGCGATTCTTCCTTTTTCGGCGACTTCACCTTGTTCGCCTTTTTGGGCGACCGGGTTTTCTTAGCGCCTTTCACTTTCCCGCTTTCCTACGGTTTTTTGATTTTGTATACTCTACGTCGCGTAATAAGCGGCCCTCAAATAAGGTCAGAGGTCACGAGACAACATTTGACGCCCGGACGCTTGACGACAGAGCCTGACGCGCGTGACGTCGTATGGGCTAAGCACTAGTCGAACCGAAACCATGCCGCGCGGAGCACAAAGAATTTGCCAGGCAGACTAGCCTCTGCCTGCACTGTAAAGACCCTTGCATGCTAACCCCAATGCCGGCGACGCAGAAGCATCGGGGGGCTATCTGTCCTCTGCGTTTCTAAAAAGGGAGCTAGCGCGGTTCTTTCGCAATAATTCCGAGGGGCTAACCGCCCTTTGCATTTTGTACAGGAAATCTAGCCCGGTCCTGGGACAAAAATTTCGGGTGGCTAACCTCCCTTTGCATTTCAAAAAGGGAGGCTAGCCCGGTCCCTGGGCAAAGTTTTCGAGTAGCTAACCTCCCTTTGCATTTCAAAAAGGGAGGCTAGCCCGGTCCCTGGGCAAAGTTTTCGAGTGGCTAACCTCCCTTTGCATTTCAAAAAGAGAGGCTAGCCCGGTCCCTGGGCAAAAATTTCGGGTAGCTAACCTTCCTTTGCATTTCAAAAAGGGGAGTTAGCTCCTGCCCAAAAATTTCAGTTGGCTAACCTAGGTTTGCATTTCAAAAACCTAGGTTAGGAAAAATGAATTGGCGGGCTTTTGCTAGCCGCCCTTTTCAAAATGAAAAGGGCGGTTAGGAAAAAAAAAGCGCGCGGCCACGCACTCCCTTTCACACACTGCGCGCGCACATGATGCTGGCGCCGTGGGAATAAAAAAAATTTTCGCGCGCTGCGCGCGCCCGAGTCGTAACCTTCTTCCTTCGGGAGTTAGCTCCTGCCCAAAAATTTCAGAGGGCTAACCTAGGTTTGCATTTCAAAAACCTAGGTTAGGAAAAATGAATTCGCGCACTTTTCCTAACCAAGGTTTTCAAAATGAAAACCTCGGTTAGGAAAAATAAATGTGGCCGTTTGCGAAGGCGGCCTTGGCAAACGGCCACATTTTTTTTTCCTAACCAAGGTTTTCATTTTGAAAACCTTGGTTAGGAAAAAAGGCCAAAATCATTTTTCCTAACCGAGGTTTTCATTTTGAAAAGGGCGGTCAGGAAAAATTTCAATGGGCTAACCTCTGTTTGCATTTCAAAAAGGGAGGTTAGGAAAAATGAATTCGCGCACTTTTGCTAACCGCCCTTTTCAAAATGAAAAAGGCGGGTAGGAAAAAAAATCCGGCCGCTTTCCCAGGTTCAGCCTGGAAAAGCGGCACATTTTTTTTTCCCCATTCAAATGAAAAGGGCGGTTGGGAAAAAGGCGCCAATTCATTTTTCCTAACCTCCCTTTTTCAAGTCTCGTTCTCGTGCCCAAGCCACGGCTGCCCATTACCTGAAAAAGTATTGAGGTTGTGAGAATTTAAATGGTGGCTTTCTAGCAGCCAGACTGTGCAAGTTGCGGCAGATGCACTATCACAAGGAAAAGCAAACGATAGGCATCGCAAATGCAGAAACCGACTTGCGTTTTTCATTGTCCGGAAAGGAGAGCAATTAATAGCGCCACTCGTCGCGCACGCAGCATGGGATTGCGGCGGGCGAGGGGTAAGCTTTCCGATTTTCAGTTGCCTTGCTCGTTTTCTTGTTCAGTTCTTGCGCCTGGGCTGTGCAGTTGCCGCAGACGCGCTACGCCAATGATTACGCGTATGCATCTTGAATACATAGAAGCAACTTGCGCTGTTTGTTCTACGGAAATAAAGGGCGCACGCCTGTCGCACAAGGACGAGCAGCAGACGCAGCGCACAAAGGTTCCGACGCGTTTTTGTTTTCCATTCCTAGTCATCAGCTACTCGCGCTCGCTAAAATTATTCCGAGCGATGGGGCGTCAAATGTCTGGACTTATGAAAGGGCCGCTAATTCGGTTCTATAGAGTATTTGATCTGCGTTGCAGTTCTATGTAAATATTTCCTCGGTAAAAATGAAAATCTACCACGCACCATGGGTGCGTGGTAGAGGCTTCTCATGATTTGTTTCTCGCTTTTTTAAAAAGCGAGAAACAAATCATGAGAAGCCTCTTCTATGCAGAAGAAAAAGCACTCCAGCAAATTCATACGGCCTCGGACGCCGACGCGGAGGCAGCGGTGGTAGAGGACTTGGTGCTGGTCGGTTCCTTCACTTCGCCCTTCAGCAGGACCAAATCGGCCTCCGCAATGGTGTTGACATCGACGACGAGGGGCTGTTTCATTCCGATCATGATCGCGGGGGAGGTCAGGTTCACGACCGGCGGCTGCGCCGTAATAGCGTCCGCCAGCACATCAGAGGGCTTCATTTCCAGATCCTGTTCCGGCTTTTCCTTTTCGTCATCATCAGCTCCCCCCTCCGCAGCCGCCGCCTGCGGCTTTTCCGATTGCTCGGCCGCAACCCGATCCTCCTCTTTTCCCTTCAGCAGGGACGTGTCGGCATGCTGGTTGACTTCGTCCACCGGAGTGGTACCTTCACCCGGGACAACGGGCGCCGTGGTTGGAGCAGCTTCGGCTTGCTCGCCACCTTGCTCGGTGGACACAAGGGCAATCAACCCTTTGAAACACTCTTCCAGGGACGACATCGTGACTTTCACTTATTGTGGTCTTGGCGATGCGGCCGCGGATTCGGATTGAGTCTTAGTTCTAATCTGGTTTTTTCCTAAGTACTTAAGTAGGTGCTTAGATAGACTGCTTGTGCAGTTTTCTATCCGGCGCAAAGAACTGCGACTTAAACTCTGACTTACATAGATGAACTCACAGGAGCTACAAAAAACCTTTTGCTTCCGCGCTGTGCTTCTCTAGAAATTTTCTGGAAAATGCTGAATATTGCGCTCTATTCTGATTCATGATCACCCCGTTTGAAAGAAAAACGGAGACACGAGGACACCCAACGACCACGAAGCGAGTGGCGAAACGAGAACGACGATTTAAATGAAGTGCTGACGCGATGATGTTACGGGTAGCAGAAATGAGTCATCAACAACACGCAGGAGCACAAAGATGATATCCGACGATACGACTGATAATTTTTGTTACAGTTTCTAAGTTTCAGCCATGACGACCCAGAAAACGATTGGTGATACTGGTGCAACAAGGTACGACGTTCGCCCTGTGAATTGTCCCTCGTGATTTCAGCAGTCCTGAGATGTAGAGTGGCGAAAGTTTTAATTTGTTTTTCTCGTCTACAAGACCAAGACGAATCATACGACAGCTGTGACACAACAGCGGCCATCTATATTCAAGTGCTCCGGCGATTGCCTCGTGCTGAAAGCTTCACGACTACACCTACAGAGACAGAAATGAAAAACAAAAACGAACCCGCTGCATGAGCATGCTGCTGATCTCTGTCGAAATAAAGTAGTAGAATTCATCGTGCTGCAAAGGCGAATAGTGAGTTTTTTTCCTGCAGCAGTTCTTGTTTCGCTGGAATTCAATCAACGTCAAACATTAGTCGTGTGCCGCGAAGGCAGGGGGTATAGCTAGCTCAGATTCATTTCTAGTTTCGCTCTGTTCGGACGAGTACTTCGATTGAATGGTGTTCCACTTACGCTTGCTGCTGCATTTACTGCGTTAGCATTACTGTTCTTTGTTCGCGCTTCCTTTGCTGGTCCTTTTGCAGGACGATCAGCAGCAGGGCGCTCATTCGACACAGAAGTACTCGCACTTGATGATTCTTGTGCCTTCACGTTGAAGTGCCTTCGAATTTCGTTTCGCAGAACATCTCTCTGAGAGGGACCTGGTGGCTCGTCCGCTGTGCGAGCAGAAGACGACTGCGACTTCTCCTTCCCGTTGACCTTCCTGCAGTGTGTTCCCTGCACCTTCGACGCTGCATCTTCCGGCCCCCCGAGCAGCCAGGCTTTTTGCCGCGGCGGTGGAGGGGGCTGCACATCCCACAAAATTTCGTTGCCGCGCAGCTTTGTGCATAAATCCCCTGCAGGAGCTCTCTGCTCTTTCTTTGTTCTCTCTCCACTTTCGGCCGAGTCCTTGTCTCTTCGCCACGCTTCGATTTTCACCTTCTGTTCTTGTCGCTTTCTCGCCTCCTCGCGTTTCCTCCTTTCACGGGCTTTTTCCTCCTCAGCCGCAATCTCCTCGTCGTACGCGGCCTCGGCCTCCAGCTGCTCGTCCCGTTCTTGGTAGAGCGCGTCAAGCTTTTTCCGCAGTTCCCGATGGTGCTGCTGTCGCTTGCGCTCCTTCGCTTCGCTTCTTTCAAATTCCAGCTTTTGCTCTTTCTATCCTCAGGAAAGAACCCATGATCCCCATTGTTCACTTGATTTTGCATGCCAAACACTGGATGTGGATGAGTTGATGCATGTTCTGCAAGCATGGCAAATCCAAATTGGATGGGGATGCTGAGTCTTTTTTTGTGGATACTTCCAACTTCTCCTCCATTCTTTTCACGTCCACCAGCAACCTGCTCTCTAGCGTAGCCAACCGCTCCACGTCCTGCCGCACATCTCGCATCACGCGCTGCCGCTGGTAGTGCAGGCCCAATTCATCGGCGCAAGAACTGTTATTTGCGGTTATGGTGTGAATCACCTCCCCACGCATCACCTCCCCACCTCCCTACCTCCCCACCCTGGGGAGGTGCCTCCCCGCGTGTGGGGAGGTGCCTCCCCAGTAGTGGGGAGGTGGGGAGGTTCTTCCCCACCTCCCTGCCGTCCAACACTTCCCCACCACGTTGCACTTCCCCGCGATGGTCGACCAGAACGTGACTGCGTCTGGATGCTTGTTGCTTGGCTTCGTTCTGTGCCATCGATCTACCTCGCGGCCATGAAGCCAGCAGGTATCTGCCACAACGCACATGGGCCCTCATCCTGCATGACAGATGCGCCTATGTACGCGGCCACCAGATGTCGACCGGCGGCCCTAAGGTGGCGAGCATGGAACGACCTACGGGGCACGCAAAGCAATGCCGCAAGGAGTTAAGGCACGGAGGCACGCCGGGGGCAAAGGGCGCACAACATTCAGAAGGGCCAACGAGAAGGGGGCGCCAAAAGGGTGACACGCAAGAGCGGAGAAGGGACAGAGCACACGAGGAAGAGAGAATCGCCGAGGCCAGCCGGCGCGACGGCGCCGTCGCGCCGGCTGGCCTCGACGACCCTAAACCCCGAGCCCTAAACCCTAGACCTAAACAACCAAGGCCGCAGCCGGCTCTGCTTCTGCATCACCTCCGGCCGTTGCGGTGGTGATGCGGCCGCGTCACGAGGTGATGCGGGGGAGGTGGGTAGGTGATCCGGGTGGGGGGGTGATGCGTGGGGAGGTGATTCAAAGGGGTGGGGAGGTGATTCACACTCCTACCGTTATTTGCTGGCGGTGGCTCTAAGACGACGACCGGAGCTGCATCTTCTCGTCCAGTGCTCGTTGCTGTGCTGCTGGTGTTCCTTCTACCACTTGAGTTGTGAGCAGGCGGATGTACCGGAACATGATTTTTATGTGGCGCGGTGCAGCGCGCCCGCAAATCCTGATGCCACGCGGCCGTGGCGCCCGTGTCATCACGGAGGAACAGATCCGTGGCTCGAATGATTTTTCGCGCCGTGTGCTGGTGCCTCCGCTTTTGCCGGTCGAAAGCATGACCTCCACCAGTTGAGGTTATTGCTTCCATGAAAGCATTGATTACGGTATCCTCGGATTTCCTTTCTCCTCTCGTCCCGCGTGGCCCTCTGGTGTCGTAGGTGGAGCCTTCTTGGCTTCGACAGGTTCGGGCGGTACTCGTGTAACTTGAAGAATTCGCGCTTAAGCTACAATTAGAAGCGCTACTGCTCGACGTTGGCGAGTAGAGCGATGAGCGGACGACCACAGCATCGTGTTGAGACTGCTGCACCACAAGCGATTCCGTTGGCTCTTGCGAGGAGTAGTTGCAACAAGACCTACTTGTAGGTGGACCACTGTCGTCGTAGTTCTGCTTGTAGTCCTGAGTATTCAATGACTTATGATGTGGCGCCGCTTTCTTCGCCGGCGGGAACGGCTGTGAACCGAAAGATAGAGATGCTGCACCGGACGAAGCTAATTGCTCCTGATTTTGCGCCGGTGCCTTTCGCTTTGCTTGTTCTCCTGAACGTGCAACTGGTCCCGCTGTGACCATGGCCTTTTTCGAGCTCGTGCTTGCGATGTGGCTTCTTGGCGGTTCTTGTCGGAGCAGTGGACTTTCGTCCAAAAGAGTCGCTATCCGGTCTGCGAGGCTAGGGATCCTAGAAGCAGTTTCATTTTTCTGTCCCGCAATTTTGACGTGAGCATCTTCGTCACATGCCGAAGACGAGCTACCAGCAGGATGCCGCACGCTCATTGTTCCTTTGCCGTCATGATCCCTGGGCGAGATCGAACTGCAGTTCATGATCCCTTCGTCGCGCAGCTGAACAACGTCCGTATTGGTGGCTCTGGAGGCTGAAGCGTTTTTCACACCTTCGCAGGTCCTCCCCAGAGTTCCCGCCATCGAAGAAACCGAAGCACTCACGTTGTTCCCCGCCATGTTTTTTGTTGAGGAGAGTTGTAAGATCTTCGGCAGTAACCCTTTCGGCAGCAGAATGTGGTGTTCGCGGAGCGCCCGCGCGCGGAACGAGCGCTCGAATTCTCGCTCAAATTGGAGTCGCGCCTCCTGCGGCACCAAAGCGCAGAGCGATTGGCTGCTGCTGCGGGCAGATTTCATAGAAACAGAAAAATGCTCGCTTTCGTCCTCTGCACTGTGTGTCGCTGTTCCTCGTGGCGTGCGCGGCCTTCTCACACCTCGTCCGTTACACTGTCGTCCCAAGAGAAAATCGATCTTGTGCAGCACTTCTGCCTTCGCCCTATTCTCGTACGCTTGAGACAGTTGGGGGTAGTTGTTCCGAAGCGCGTCCGCGCTTCCTGCTGAGGGGGTTTCGGCGGCCCGAAGCAGTTCCAGGTGTTCGTCAAAGATGCGATTTCCTCGTAACCACGGCGCTGCTGCTTCGAAAGTTTTCTTTCGTTCCGCCGCGGACATCATGACCGATGTTGCAGCCGCTGCTGTCTCGTCGCCAACGATAATATTAGCAGCATCAGTGCTGGACCTGCACGTGGCCCAAAGACCAGCAGCAGGATCATTCACAGGATCCGCATCCCTGTTGTGGGTCGTTTCTCCCTCTGGTCCAGAGCGCCTTCCAGCACGCATAGCTCGATCCCGCAGTCTCGTTGTGGAAATGCAGGAGCGCTGAAACCGGTAGGCTCCGTGTCGCTTTCCCGGAGGAGAACCAATTCTGCTAGAAGATAGCTGTTGAAGAAATCGTGACCGCGACGAAAACGAAACTGACCTGTTCTGAACTTTTTGCGTTAGTACGGCAGCGCCACGCTGCTGGTACTGATGCTTTGTTGATCCTGATTCCGTTGTAGCAGCCACAATTTCATCATCCCGAACAGCAAGGGAGCACGAGTCGGGCTTGCTGCCGGCTTTGTTTACCTGATTCTGCAGCTCGACCACGTCTCCAGGAGCTCCTCCACAGAATCGAGATCCACCGCCTTCTTCTGCACATGATGGTCGCTCTTCCTCATCTTCTTTGTGCAAACAAGCAGCCACGACGTCCTGTCTCGGCTCTGCTACTTCTACTCCACCGGCTGCTGGTGGATGATCAGATGCTAACGCTTCTACGTGTTCTCGCTCTTCTTCTTCAGTGTTGCCATCTGAAGTTGTTTTCGCATCTTGTCCTTCATCAGCTTCACCTTTTGCTTCGTTGAGTGCGGCCGCGTCGAGGTCGTTTTCTTTCTCTGCCGCAGCTGCAGTGCGCGCTCGATTTCTGGCTGCTGCCTCCATCACGACAGAAAAGAAATCCTGGCGAGCTGGCGGCGGGAATGCTGTGTGCAAAGGCAACGCAGAAACGGTTATTTTCTCAACATGATCCTTATCCGCGTTGTTTTCTAGCGAATCAGCGATCGCCTTTTCCTCTTCGAGTTTCTTTTTCGCAGCCACAACTTTCCCGATCTCCTGTTGCAGTAGTCGTTGCGAATGGTTTGTGGATGAGCGCAGCCGAGGTTCGTCGGTTTCATCTTCGGAAATAGCTAGTATGCTGCGAGCATTCGTTCCAGGAGGTGCTGGATCATCTGCCAGATTTTTGTTCCTTTCAATTTCCCGGGCTTCGGCAAACCTTGTGCTTTTGCTTTCTAGACTCGAAAGCCACTCTTCGCGTTCGGCTTGCGTCGTGTAGAAGAGAACGTCGACTTCATTTTGCGGCAAAGCGAGGTAATCAAAGCCGCCATCCTTGGTCTCGCCGGCCGCCGTGTCCTCGAATGCCGTCCAAAACTTGTGGGCCTCCTCGCAGAATGGGAACTGCCTTTCCAATGCTGCTGGCGCTAGCACACCTCCTACAACGCCAGGAGCTTGAGCTTGGCGCGACTGAGTCGCTTCGTCAGGAGCGGCAGCAGCAGTGAAGCCGGCAGTTTTGTCTTTGCTAGTCTGCGCAACATCGCCGTCCTCGCGATAGTTCTTGAGACGAGCGAGCACCGCGTGAAACCGAGCATACGTTGTGGGGCGAGCTTTGTCGCTTACCTCTTGATGTTCTGGAGGAGATGAAATCGGTGCAGTTGGTGCGGTAGCTGACGCTGCAGGTGGAAACCCCGAACCCGAACCAGGTGCACCTGTTAGGACGTTGGTTCAGAATTTATTTGTGTCGCGGCGTAACTAAAGCCAAAATAAAGTTAGTAAAGGTCGAGCACCATTACAATTTCATTGACGGCTCGACGACGTCAGGCGGTTACTATTAAGTTTAAGACCCGATCCCAATGCTCATGCGCATCGTAGATGATGAGGAGACGGCACAAAAATAACTGCAAGTAGATTGATACCCTGGGCGAAATGCTGTCCCCCGTCTGCCTCTACGAAGATTTTTGCAGCGTCCCCTGCAGTAGTTCCCCGGCTCAACAGTGAAAGCTTTTTGCTTTTTGCCTGCGCGGAAATCTGATTATGGACTCGACGCTGGAGTAGGCTGGAAACTTCCTGGACGAATGTAGGTTCGTCGCGCAGCTCGGCGGTAAACAGACAGCGTAGCGCGGACCACGAAGGCAGGTCCGAAGAAGAAGTAGAAAACTCCTGGGATGAAGGTGCTGCCATGACGTCGTTGCAACGTCGAAACGTGAACAAGAGGCTCTGTGACAACGATGGTGCGCTCGTTTTGAATGTTTATGTTATGAAAATGAATTACTACTCGGAAAACGCACACTAGTAGCATAGACAGAGCAGCTGACACAAAGCGGAGGCGGTTTCGGTTTATCATGTTTATCGTCATTCGTCGCTCTCAACATTTGGCCGTCGTGCACAGGTGGTCTTGTACGCCTGAAGACGCCCTCTCTCGTGATAAAACTTTGTCACGATGCTGCTGTACACTCTGTCAAGATGAAGAAGATAGACGAGAACGTTAGTCCAGCCACGACTGGAATTATGGTAGTCGGTGACGACTGGTTGACACCTTCTCATTTTTTCCCGCAGCTAATCATGATGAGTGAAGCTTATGATCAGGCTCAGGCAGCTGGTTCCTTGGCGTCGGCGAAGAACATCATGCCACGCTCAGTGTCACGCCGACATGTTGGACGGCTGAACATAACGACTAACAAACCGCACACAAAGGCCATACTTCAAACACAGCCTACTCCATCATCTTGATCTGCATCGTAGACACAATTTCGCGACCCTGAGGGCAGTTGCAGATGCACATTGCTCCACCATGACTTTCTCACAGAGCTACAGGCACGCTGCAGCGCCAGTATCTAGCACTTCTAGCAGGAGGCCGTGGCTTCTTCATCATGTGGTTCCTTTTTCTGTTTGCTGTGGTTCGGACACAAGAGGTTCGAGATGACCACAGACACCTACTGAGTACGAGCTTTTTGTTTAAAAAAGAGCTCGAGTCCTCTGCTTTTTTTTTCTCATTCGAAACCATGCCACTAGTTCTGCCGCGTCCCGAGGTGGCTCCCCCGTACCCCCCAGATCAATGAGCATCTGGAACCGGTCGGCGCGAACCATCTGCCGGAGGAGATTCCACCTCATAGCTCGCGTCTTTGCTAAATTGTGGCTCTGGGTGTCTTCAAAATTCTTATCGACTTCTCGTTCTTCTTGCACCACATGCATGCCTTCATAGCTTGTCCAGTGCACCATGTGCATCACCATGCTGTCCCCGCCTGCTGGTAGCGCGACAGGATCCGACGAAGCTCCCGCCTCTCGTGCCTGTCTTGCCCGGAACCAGGCGACAAGCTCAGCGGCGTTCCGCGGAGGCCTGCCGGTTCCGCCCATAGCGATAAGGTCGTACAAATGTCGGCTTCGAACTTCCTTTTGCAGTCTACGCCACCTGCCTTGCGTCAAAGCAGAATAAGTGCCGAAAACTGGTGCGGTGAATGATCTACTTGCCCCAGCAAGAGCAAGGCTATCAAACAGCGATGACGATCTCGTGATTTGGTCCATATTTTCCTCACTGTAGGCCGCTGCAGTCCGAGGAACTCCTAGCGGATTTGTCTTCGAGCGAACGTCTCGTACCGGTACTAGAGCCGCATGCTCTACCCCGAGTGCGGTCCTCGTGGTTACGTCGTTTTCATTATCATTATCTCGCGTTTGGACTCGGCTCTTCCTCTTCTGATCATGCGCATGACAGAAACCGTCAAGGTCCTGATTCTTTTGCTCGTCTGGCCGGGCAAGAGTCTCAGAGACAGGTGGCTGTGCATCTTCTACCTCACCGCCCAGCGCGCCCTGTAATATATCTGCTTTCATCTTCAGGAAGGCCTTCTGGTGCGCCGCTCCCGCCTCCACTTGGTATAGGGGACTCGTGGTTTGCTCAGCTTGTTCGGAGTCAACATCGTCACGCATGTACACGTCTTCGTCTGCCTTGGTTGCAGAAGGAACTTCGAGTGCTTTGTTCCAACTTGAACTTACACCAGCCTCGGGGACGGGAACCGCGGCCATGGTTGACTCCTCAACGCTGGAACTGCAACTGCTACATACGATCTGCTTGTGCGGAGCGTGATGATCCTTCTCGGGAGGTGGCAAAGAGGCGGACGACGGTGGTGCCAACGTCATTGTATTTGCTCTTCTTGTCGGAACTGGAACATGAAAAAACAACCTCGTTGTATTCGAATTCGACTCGTAGACTACTTTATCGTCTAGTTGTTCCAGCATCGCTGAAGCCTCTGGTGCAGCGGCTTCGACGTTTTTCACCACATTAATCGCGCAGGCCGAGTGTGCACTTGAACTTCCCGCAAGGCTTTTGCTTTCCAGATCAACATGACAGTGAAGAAGATCCATTTCACGTTCGGCATGCTGTAACTCGACATCGTAGTCATCTTCGTTGGTAGGGCCGATACCTGCTTTATTTTCAGCAACGACGTCCTCGACAGCAATCTCGCTCGCTGCACACGTGTCCGGCTCCGGCTCGGCTTCTGGTGCCACTACTTGACCTTGAGTCTCATAGTTCAAAAGCTGCGCGTCATAGTTTCTGATGTGGTCGCCTGCGTCGCGGCCGCCCGGCACCCCCGTCTCCCTATTGGGAGCAGTTGCGTTATTTTCCACCAACACAACATCTTTAGACGGTCGTGGATCTGTGCCCTTAGTTTTCGATGCAGAGAGAGCAATTCTTTTTTTTGATGGGCGAAGACACATTCGGTCAAGGCAAAAAGAGAGATAAAAAGATGTCAACATGTGTGGTCAGATAGTCCAAAATCCGGTAAAACTACGAACGATATAGTATACATTGAAGTACGAAGCTGATGAGTCTGGGGTCTACACCGATGCGAATAATCGTCGTTTCGAGGGTGTATCTTGATCCTGAATACGTGACCTCGTCCATCACGCTGCCGAACCGCCATAAATGATCAGCCTGAGTCTGATGAGGTCTCATGCCCTTAAGCTTGTGTACTGACTGTAATCTTTCTCAAGACCGACCTTCTGGATGTTGCCAATCATGATCTTCCAGATCCATCGACGGATATGGTTCGGGAAGCCCTGCCCCTGGAGATCAGGGACAGAAGGCAGCATCAACAGTACCGAGCATCGAGGTCTGCTCCTCCTGCAAAAGCTCTTGTGAAGTTGGTGACCATGTTGTACTCGGAAAGCCGAACTATGACGAGTCAACGTGACTGCTCTGTTCTCGTGTCGACCGATCACTTAAAATACTAGTATCCGCCTATACAACTTGCCTTTCTACTAGCTCAATTATCATCCTGACGTTTAATGCGACTTGTTGCTCATCATGTATCGGTTTTGGTGGTCTATATCTTTTTTGGTCTTTGTTCTCAGGCTGGTCTGGAAGCATCTTCATCAGTACTGATGTGCGATGCAGTGGTCCTGCTCGAGTCAGTTCCGATGTTTTCTCGCGGAAGACAACCACTTCGAAAGAGTGATCGGGTTTCTCTTTCTGCTTTATTGGTACATTCGCTTTGAAATAAGTAAATCTGAAAAAGTGTTTCTGTTTGTAACTCTAACTCAGCTCGTCCTCGTCGTGGCGCCACGACGAGCAACATCCACAGTGTGTCTTCACAGCTTCCGCCACGAAACCAGAAACGCGCAGAATACCATGACTGCACCGAAGGCGTAGGGCAATTGCGGCAGCCCTTCCTTCCGAAAGACCGCGTAGAGCAAGGCAAACATTACCGGACCCATGATCCGCCCCACCTGCCCCGCAGACTGCACAAAGCCCTGCGCGCGCCCGATCTGATCCTTCGGAGCATGTGTGCCCACCATAGAGGAGAGACAGGCCACGGCAGGGAAGGAGACACCGACTAGAACCTCTGCCACCATAGCGAGTGGAAAGCTGGGCACGTAGTACAGGCTGGTCAGGATGCACATGTGCAGAAAATTGAGGAATAGGCCGACGCGAATGATTTTCCTATTGGAGAAGGTCAGCGACAGCGAAAACCTGGAGCGCGAAGGCGAGCTGGTTCGTGATGTCGTTTCACCAGCAGCTGTCGCACCAGCGCTGCTCGAGGGAGTAGAGGGAGTTCGACTTTGTTCCGAACGCGAGGAACTAGAATCGCCACCCTTCTTCATGTCCGTGGGTAGAAACACTGCTATTATTGCGCTGACGACCGCTCCGGAGAGGCCCACCGCAAAGAACATAATCGCAGTATCTTTCGGCTTCAAATGTGCGAATTCCTGGAGATAGTAGATGGCTTGTTCCTGCACTCCCTGCGACGAGCAGCTCAGAATCGCGCGAATCAGGGCGGCATACAGAATGATGTGGTTGAAGTCGAGCAGCGGTTGCGTGACCAATTCCGTGTAGATTTTCTGGGTCTGCTTCCGGAACGAGGCTAGCAACAGTGCAGCCCGTGCACCAGCTCCCACACCACGCGCGCGTGCCCTCGCCGACCACCTTGCCGCTGCTGCACTTGAGGACGAGGCAACGCTGGAAGCAGACGGGCTACTAAAGTTCGCAGCTGCTGGCGGAACTGCAGCTCCGGTCGAAACTACTTCGACGCCTCCAAAAGGCACCTCTGCATCTTCTGGGAGAGCCGAAGAAGTTCTGGCCGATGATGTTGTGCTGAACTCGAGGTCATCTACTTCGTAAGAACTCGTCTGCAGCGACGTAGTTAGTAGCGACGACCTAGCGCTAGTGCTACTTCCTCCCGCACTGGTGGTCGCGGAAGTTGTGCTATCATGTGTAAAACCTAGATTGGCCATCATCAGCGCGGGCTTTAATCCTCTGCGTTGATCATACTATGCCTCATTTTTTTCAAGAACTCTATGCATGGTGGCCTTCGCGGCACTACAAATTGATGGCGAGGAGGACAGTCAAGATTTTACATATGGATATGCATCTGCGCCTCCTGTGTGAGATCCCGGGGAGGAGCCAGCGTGCCGCACTTCCGATGGGTCCACCTCTACTGACACACTACCACTAGTATCGACGAGAACGAGGGCCGCCGAGCTGTCTTCCACACGACTTGGCCGATCGTCCGGGAGAGTGCGGTAGCCTACCAGGACCGCAGCAAGCGCAAGCATAGCGTTGATTTTTAGCAGGAAGGTCAGGTCGCCGGTAGTGTGATCGACGACAAACACACCCAAGGAGGGGCCGACGCTGATTGAAACGGTGAGCAAAACAAAAAACGCGTTGAAGTTGCGCGTTAGGATCGCGTCCTGCTTCCGCTTGGTTTCCTGGGCTTCATCGTCGACGTCGCCCGAAGCTTTCTTTCTACCAAGTACAACTCCAGGTGCAGATGCCCCCGAGCCAAGACCTGGACTTCCGCTTTCAACAACAGAGACAGCCGACCCAGACGAGGGGTCCGCGGCAATCCCGAGGCTACCTTGCTCCTTTTCTGCAGCAGAGCCCGCTGCTACTACCTGCCGTCTTGACGAGACCGCACTGGTGGTGGCAGGTGGAGAAAAAGTGCCCTTTTGTTCTTTTCGACGTACTACGTCAGCCGTTGACGCTTCCCACGACGACGAGACGCGGGTGACGGTATCTTCCGCTATGCTGTAGTCCAATGCGTCCTCGTCATCGTCCGCCTCGTGGTCGGCCTCCCCAGGTGATGACGTGTCCTTGCTTTTACTTCGTCTGCGCTCTAACGAAGTCGAGCTCTCGAACGAGTTGTACGCAAGCTCATCTTCATCCAATTCCGCGGCAGTGTCGTAACCGCTTGAGCTGCTCCCAGATGCGCTGTAGTTCTCCGCATGCTCCTCCGAAGATGTTTTTGACTGTTGCTGTTGGGCAGGGACGAGTCCGTGGTCTTTCTCTTCCATGGGAAAGGAAAATGTGGAAGTTTTTACAACAAGGACGTCATCCGCATTTTCCTCGTCGGATTCCGGATAATTCGCTTTCCCATGTCTACTTGGTCGTTGACGAACGTCGGCGACTCTCTTACCGTCGACGAGCATGAGATTGCTTGTCCCGCTCGGGAGATAGTCGTCATCTACTGGACTTCCTAAGGACAGCGAAACACTGTTCTGATCTTGTTGATCCCCCTGTAGTTCTCGTCCTCGTTGTGAGTCCTTCTCTGCTCCTGCGCCGCCCGTGGACAAATCGACAAGCGTTGCCTGTACCGGTGCCATTCCAAAAAATCCGTAGACCGCACCCACCGCGTTGAAAAACGCGAGGAAGGACGCGTAGAAGAAGAAGCACAGGTAAAGTATCACGTCATCCGAAAAGTTGAAAAAGGAGCCGTAGGAGGTAGTCGAGAAACCTGAAGATCCACGACCTGAATCGTCTTGTGCGGCTTCAAGCGATGCGCTCGATGCTCGCTGTTGAGGTATGCGCCACTTCTCGTGCGCCCCAGCAATAGAAGCAGACCGCGCGGCTATCGAGAGCGCAGGGAGCAAGAAGGGGAACGCAGCGCTATTGCTACGCTCTCTTGCTGCCCCAGACAGGCCTCCTGAAATTTCTGCTGACGACAATCTTTCGAGATCATCGTGCCCTACTTGTAGTTCCTGCAATTGTTGAACTGGATCCGGCCACGACTGCGAGTCTGGTACAGCTAGGCTTTCTTGCCACGACCTTGTCGGGGGTATTCGCCCGGGCTCCTGGTACAACTGACCAGGCAAAGGCGATCCAGTTGTCCCTGCACTGGTGGTGTCGTATTGTTCCCAGCCCTTATCGTTCAGCACGTACCCGGCCATGACCGCGAGATTCGCCGCTGCGAGAAAGTTCACGATGGCAAAAGCGGACAAAACCCGTTTGCGGCCGTGGGTGTCCGTCCATTCCCCGATCTTGGGTCCGAAGTAGATCGAGGCGACGCCGAAAACCGTGTCCAAAGTGGAGAAGAAAATGACCGTCAGCTGTGTACAGCTCGACTGCGTCGTGCACAGGTCCAGCTTCTGCATCAGCTTCACACGAAAGTTCGGCAGAAGGGAGAGCGTCAAAAAGTCCGGCAACGCCGCCAAAAATACGAAGGCGGCGAAAAAAAATATTCGGGCGCGCGAAACTGCTGTCATTTTTTTGTTGCAAAAAACAAGAACCACCTGTTACGACGATATTACGCAGCCGCAAAGTCGTTGCCGACTATGTTGACGCTCTTTTAAATTCAAATCATTATTTTTCATTTTTTCGTTTTGTTTCTTGGTGTGAAATATGTGAGGTCCTGTTGGAGGTGTTGAATGCAGCAAGATCGCGCTGGTCATTTTCATAAATGAAGTTGAAGACACCTCAAAACAGGTACGATATGCATTTGCGATTGTCCCTCACGCTCTCCTGTGCGCACTCTGGTGGCTTTCCTTGCAGCCTCGACCTCGAGGACTCTCATGGTGACATGATAACCACAAAAATATGTCGTGGAAATGGAAGATATTCGGCATGCTGGAGGACTCCCACTCCGACTAAGTAGATGTCAGCAGTTTTGATGATTGATGTTTCAACAACTCCGAAAAACAAAAATCGAACAACAAACACACCACGAGGATGACAACGCACGCACTAGCTCTCTTCGTTGTCACGACGAGGCAAGGCTCTGGCTTTTTGGGTTTTATCGTCCGCGCGCCCGCCGAGCCACAGCGGAGCGCGAGACACAGCCAGGCGCGCGCGGCACGGCGAGAGCACAGCAGGAGAGCGGATGCGCGCGAGAGCGGGCGCACAGACACGCGCACAAGCGCGACACGGCGCACGCGAGAAGGCGCGCGCGCGACGCACGAGGAACGCGCACGCACGGAATGGCCAGACTCTTGACACATGCGGGGGGCGCCACATACACACACAGTCGAGGCACACGGCCGATGGCACATGAGGCGCCCGCGCGGTGACGCAGCGGCGCGACGCCTGCACACACATGCGCGGCGACCTGGCTCGCCGCTACAGTGGAGCACGTTCGTCCTGATAGATATAGCGGCTGAAGGTAATGGCAAGCCGCGCGCATCTCTCTGACCACGCCGCGGCGGCATCAAAGGAAGGCTACCGCTTGTTCTGCCCCCCTTGTTCCATCTCCATCGCGTCGAGTTTGCCCTGCAGTTCGCGGATTTTGGCCTTGTATTTTCCGACCGTCTTCAGGTCTTTCCCCAACCACTTAATCCGCTGTCGTAACCTGTTCACGCATTCACTCACTCATTGTGCGAGGAGACTTACGCCGCGGCGGCATCAAAGGAAAACTCAGGCTGATGATAGAGCTTGATTTCTCCGCGAAATAAGACGCGCGCGCGACGCGAGGGGAGCAGAGCGAGGAACGCGCACGACACACGCGCGAGGCACGACGAGCGAGGCAGACGAACGCACGCGGAGGCGCGCGCAGACGCACGCGAGCGCAGCACAGAAGCGCGAGACGAGCGCCAGCACGCCGAGACGCGCAAGAAGTGCGCGCGCGAGACGAGGCGCGCACAAGCGAGAGCGCGGACGCACCGAGCCAGACGGCGCGCAACAGCAAAGCGCCAGCGCAGCAACAGCGCTTTCTGCGCGCGCGTGCGAACGCCAGAACGAACGCGAGAGACGCGAGAGCACACGGGAACGCGGAACCGCCGACATTTCCTTTTACTTACTTCTCCCGGAAGCGGGGGCGACGTATCTATGTATACGTCGAAAGACAGGCCACAAACGCCTGCACTTGCAACAAGAGCCACCTGCTACGACGATATTACGCAGCCGCAAAGTCGATAGCGGCTACTTATGTTGACGCTCTTTTAAATCATAATTTTTTTCGTTTTGTTTCTTGAAGTGATGAAATATGTGAGGTCCTGTTCTTGGAGGTGTTGAATGCAGCAATATCGCGCTGCTCATTTTTATAGACGAAGTTGAAGACACCTCAAAACAGGTACGATATGCATTTGCGATTGTCGCTCACGCTCTCCTGTGCGCACTCTGGTGGCTACTTTCCTTGCAGCCTCGAGGCCTCTCGTGGTGACATGATAACCACAAAAATGTGTCGTGGAAATGGAAGATATTTGGCATGCTGGAGGAGGTCTCCGACTAGATATCAGCAGTTTTGTTTCAACAACTCCGAAAAACAAAAATCGAACAACAAACACACCACGAAGATGACAACTCACGTTGGAGCTCTGTTCGTGGTCACGACGAGGCAAGGCTCTGGCTTTTATTTTTGGTTTTATTTTTTTGCGTTTTTCACTTTTTTGGTAATGCCTCATCGTCATCGTGTTTGAAGATTTCTTTCACTTTACTTACTTCTCCCGGAAGCGGGGGCGAGGTATCTATACGTCGAAAGACGTGTAGCAGCACCTGCATTTACTTACAACAGGGGTATGCCAATTGCTAAAACTACATATCAACATCAAGTGGGAGTTTGTAGTATTTGTAGCTCGTGTATCTTCATCGGGGTAGGCGTTCATCTGTCTTGCTGTACAAAAATAGTAAGTAAGTAATGCAACAATAGCACAACAGTTTCATCAAGAAAGAGGTCAAAACAACAACAAGGCATGAGCGCAAATAACAGCAGTAGCATCGTCATTGGTGTTTTTGGTCCAGATGGAAGCAAAACTGCGAAACCCACCACGACCGAGCGCAACCCACCGCAACCCTCCGCAACCCTCCGCAACCCTCCACAACCCTCCGCAACCCACCGCAACCCTCCGCAACCCTCCGCAACCCTCCGCAACCC